TGGATTAATGACTAAATACAAATGAACAAAATTTAAACTTAAGACGAAAGAATCGGAGAAATATGACATTAATTCGTCGTAAGCGAGGGAGAAAGAAAAATATCTAGCTTCCCTCGAGGATTCAAATTTTATGATCTAAAGCTCAAGTCCAAAGCTACAAAAGACCTCGTTAGTGAGTCAAGACATACGCTGGGTTCGTATTTGACAAAACTTCCCGCATTCTCCTGGCATCTGAATTGTCGAGAACGTCATGTCTGAAAGTGGATTAAGAAAGAGAGTAAAGTTCAAGCTCCATCGTCAAATGAAGAAATTAAAAACATCGAGATCTACGGGTTTAGAGATTGAATCCTCGAAGATGCTTAGATTCTCTTAATTTTTTATCCGTGACGGATAAAAAGATTTTTCTTTATTCGACCCCGAGAAAAAAACTTCTCCTCTCTCTTTATAAGTTTGAATTCGATGAAGGAATTATTTCTCAATGCTGACACTAAGATAAACATAATAAACATTGAGGTAGCTGATTTATCTGCCCAAGAGAGATTTATGAAACTACAGCATGGCTGATTCCAGTGTTATGTGCACCGCTTGTGCTCCTGGTACAATAACAGTATAACTCGTAGGTTGTCTTCATCCTTGTCAATTCAGTTTTATATGGCAGAAACTGTCCTGCTCAGGAGAATTAAAAAATAGACTTTGACTGCGGATGGCCTGTGTCCTCCATTGAAAGAAATATAACTGAGCCTAAATCGCAGGATGAAGTAATAGGAATATAGAAACATTAAAAATATACACACAATTCAAGAGAAAGAACAAAAACAAAGAAAAAGACGAGCTCGAGAACTTTAATGAAGTAGAAGAGCAATTTTAATATCTAAACTGGACATTTGAAGAGATTTGTTATTTACTCGTGACAAGGGATTATAGACTGATCTATTGCTCGTTAATATGAAATCTTTCATGGTTCCATCGAAATTTTAGTAAAGCTTAACGTATTATTCTTGATATTTTCAGGCATATAGAAATAATAATGACAACTTTTGGAGGATAAACCGATTCAGAGGATGGCGATTTAACAGGTACTAAACAGTTTTCATATTATGAATTACTATAGTGTAATTGTTTCGATGATTAGTCTCAGGGATTATTCAACAATATTCACTGAGCCTGCGGCGAATAATTGTTAATCATGACACGTAATACCCCGCAACTGGACATGAGCTTAAGAAGGCGTAAATCCGGCCAAGTTCCTTCTCAGGATTGTTAAGGACCGAGACGATGGTTTCGTCAATGAGGGATATATTATACAGAAAAATTATTTATATAAACCAAGAGGTTACCAAAATGAATGAATCTGCGGGACTCGTTATAGTTTTCTTTATTTTGACTTACAAGGAGATATATTCGTGGCTCCTTTGTATTTAAAACTTCTGGAAAACGTTTTATGTTTGTGAAACAAAAAAATGTCTGGTTAAGAAATTACAAAGTGATGAACCGGCTACAAGCACATCATTTCTTTTTTTCGACTTCAATGTGGGAAATCCTGAGAGAGCACATCACACCCTCTCAGGTAGCTGATCAGAACACAGCTGGATTCGCCTTAATCTTGTTCGCTCGTGGGTTACACCACATGAAAATAACAAAAAAAAAGACGGGAAGTTGGGGTAACGTGATAAAGAGCGAGGTGACATAAAAATGAAAACTTTCACCCCCAAAATTTTAATTATTACGAATTCTTGATCCTGTATGAAAATGAAACTTCGCCAGCGTTACCATTTATTTATTTGAAATTTAAAAACGATCTCTGGCTAAAACTTTTAAAAATACGAGCTTTCGGCTGTTTGCGCTACAGCCTTCAACGGGTAAAATGATAAAAAGGTAAAAAATACAAGGTGTGAAGTACAAAGTAAAAATTAAAAATGCTGATAACTAAGAATGTTTGTTAAAAAGAATGTTGTATTGTCCGGACAAAGGACAGGAATTGTTGTCCGCATTGGGAGTTAACTTGGAATGCCACGCTTCTAGTATTTTTCTTGTTCTGAAACCGCCTTTGTCAATAATAGATGCATTATCAAAGTCTATTGCGTGACTATTGGCCCAGACGTGATTGGCAATTCTTGAGCCTTTTGCCGCGGTTTTCATATTTCTGAGGTGTTCTTTCTTTCCTGTGTTGAAGGCCCTGCCAGTCTCACCAATATAACACCATGAACAGTCACCACAAGGAATTTTATAAATAACATTTGTTTGCGATTCCAACGATGGTCGAAATTTTGGGGCCGGGAACTGTTGTTGAAGGGTGATGAGTGGTTTGTTCACCACTGTGATGTCGTGTTTTTTGAGGACACGAGTCAGAGGTTCTGTTACGCCTTTAATGTATGGAAGAGAGGCGAACGACTTGCGTGATTCGGACCCCTCGACCATCTTGAAAAATGTTCCAACAAGTTCCTCCGGGGACAACACTGTTGAGCGTCGGGTTTTTTCGGCCTGGATGTTTTTAATGAAATTGGATGGATAACCATTAGATTCAAGTGCTGAATAAACTCGGTTAAGTTCTCGTTCTTTTCCTTCGGAGGAGTTGGGTAGCTTTAGGGCTCTGTGTAGAAGAGTTGCTGCTGTGCTGGCCTTGTGTTTATTATCATGGTGGGAATTGTAATCTAGATATCTGTCTGTGTGCGTAGGCTTTCTGTAAACAGATGAACGGATGAACTGTTAAACAAGTACACGGATGCGCTATGGGCAGTCCAGTTAGCCCTGTAGTGGCCAATCTCTGTATGGAAGAAATCGAGGAAAGTGCGATTAACAGTTCATCCGTCCCTCCTAAAATCTGGAAACGTTATGTCGATGACAGCTTCTGCATCATCAAAAAAGACAATGTGCCAGCTTTCCATGACACATTAAATTCAATTGACGCCAACATCTCTTTCACCATCGAAATTGAAAGTGACAATAAGATCTCCTTTCTCGACACTTTGGTCACCCGCAGAAATGGTACCATCGCTGTCGATGTTTACAGAAAGCCTACGCACACAGACAGATATTTCAGAACAAGAAAAATACTAGAAGCGTGGCATTCCAAGTTAACTCCCAATGCGGACAACAATTCCTGTCCTTTGCCCGGACAATACAACATTCTTTTTAACAAACATTCTTAGTTATCAGCATTTTTAATTTTTACTTTGTACTCCACACCTAGTATTTTTTACCTTTTTATCATTTTACCTGTTGAAGGCTGTAGCGCAAACAGCCGAAAGCTCGTATTTTTAAAAGTTTTAGCCAGAGATCGTTTTTAAATTTCATAAGATGTTTTATCCTGACTGCGGCCCCTCTATCTTTTCATTTATTTATTTATTTATTTTTTTGGAAGCTTTGCAAACATCGTTCGACCTCCTCAAAAATTACTATTAATTTTTTCTTCAACAATTTAAACTACTCATCCAAAAGGTGATTTGTCGCATTTCGCGGTTTGGTCGGAATTCGGTTTTGGCGGGAATTCTCTCTGCGCAATGACGAACTACATTAGCTCATGTGTTTACTTCGGAAGGTAAACATTTAGGCTCTGAAAATGCTAATGGTTGCATAGAATCCTGCTCCGAACAACGCGGAGAATACCACGCCTGTCTAACAAGAGAAATTTACTTATATTCCCTTTAAAATTAAACAGCAACAGATTATTTTATGTCAGCAATACATTTACAGATATTTTTTAATTTCTCCATAGTTTTGTGATATCTGAAGGTTTTTCCAGTTTTATTTCGGTTTCAAATGCTCCTATAATCTGGCAGCAAAGTCTCTCGATGGCCTACAAGATGCGAGAACCAGCGCTTGGTTCTCCACTTACTTTTGATGTGTAAGCAGATTATTGTTCTCGATAGCCAGAAGGCCGATGCAAAGATAAATATACAGCTCCTAAAATACCATCTTATTCAGAAAACTCTGGATCATAATAAATTAGAAATGAAAAAGGAAGACTTTTCTCAAAACACATTTTGTCACGGATTAGTGGTTTCCGGTCATTCAAGATTACTTAGCTCTCTTTAGAAGAATATTTGTGGAATATATTATTCGCTGGAGCCTTTTTCACACTTTGGAAAAACGCACTGATAACTCTGATTCACGAGAGCTATGGAAAATTCGCAAGAAAATACGTAAACCAAATGAAATCTTACTCTCGCTCTAATTGGTTGATAGTTATGTTTCGATGATCGTATGTAAACGCGTTTCTTTGCATAATAGGCTGCGGGATTTTGGAAGAACTCGTGACAGTTGTGCAAACCCTTGACTGCGTTTTGAGTTTGTAAAATGCGCCGTACAACTCGAAGATTCAACAACCTCGTTTCACGGAAAACCCACAGGCGTTACACTGCCGTCCGTATCCAGAGAGTGGGGAATTTTTTAAGCAAAATCCCATCACAACAGCATGAGGGAGAAAACTTTGAAATTCTCAGTCTTTCGTTTTATCTAAGTATCAGAGACAAGTTGGTCTCCACCTTTCTTTTTGTATTATTTTCATTTTAGCATCCTTTTTTGTTTCGTGAGGATGTTTTCAAGCGCAATAAAATTCTATTCTATTTTATTTCCAGCTATGGCGGAGAGTAAACTTCCGACAACGGGAGAAGAACTGGATTTGAACAATGAGATTCGGGTCACAGGTGAGAGAGAGCCATAGAAAAACACTGCTACATGGTCATTTTGAAGCGGTTGTAATGTTTCGTGGTGGAATAGTTAATTACATCTTTAGTGGACATTATCAAGAGCGGCAAGTCTGGGACTGGAAGTACAGCGGTAATCCGCATAACGATTCAAAATGGCCGATGACATCACGGAAAAAGGAACTGAACACCAGTTTTGACCAAGCGCTTTTCAAACTCGGTCGTCATAATTAGAGCAATTCGCATGAACCATAAATGAATTTTTATCCATAATAATTCATTTTAATAAAGTTTTATTTTTCATATTTTTGCCGTTTTCTCTGGCAATAGTAATAATGTTTATCAAATGATCGAATTTCAGGGACAAACGAAAGTCAAGTGACATCAAATGACACCAAACTGGAGGTATACGATGATCCATTAAGAGGTGAGAAATTAGATTCTTTAAAAGACGCCTCGGTATGGTTTTTAACTGGGCTCATTTTCATTAAAGTTTTTACCTATTCTGTGAATAACTTTTGAAACAGAAACTATTTGTTCGAATTTCAAACTTTATCAGCAGAGAAACACTGAGTTTTATTTCTGCGTGGGTCACGAACAAGCTGTAGGTGCGAGGTGTACAATTGTATACATATACATGGAAAGAAAATCATCATTAAATCTATTACCGCGAGAAATAAAAGAAAAATGTAATGAAAAAATTAGTATCATACTCAGTATCAGGGATAGATTTGAATCAAAATCAAAGAAAATGTCGTGAATGCTTCTCATTTACGCCACGTACACTTTTGCAGTTACTTTATAAATTATGAATCACTACTCTTGCTAAATATATCCTGACAAAATTTAAAAACATTTGAGATAAAACATTTGCAAATAAGGTCGAGAGGAGACTGATCGTGGAAATCAAATGGGCATTAACGTTTGCAAAAAGTTTTATCTGATTCTGCGTTCTTTCAAACACACCACACCATATATGGCCAGGGTTTCCGAATTTCATTGGTCTGGGGACCATTTTAAGTGATTCAAAACATCATCTTAGAGTTAACGGTTTGCAAAACTTTAGGATATTAATGGGGTGAGGGTTTGTGGTCGGCGGGCCCATGTATACAGTAACCGATTGTTCAAAAAGAACGAAAGGCCTGTAAAGGATAGGAATTAGAAAGGGGATCTAACGACATGAAAACGAAACCTTGTTAAAACGAAATCATCAATGTTAAACCGGTGTGTTTTCAGATATAGCAAGAGTATGTCTCGAGGAAGGTAACAAAGAATACAGACAGGGAGAACATCAAAACGCGATAAACTCCTACTCGGAAGGTCTTCAAGTGAACTGCGAAGATATACGGCTGAACGCCAAGCTTTATAGCAACAGAGCAGCAGCTCATTTCCATTTGGGTAAGAATCTTTTTAAAGGAACTACTAAATTCTTCATGGAACGTACTCCGTGAAGTTAATGAATGTACATTCTGCACCCATTTTAAACGGGTTTTTATCCTCGCCTGCTGTCTTCCCCACCATTTTTGCATCCTTTTATCGCATGAATATTGAAATGAAACTGGCAACTTTAATATTTCATGTCGATCGCACACGTGGAAATTCTCCATCAGGATGAAATTCTCCTGCAAAGTTTCATCGCAATTGTGAGATATTCTTACCGTAAATTATGAAAAGTATACTTGCCAAATAAATTGCAAAGCAACTAATAAGAATATCGAAATTCCCACACAGGTTCGAAGACCAACATCTCAGGACTTTTGTTGTGCGGAGGTTTATCCGTTCTGTGGTTAAAAATTAATTACGCGTCTAATTCAATCAGTATAACATCTTCCATTTCGAATTGTTGCGTCTCAGCCGGCTTACGATTATATCAAGCTAAAACGGAACAATTTAGTTTATGGTGGTTACCCCTCAAAAAGTGCGTATCCTTAAATCAAGGTGGTAATCCTCTCGCCAGTCGTTGTGACTCATATTCTGCTGACTCGACTACCGAAATAATGGCTCAGCCATCTGCTAACCTAAGAATCAATGAATTTTTTAAAAGACGAATTTTATGGAGAAAAGAGCAAGGAATCCTCTCAAAAGATGCCCGGAAAAGCAATCAAATATGGTCAAAGCACTTACAGGGTCATATAGTCTAAAGCGGAAAGAAGCTTTAGAAAAACCGAAATTCCCAGATCCGAGTAATCTACTCTTTTTTATATATTGTCGTCAAGGTTGCAAAGAACAATACTTTTTCCGAAACACATCGTTCCCTAAGGAGAATTGAAATAATTTGTTATACAGCACTCAAGAAATTCGGGTATGCGTCGACTTATTCAGCATGAGAAGGCAACTCCAGCGATGGACTAATATGATACCAAGGAAGCGTAGAGCTGCTTCTTCTTAGGTAAACCACAAACTAAAAATCAATATGAGGAGAATTGCCCTGAGATGAACTCTGTGAGTTTCTTGTGACCATACTCAGTTGCCAAGTTTGAAATATCTAAAGGATAAGAGGCGAAAAACGAAGGTGTTTGACCACGTTCTCTTAATGTCGTAGGTAAATTCCCGCGTAGTAAAAATCTGGGTCAAAATGTGAACCTTATCTCCCCCAATTTTACCTGATAAAATGATTTTCTCCTGGTTTTAACTAAGGCCAAGTCTAGGACAGGTATAAAGACGGATACTTAAATTGGCATGTGATGACGACTGACACTTAGTTCCTGAATTCCTTAGGAAACTACGAAGAATGTCTCAATGATGCAACAGTTTCTGTTCAGTTGGAACCCAATTTAATCATAGCTATTAAGAAAGGTGGGTGTTGCAGTCAAAATTCATCAAACCACTTTGCTGTGGTTTCTTCAAGAGAATTGTATGGATTACGGCAGCTAACTGTACCTCGGGTATCAACAATAACTGGTGAATGTTTGCTATGTAGATAAAAAGCGCAAGTTGAGGTCGATGAGCTATAAATGAAAATTAAACCAGTAATGGTTCATTTACACCAAAGATTAAACATGTCTGAAGTCGTTTTATTAAACACAGTTTAAATTTTTTCCTCGTAGAATTTGTATAAACCGTTGTTAGTCGACTTCAAATATAACATATTGAAAATGCAAATAAGCGATTGTATGAATTCTATAGAAAATTCAGTTTTTCAGTCCTCTCTTTCTGGTTTTCATTCAGTTAAACCCGATCTAACTAAAAATGTTTTGCTGATGTGAATGGGGTGTGAGACGATTTTCTGGCTACCTTTATATGTGGATAGTAATTAATTAATTACCTCACGTCATTACCTTCTCAGCCGCCAGTGCTTGCGTGGAGCTTTGCTTGTACAAAGAAGCAAGGAGCTGGTTGCATATGGGATTAGCCGTATCCTTTGACGAGTGTTTCAAACGTAATACGCAAAGAATTGCAAGCAGTGTTCACTAACACCAAGCTGAGCAGTTGAAAGAAACTAAAATATTTTCAATTATTCCAAAACATTTCACTTGACAGAAGGGGCATTCTATCTAATTCGCAGAGTTTAAACTGAACACCCCTCATCAGTGTCTCTCCAAGAATATCAGCAGGACGCCCAAACCAAACAATGATTACGCCTAGTGAGCTTGTTAACATTTATACTAATATTCACTCTAGTAAGAAAATATTTAATATAGGAAATCGTCAAAAGAAATCCACCTTCGACAGGTATATCCCTTTCTAAGGTTTGTTTAGGGAATAGCGCATGTTTTTTAGGGGTGTTTGAGAAAAACACCGCGAGAGCGATGTTTCAAAATTCTGCAAAATATCACGAGCTTACATTAAATGAACGTCCAGGGACGCTAAAATTACCCCAAACTGTCTGGCTCATAGTCCGAGTCGTCATTCTTTCCGGGATAAAAACCTCTTCAGATTCACATCAATTTCCTTGGCTTCGAAGCTTATAATATCCGAACTGTAGGCCACATAAAGGTCTTCAAAATTTTCTTGGTGTTTTCATTTGCTACATTTTCTATAAATTCTTGAAGCTTTTTAGTTTCACAATCTGGAAATATTTCAGCCATTGTTTCAAAATTAGAATCGGTATCATTTCAGTTAATGTAAAAATGCAATTTTATATGTAAGGTTTTAGAATTTGACTGAAATACTTATTTTCTCAGCGAATCGCATACATGAAATGTCTCAACTTATAGAATAATACCTCTAATATTTTTATTTTTACTGAAATTTGTACACATCCGCTCATCAGTTATTTATACTTAACCCGTTTTAAGATTGAGAAGGATAACCAACCTCTGCTTCACTTACTGAGAAAATCTCAAATATTAATAGAGCGCCACGAGTGTATTATGGGAAAAGCCAAAGTAGACAGAGAAAAGATCGAGGAGGGAATCCGTTATAGCCTTCTAGGAATAGCTCATCATAATCGAGGACAGTTCAAAACAGCAATCTATTACCATCAACGTCATCTAGAAATTGCTAAAGAAGTGGGAGACAAGGCCGGAGAGGGAAAGAGTTATGCCAATCTCGGCTGCGCTTATCTTCGTCTAGGACAGTTCAAAACAGCAATCGATTACCATCAACGTTGTCTAGAAATTGCTAAAGAAGTGGGAGACAAGGCCCGAGAGGGAAACAGTTATGCCAATCTCGGCTGCGCTTATCTTCGTCTAGGACAGTTCAAAACAGCAATCGATTACCATCAACGTTGTCTAGAAATTGCTAAAGAAGTGGGAGACAAGGCCGGAGAGGGAAACAGTTATGCCAATCTCGGCTGCGCTTATCTTGGTCTAGGACAGTTCAAAACAGCAATCGATTACCATCAACGTCATCTAGAAATTGCTAAAGAAGTGGGAGACAAGGCCGGAGAGGGAAACAGTTATGCCAATCTCGGCTGCGCTTATCTTCGTCTAGGACAGTTCAAAACAGCAATCGATTACCATCAACGTCATCTAGAAATTGCTAAAGAAGTGGGAGACAAGGCCGGAGAGGGAAAGAGTTATGCCAATCTCGGCTTCGCTTATGATAGTCTAGGACAGTCCAAAACAGCAATCGATTACCATCAGCGTGTTCTAGAAATTGCTAAAGAAGTGGGAGACAAGGCCGGAGAGGGAAACAGTTATGGCAATCTCGGCTGCGCTTATCTTCGTCTAGGACAGTTCAAAACAGCAATCGATTACCATCAACGTCATCTAGAAATTGCTAAAGAAGTGGGAGACAAGGCCGGAGAGGGAAAGAGTTATGCCAATCTCAGCTGCGCTTATGATAGTCTGGGACAGTTCAAAACAGCAATCGATTACCATCAACTTCATCTAGAAATTGCTAAAGAAGTGGGAGACAAGGCCGGAGAGGGAAACAGTTATGCCAATCTCGGCTGCGCTTATCTTCGTCTAGGACAGTTCAAAACAGCAATCGATTACCATCAACGTCATCTAGATTTTGCTAAAGAAGTGGGAGACAAGGCCGGAGAGGGAAACAGTTATGCCAATCTCGGCTGCGCTTATCTTGGTCTAGGACAGTTCAAAACAGCAATCGATTACCATCAACGTCATCTAGAAATTGCTAAAGAGGTGGGAGACAAGGCCGGAGAGGGAAAGAGTTATGCCTATCTCGGCTGCGCTTATGATAGTCTAGGACAGTTCAAAACAGCAATCGATTACCATCAACGTCATCTAGAAATTGCTAAAGAGGTGGGAGACAAGGCCGGAGAGGGAAAGAGTTATGCCTATCTCGGCTGCGCTTATGATAGTCTAGGACAGTTCAAAACAGCAATCGATTACCATCAACGTCATCTAGAAATTGCTAAAGAAGTGGGAGACAAGGCCAGGGAGGGAAACAGTTATGGCAATCTCGGCTGCGCTTATCTTCGTCTAGGACAGTTCAAAACAGCAATCGATTACCATCAACGTCATCTAGAAATTGCTAAAGAAGTGGGAGACAAGGCCGGAGAGGGAGGAAGTTATGGCAATCTCGGCTGCGCTTATCGTGGTCTAGGACAGTTCAAAACAGCAATCTATTACCATCAGCGTCATCTAGAAATTGCTAAAGAAGTGGGAGACAAGGCCGGAGAGGCATCCACACTCAGTTTTCTTGGAAGTAATTTTGAGTGCCAAGGAAATCTCAAGAGGGCCTTTGACTGCTTTCATTCTTCTGTAGAGGCGTTTGATAGTATCAGGGCTGGTCTGCAATTCAACGATCAGTGGAAGATTTCTTATCGTAATCAGCATAAAAGTGCATACACAGGCTTGTGGCGTATAAACCTATTTCAAAATGAGTTTCTCAAGGCTCTTCTTACCGCAGAAAAAGGACGTGCTCAAGCTCTAAAAGATCTGCTAGAAACAAAATATCAGTCCCGAGATTCTTCAACGAACAGCGGCTCGTTCCTTACCCTGAGTTTTGTTCCATTAGGTACAGTCTTCATGGCTATCAGTGGACCGTGCGTTTACTACTGGGTTCTCCTTAGCGACGATAATGTCCAGTTGAGAAAGGTACATGTCAACAATTATAAGTATCAGAGGGAATTGGAAGTTTTCATCCAGCAACTGAACAAAACTGCCTTGAAGAAGATCGATGCAAGAGATGCTGTTAAATGCGAAAATCCTTCCCATGACTCGCCGAAAGCGACGGAAGTGGCGAATGATATCATTCAAATTGATGTAAGGTACTCACAATCAAGTGCTCTACAGAAGCTTTATGACATCATCGTTACTCCTATTGCTGATCTGATCGAAGGAAACGAGCTTACAGTAGTTCCTGAGGGACCATTTTGTCTTGTGCCTTATGCAGCATTGGAGGACTCGAAGTCAACTTATCTGAGTGATTTATTTAGAATTCGCGTGCTTCCGTCCCTGACGACCTTACAACTAATCAACGATTGCCCAGCTGAATTTCACCTGAAGAGCGGTGCATTGCTTGTTGGCGACCCATGTTTCAAAGAGATCATCTATCAGGGAAAACGGTTGGTGCAACTTCCAGGAGCAAAGAGAGAAGCGGAGATGATTGGACGAATTCTCAACATTCCCCCCCTTATTGGAGAAATGGCAACAAAAGATGAAGTGTTGAAACGACTTTCATCAGTGGCTTTAGTACACATAGCAGCACATGGTAAAATGGAAACTGGTGAAGTTATCTTGGCACCAAACACCACAAGAGAAACCCCTCAGCCTCAAGAGAAGGACTATCTACTGACGATGAAAGATGTCATGGAAGCTGGGCTGCGGGCGCGACTGGTTGTTCTAAGTTGTTGTCACAGTGCTCGTGGGGAGGTCATGGCCGAGGGTGTGGTTGGCATCGCCCGAGCATTCTTGGGTGCTGGCGCTAGAGCTGTTGTGGTAACCCTATGGGCGATTGCAGACGAAGGAACCCTGGAGTTCATGAGTTTCTTCTACGATGCACTTGCTAAAGGCAAGAAGGCAAGTGAAGCTCTCGATCAGGCCATGAAGTGTTTGAGAAAATCCGAAACCTTCAAGGAGGTGAAGTACTGGGCACCATTTGTACTCATTGGTGATGACGTCACACTTGATTTCAACGACATCTAGTTGCTGATCCATGTAATTATTCTTTTCATAACATTTATGCATTGCAAAGTAACTTTAAATCCAAATTAGAGATACATATTTGATCATAAATGCTTTTTTTGTTATCTTGCTGTGTAAAGTTTGGGAGTTTCTTTTTTTCCCGAAGAAATTGAAATGCTTTTAAATTGAGTGGGCACAGACTTTTTCTTAGATAATTTGATAGGAGTAAAAAACAGTTTTCTGCTATAATAATTGTTGGGCAGTTTATCGTTTCATGTCGTAAGGCCGAATGAAAAATTTTATATGATCTCAACGATTCTCCCTGAGTTATGATTTTTTTTACTTTTCAGTTAAGGCAGTGAGAATTGGAGCTGTATCATAGAAAAGACAGAACCCAAGAAAGTAAAAAGTTGCCCGCAAGCGTTCATATTTGGAGCAGAAACCACAAGGCTACCTATAAAATCTCTGTAAGAGTCCTCTACTGAGAGCAGGAGAAGCGAAAGAGCCTTCAAGAGCCCATATGGATCTCTGTTTTTGCAAAAGTTGATTCTCCACGTCTTAAATGCTCTTATGAGCTATAAGGATTTTGGACACGCAGAAGAAAAAAGACTTTGCATTTTTTTATTTTTAATGAACTGTTCGAACTAGCTTAAAAGTAATTTTTTTAAATTAGTGATGTATTGAAATCATCATCACATTTTTTAATCTAAAATGAACGAGGTTGTTATCTGTAAACAAGTTTTAGGTGTTATATTTACGTTCAAGTTGAAACACCTTGAAAACGTATTCCCAAAATGTTTTTGCAATTTTTTTTTCTCAATCGGTTTTTGCCTTAAGGTTTATATAAAGTATTGCAGCCATATGCGTGTGTAAAGATTTCCATAGACGTTGAAAAATAATTGGTCATTTGGTCATTTGGTCATTTGGTCGTTTGGTCGTTTGGTCGTTTGGTCGTTTGGTCGTTTGGTCGTTTGATTGTTAAATTAGCTTAGTTACAGTCGAATGGAAATTTCAATTAACTTTTGGAGGAATTTTTTCTTGTTATAATTAGTTCTTGTGTCACGAACATCAGATTTTTTCAATCGGTTTTTGCCTTAAGGTTTACATAAAGCTATTAAAGCCATATGTTTTTTGTAAAGATTTCCATAGAACTTGAAAAATAATTGGTCGTTTGATTGTTCAATTATCTTAGTTTCAGTCGAATGGAAATTTTAATTAATTTTTGAAGGAATTAGACCTAGTTATAATTAGTTCTTGTGTCACGAACATCAGATTTGTTGGAATTAAAATGGCACAATTTTTTAAGACCTGTATTTAATCCTAGTATTACCGATACTACGATTTTTCCTATGCGTTTGAATGCTATAAAGTGTTCATAAACACTCTGTTTAAGCGAATTTTCCAATTGCAAACCGAGAGGCTGGTCGGACAAGCAGGTTCACTGATTTGGCTCAAATTTTGCATGTAGACTCGGCTAGGGGTTCTAATCGCTAAATGGATATTTTAAGATTGAACGGTCATTAGGAGCCCCTCCAGGACATGGTTGTAAAGGCGCTGGTCAAGACGCTTGCAAAGGCGCTTGTTAAGGCACTTGACAACACCACGCTTTAATGATTGCGCCAAATTCTCATTACTTATAGTAGGAAGTCTTCGGGTGTGATTGGTTCCTTTAAGAAAACTCATGGCAATCCAAACCCATGACTCAAAAAAGTCAACAGGAAGTCTATTTGAGGAGCAGGGGGGAGAAATTCAAGTTTGAAATGCGGGGACATATTCTGTGCTAGAGATATGCCCAAAAACCGATAACTTTCTACCCACAAAATCAAAGAACACTTTTCGCGTCAATCAAAAACCGTCCTTTCCCGAAAATCTAAATAAAAAAATAAATAAATATGAAGCGTAATTAACATGAACAGAAAGTATTCTATGATTTTCTTAAAGACAGTTTTATTTTCAAAACGTTCTGACATCAAAAGATTTCCTTCACGCTATATGGTGTTCAAGATCTGATTACAATTCTGTTTTTCGCTCTATCTTCAACAGCTCAACCTCAAATACCAGTGTGGCGCCCCCTGAAAAGATAAAATAATTGGCGTACATTCATTTTAAGTTGCGTTTTGAGGAAAAAAATTCATGCCGCAATATGATTGAAGAAGCTTTTCATGTATCCCACAAGGAAAGAACCCCTTACACCTTAACTGGCCTAACATCAGTATGGGTATTTTCCACACTGTTCACTCTACATTTCTTAGGGTGTTAAAAGGAAAAATTTTGTGTAACAATCAAGAGCTTCTTTAGTTGGTGATTTCCTTTATTCTTGTGACCTTAATGTCTGACTCAGGGCTGATATTATTAACCAATTATTCACAAAAGTGGATGCAAATAATTGTTTCAGCTGGTACCACACAGATACCAAAAATTTAGTTTGTTTCTTTCAATATATCAAAAAATGGTCAGAAATTAAACTCTTGACATGCAATTTTGTGTCATAGACTGCTGGAAGGTGATTAGTACTTGCTACTCACTTCCAAATAGCCAATCAGTGCGTGTGAAAAGTACTATTCAACTGTGTGGTATATACTAAAGGGAGATATTAGATGCTGGTCACTTTTAGGGGTCAAAGGAATTTTTATTTGCCACTTCACAATTGCTCATAGACCACTTGGTTTGTCGCCCTGTGTTTTGCATTACCATGGTTACTTCAAATTTCTCTGGCGACCTTAAGTTAAATACATAGTTTAAGAGTGTAGACAATATGAATTATGAGCAATTAATACTTAAAAATAATTCCTTAAATAAGATAGTTGTAGTTTTGTGGTTTTTCCTTTTTTGTCAGATTATGTGCATCCAATTTAGAAACTTGCAAGCCGTCAGGAGACTGGCAAAGTGTCGTTGAACAAATCTGTGGGGGAGGTGGGTGGGGTGGCTTTGACGCCATACTTCAAAATCAAATCTCTCCATATTTCACAATTTCAGAGGTTGGCATCAATATCATAAGTGTTCATGTAATGCTCTGACTCAGCATTGTCTCTGTTGACCACAAGCTGTTAACTCACCTGGGATCTTAGGGGGAGCTCCTCTGTCCCCATAACCTGCACAAAAGAAAGAAAATTCCTCTTAGTATAGTAAAAACAGCTGAAAATTACTTCAATATGACTGCTAAAATTCTTGTGTTATTCAGCTTGCTGGTATGTAACAGATAAATTACTTATCTACATAAGCTTACATTTCAAGTAAGGTAAGTTGCCCTGTTATCAATCCTACTGGCATCTACTAGCTACAATTCTTACTCACTGCATTGGATGTAATTATATACTTAAATATCAGGGCAGGGACTTACCAAGGTCTGATGGGATTACAAGTTTCCTCTTTTCTCCTTCACACATACTAAAAACAACATGAAAAAAGTTTTAATTAACAGTAATAACAAGAAGTTTATTTATACCTTGAGTAAGTAACAGCAAAATGTTAAAACAGGAAAGCTGGTAGCTGGGCACCAAAAAGAACTTTAGGAACTATTAATACCATATGTCAGTCAGCCTGTCCTCATCATACCCTTAGGCACATATGATCATAACAAGAGAACGTCACTGTTGCCTATTCTTCCCTTTCCTCCTCAGCTCTTCCCAGCTCACCCTATTCTCTTGAATCTCTTTTTCATTGGCCATTGTTAGTTGCTGTACTAATCAAGTGCCCATTTAACAGTGTAAGATTATACTTTGTAGGCGAAAACAATACCAAATCAAATGACAACCCATTTTTTCATAGTTTTTGAAATTTTAGCAATAACTGTATTTCAAGTCGTCAACTAATCAACTGATGCTTTTCAAGATTGCATAAAAAAGACTTCAAAAGAGGTTGATTTTAATGTTTTGTAATTTAATATCCATAAGTAATTGAACAGGTTAAACCAAGTAAAAAGAATTTTATGTTGCTGCTAGTTCCACATTTGCTGAATGGTTTGAAGCCAGTTTATCAATAACTGTTATAGACCCCCGAGGGAATGACAAGTCAGGTCCTATGGATACATCTATACTTGCCATGTCGTGTGCACAATGCTTGACACTTCATGCTTGCACACCGAACATTGAATCACTGGCCAGAAATTCTCTTACATCTGACTACTAAATCCAGATCACTTATCCATGACTCATATTCACTGGCACTTTTACTACAAAATTCACCCCAGCTTTAACAAAATTAAAAAATACGGAACAACAAAGTTCAAAAGCTTGCTTTTCACAGTTTACTTTTTTTTTAAAGTTCTGTACAGTTCTGAAAAAGTTTGAGGAAGTAGTTTGAAAATGTAAGTAATGTGGAGAGAGGAATTTATTGTGTATAAATAAGACTTAGAAACAAATGATTAGTGGTCTATAGTTGTAACTTACTTTAATAGTCCTTGATCCCATCCTGTAATAAAAATTAAATCATGATTTATTAAATAGTAAAAACACCTCTAATATACACCAAATATCTTACATTAGTATCCAACTGCTCTCAGAGAGTACAAATAATGCACAAATTGAGTACAAATTATCCTTGCACAGCTGTTTGGACAGTTGGTTATTTTGTAAAGTAATCCAACAAGAACATTGCAAGACCTGTCCCAAACCACTCCTCTATTTGCTTTGTTTTCCCTGCCTTTTAACAAATGAATAAAATAAAACAGTTGGGTAACAAGTAACATATGAGATGTTTGGTGTGCAGCATCACTGAATATTTTTACTCATTGTTTGTATTTTGGCTTGCCCAGCTCTCTTGTCAGAATATGGCACATCTAGTAAAAACTAAATGATTTACCCACCAAAACAACTAATAAGACACAGTTATACAGAAAATATTCAATATTGTAAAGAAACCATAAGATAACTGAGGTACTAAGTTAATTCTAATCGTTCAGAAACCTAAAGTTTATCAAACCAACAAACCCAATGCTTGTTTATAAATTAAAGCAATAGATCCCCATTAGCTTGTGATGTCCAAATGTTTCTTGCCTTCTTCCCACTTCCCACATGGGCCAATTCATTGCTAAACCAGTAGAAAGTGCAATCACTTGCTTGAATGCATAATACCATGGCAAACTACTAATATCAGCCTGTTTTGCACATAGTCATGAATGCTATATCACAAGTATCCACCTTTGATAACTTGTCCCACTCCTAATGTAAACACGAATGGTTCTCCTCGCGGGATACTGCTGTCAAATTGTGTCCCATCTTTCAGAGTACCCTAAAAATCAAATAAATGAAAACATACAGAACAAATCAATACAACTCAAGTTTGAAGGAAACCTTTTCAAGTTGTCACCTTTCTCTTGCAGCTAATTCAAATTAACTAATTTTGGGTTATGAATGGAAAAAATTTTAAAAATTCTGTATCAGCTGATTGAGTTCAATTTAAAATTACCCACAGGCCATTAAAATTCCTTCATTATGATAGGTTTACAAGTCATGTTACCAGAGCAAACCATTTTCCCACAAGCAGTTGAGGAGGAAACATTGCATCAAATTATCTCCCCCCTCTTTGATGAATATCTTTAAATACCCTGTAAATGAACCATGCAAGCAGAAACAAGACCCTGTCTGTTATGCATGTTTGACAGAAGTCTATTTAACAAAAAAAAGGAGTAAAAGTTCACAATATTAAGTGTGACACTGTTGAAAATTAAGTGAAACATACTGCTGTTAAATAAGTGAAGTCAATTTATGCCTGGCATATATTTTATCTGACTGGGCCTTTTAACCCAGCCAAGAATCAAACCAACATGAAAATGCAAATTTCCCTTACGCTGCCATATGATTAATTCATTTTGTAGATCACTGTGACTCCTGATGAATATATACATATAACCTTTTTAAGCAACAGTTTGTTTGAATATATATCAAGAAAATTAACTTTGCTTGATAAATCTCTTTATTCTCGTAACCCACACTTTTGATGATCTATTGTTAGTGTTGTGAGAGATCAGATGTTTGTCACCGTCTTCTATTATGAATGGGGAAATAACACGTCACACGTGCGTGCCAAGAAATAAATCACAAGATCTCAAAATGCAGTTCAACAACAAGTACAAACGTAGAATCATTTGGTCACAATATAAAAAGATTATTCGATACAGCAAATATTCTAACTCACAGTGTAGTGCATGTGGAGTGTATCACCGCTCTTGGATCTCGTTTTGCAGTCTGCTACCCTTTTCTTTACGCCGATCTGCAACTTTTTTGAGTCTTTCTTGTCCGCAGCGAGCGCTTGATTCGACAAGATAAGAATCATCAACGCCGCTACAATTCCACAGAGAATACGCATTCTATCAGTTTAAATGACAAAAAAACTAGCTCCAACAAGAAGAGAGGAGAAATTATCGCCGCGAGAATGGACTCGTTCTCGAAGAGGAATTCTCATGCAAGTGGACTGAAGGCGCAAAAAGCGGGGGTGATCTGGGCACTACTATAATCTCAAAGAAATTAAAGAGACAGGGGTGAGGCGAGGATTGTTTGCTTTAACTGTTCAGTGGCCGAGATAGAACGCAGACATTCTAAAAGAATCAGAACATTTTATGATCAAGATGGCCGATCTTAATCAAGAATTCGGTTTGGTTGACAAGCTCGTTCTCACCACCTTTCTTTGGCAATGTAAATTAGAAAACTCAGTCATGGAATGGAAGAGAAAACGAACTTGGTAGCAAGGAAAATTGACCCTTTACACCCTAACATCAGTATTCATATTCTCCATACTGTTCTCTGTACATATACTAATGTGCTGACAAGGAGAATTTGTCTTACAATCAAGAGTTTCTCTAGTTGATGATCATTTCCTTTATTCTCATGAAATTAATGTGTGATTCAGTGGTGATATTGTAAGGAGAAATAAGATGCTAGTCACTCTTAGGAGTTGTAGAATGGCAACCCAAAGAATGCTGCATGAGGTAAATCACCAAAGAGATGTGAAAAAATGTCTTAAATGTAGTAGCAAAATTTCAAAAGCACACAGTATAGTGGATAAGGTTCTACAAGTGTTTAAGGCAAATATGTCACAAAATATGGGAAATCTTGAGTATCTTTAAATTACATAGTCCAGGATGATAACCTAGCTTGAATTTTGTGGAAATTGGCAGCATGAAGGATTATGCTTGACTTTACAGAGATGTGACCAAGTTCTCTAGGCACAGCTATTATTTCAATTACTTCTTTTTTTTTAATTTTTCAAAACTGCTTTGCACTTACAAATGGCACATTTAAGCTGAGTGGTTATCACTACAGTCTGTTCAACTGCTGCAGTTGGTTAACAGCAAGGTGATAACATCAGGAAAGTGACACAAAATAAAGATTCGAAATTTAGTTAGTAACCAAGCAATATCCACTTTGAATTGCATAAAGAAAAAAAGGTACGCTCCTTGTATCTTGCCAACTATGGATTGATGTAGTTTTGAAAGTTCAGCATCTAAGCATCATTTATTGACATTGCTTGCACTTTACTTCCTTCTGTTAGTGGACACATTCAAAGTACATGTGTATGTACTTCCACCATTACATATAACACACAAAATAAAGAAAAACTAAACATAATATTTTCTTCTTCAAGAATTAAGGGATACTTTAGATTAGAACCATGCTTGGGGCTAATTTTGCTTACCCCATCTAACCCCAAATGAATGCAACAGAACATTTTGTAGCTTGTTCTTCACATAAACTGGTTCACAAACACTATTAACAAAACATTGTTTTTCAGTAGAGCGTCCATCACCCAAGACAAGATTAAGGATCCTTTTATTTTTTCTGGACCTTGAAGAATCCTGCAGTACTTGAGAAATACTTGGCATTTGCATCTTCTACTTTCTTCTCCACTGCCTGGGGATTGACAATCTCTAGTCCTTGGAGAGGAGTGAATGCCACACTGGAAGCTGTTCCTGACACAGCTCGGCGAACTGTTGACTGACCACCCAGACTCTGAGACTGTGCAAGACTCCGCTATGAATCAAAGAAAAGAAGAAATTGATATCAATTCTGAGCATGGCTTAAACAAATATTTCTTTAAGTTTTGACTAAAAATTGGTTATCTGAGAGTATCCTTTCCTTGTTTAATGGCCAAGTATACAACTTCCCCAACAGGCAAGTGATTATTATTCTTACCAAGGCTCAAGATAAACTATAATTGAATAACACCCAGTATAATCGAGTGGTGGAAAGTAGTAGAAACAAAAACAAAATACAAAGAAAAAGGCAGAAATAGTTTTTAGGGTGCAAGTGCTACACCTATTTCCCCACCACCAAGCATTTCATCAAGGTTTCCAAAAGTCCAATGTTACCCCTTTTCTCTGAGAGTGAAGTATCTCAGCCAACCACATGTTACTCTGACTGAGCCAGGGTTTAAATCCTGGACCTTTGAACCCTCTTTAACCCTTTAATTAAACCCTAAGAGTGACCAGCATGTAATTTCTCCTTACAGTAATACTGCTCAATCATTCATTAACCCTTTAACTTCCATGAGTGACCAAGAAACAATTTCTCCATACAATATCAGTACACTATCAAGCAGATAAGAGATGTGAATAAAGAAATATATCAATTTGGGGATAATTAGTTGATCCAATCCTAAATTCTCTGAATTAACATTGTAAGAACTGTATGGTTGACAGTAAAGAGAATTACAAATTTGGTCTGGGAGTTCAAGGGTTAAGATCATGAAAAGAAAGGAAATGATCGCTAACTTAAGAAGCTGTGATTACTAAACAAATTCTCTTAGTCAGCACCAAAGGAAATATATAGAAAAGAGTATGAAGAATATAGATACTGATGTTACGGTGTAAAGGGTTAAAGGCCCATTTCCAACCTTGATGCAACGGGGTTGTTTGTTTTTGTTTTGAACCACTGCTTTTGTTTCAATAGCGCCTCTGATTGGTCAGTTATTTTTACCTTGTCACGTCTCAAAATACCTTCTGCGTTTTCTTCGATGAATTTGAAGAACTTGTCAAAATAATTCTGTTTAAAACAGTTCTTTACGTTTCAATCCGGTATGGAATCAGATGAATCCATTGATTTAGTAGATTCCGATATGGATCGGTTGTTGCTAAAGAAGAACACAAAAATCCTTGTGAGCATTACGAACAAGGTGAAAATGTTGTTGTTGTCATTCATCAATTTTTTTTTAAATTGAGGTTTGCCATCCTCGTTAAATAGGACTAGGGTCAGTTGAAGTTTCCCGAAGAGAGAAGATCTTGCGCTCGAAAGAGTGGTCGAGGTTGTTGTCCATGCAAAGTAGCAAATAAGAATTGTAACGCAAACTGTCAGTGTCGCTGACGTTCCTGCAATAAATGACTAAACTTAAAATAATTTAACGTCCGGCAGTCCGATATTTTTCCATATTTCTCTTCAAAATCCAAAAATTATTTATACGAAAATGTTCTACCTTCACTTACAATCCTCGAGCGCTTCCAGGCAGCCTAAATTTTCGAGCTTGATGTTTTTCGCTAGCCCTGTATACAGAGTACGAAGCCATTCAAGCGCTTGACACAAAAACTTTTCAATGACACGGCTGGACACGGTCCTCAAATAACTCCATATTTCTCGTTCAAATATACCAATTTTTCGTTGGAAAGTATTCTACCTTCATTTACAATCCTCAAGCACTTCTAGAAAGTGAAAAAATGCCAACGTTATACGTTTCGCTGATCTTGTACACAGAGTGCGAAGCGATCCAAGGGTGACACTAAGAAAATTTTCACCGGACACTACCGGACGCGGTCTTCGAATAACTAAACGTCCGGCAGTCTGATATTTTTCCATATTTCTCTTTGAAAAATATCAATTTCTATTGGAAATATTTTATCTTTATTTAGAATCCTCAAGCGCTTCTAGAAAGCGAAAAAATTCAAACGTCGTTCTTTTCGCCGACTCTGTTCACAGAGTACGAAGAGATCCAAGCGTGATTTTCTTCGGATTTTCTTTTTCTTCGGATTCTTCCGGACAAAATTCAAAATACTGTAAGGAAACTGTAAAATGACGAACGGCGAATGTATTTACCGTAAAACAGTTGACTATACGCCCAGGATGGCTCTTGATAAAGACGATTTTAGAAGGTTTTCAGTAATATGGGAATTTCGTATTGCAGGAAATTGGATCGCGGAGCGCATTGCATCAAGGTTGGAAATGGGCCTTTAAGACAAGGGGGCTTGCCAATAGGTCAACATGTTTCCAAATCAAAAATGCAACATAGCAATAATCATCATCATATCATGAGTGACAAATGGTACAAATGGCTTTATATTTCTCTTCATGAACAAATGAAAGTAATATAAAACTTGCTTTCACAGACTGCTCCAAAGTGTACATTGCCTACCTGTAGACGTTTAGAGATGGATATTTGTGTCTTCTTATCAACAGCAGGTGTCCGCACACGGCCAGTGTTCTCTTTCCTGCCCATGGTCCCAACAGAGAATCCCAGATCAGTCTGGTAGACATCTTCACCAATCTGGCCAAATTCTAATCTGTTAGCCTGCCTTCTCATCTCTGTAATAGCAAACTTTTCCTTCATTTTCCGCACTCTTCGACCACCTCTCTTCTTACGAGGTGCGTCATCTGGTCTTGGAAGAGCTTTGGTTTCTTTAAGAGGTGGTGGTTCCAACCACTTGTCAAATTTCCCCTCAACATTCTCCCTGAGCTGTTGTCCAACAGATCCATCTGTGCTCTCATGGAAGCCGTCTACCCTTGCAGCAAGAGAGCACTTTGATGCAACCACTCTAGCAGCTTTCTTTCTCAAATCAGCAGGCATGTCCTAAATGTAGGCAAATGAAATAACAAAAAGTTCAAAAACAAAGAAAAAGTATGTTGAGGGGTGCCTACATATTTAGTCACATGGAACAAGACCATGATTGTCTCTCTCTCTCTCATTCAACAGTCAACTTTCAAGAGCTTTCACTAATATTGAGTATGTGCATAATGTTATCATTAAAATCTGCTTACATTTCACAATACTTAGTGAACAAATAATTCTGATAAGTCAACAACACTTTTTCTCAAAATTTTATCTCTCAACACTCTTCAATTCTTTGCTTGACTATTTCTCTCCCATGATCAAATTAGTAATTATGCTCCTTACCATCTGCCATACAAATTTACCATTTGATAATTTGGTATTAAATCAACAAATACTTCCCTTTTGATATTTTTCTTTATTCTCATCACTTTTCTGCTTGATATTGTATTGATATTGTAAGGAGAAATTCTGACTTGATCACTCATTGGAGGAGTTATAGAGTTTAAAAAATGTTCCACACACCTGGATAAACTCACTGAAGTAAATGTGGCCAGTATGCGGCAAGATTGCTGCACTAGAAAACCCAGACAGTGTCTTCTTCTGGGATCCTAGCAAAAGAACATTACACGCTGGCATTTTTGACAGACTCGTTAACCCACCAGCAGAACCCATGAGTTTAGCTGCAGTTGATGCCCCAACTATAACTGATAGATTGGGCGCTATGAAAGTCATTCTGGATTCAACATACTGGAAGATCTTAAACTTAGCATCCAGCAAATCTGTAACAGTTTGACAAGCTTCCATGAGCCGCTCGATCTCTTCTTCTTCAAGTTTTTCTCCCTGTGTCGTTGAAGCTGTAACACTAACCACCATTTTGGTAGCTGGTGGGAGAATATCTGTCAAATCGACTTTTGATGCTTCGAGATCGTTCCCTAGCAGTTCAACAGTACGAATATAATCTAACGCATTGGGAACGAGCGATTCCAGCTCTGGAAAACGTTTCGCGTAAAGATCCCGTACGTATTTGTGAATAATATTAACCTCGTTATCAATTTCAGCGGTAAGATTGTTAGCCTCTACAATCAGCTGATACTCAGGGTCCACTTCTACGGGACCGAACACTCGATCGCGGGTTTGATTCCCGAATTCTTCGATTCCAGACAGAACGTCATTGAGCTGTTTACTGTCTTTTAGTTTCGCAACACTTTTAACAGACTTTGAATCTGTGTCTATCGAGCCTGAAATTTCCATTGCTTCTTCGATGCCATCTTCGTTGTCTCTGAAATCAACGTCACCCTCCTCCGCAGCCTCTTCCAAATCTGCTAAAAGTTCATCAGCAAGAGACATTTTGAAATAGTTTCACAGTAATCAACAATTTTAGCCTCTTCACCCGATTATTTAAATTAAAGATAGCGACCGCATGGGAAACAAGTGGTTACTAAGTAAAATCCTTCTGCGCATACATCCATAAGAATACGTGCCAGCAGTATTTTGAGACGAAACGCTTCGAAACGTCTTATCCTTTCAAAAAACTCCTTACGGTGCCGTTTAACAATCTAAAATTATCCGGATAATAATATGGCATCCTTGTAAGTACTACCTCATTTTTGATTACTTGTGACCACTTAATTTTCATGTTCGTTTTCATTGGAATTTGGTGAATCGATTATGCAATTTTTATTGTCAAATTGGTGGATGTTACACGACAGCGTCCATCAAGTTTATTCGATCTCACTTTCTAAATTTGCTGTTTTTCTTCTCCCCAGAATGAACAAGCCCAAGAGTGAAATGACACCTGAGGAACTTGCTCAGAGGGAGCAAGAAGAGTTTAATACTGGTCCTCTTTCCGTCTTAACGCAATCTGTGAAGAATAACACTCAAGTCCTGATCAACTGTCGAAACAACAAGAAGCTGCTAGCTAGAGTGAAAGCTTTCGATAGGCACTGTAACATGGTCTTAGAAAACGTGAAAGAAATGTGGACTGAAACACCCAAATCAGGAAAAGGGAAAAAGGCAAAACCAGTTAATAAGGACAGATACATTGCCAAAATGTTTCTTCGAGGAGATTCTGTTATCTTAGTGTTGAGGAATCCAATGGCAGCTGGAAAGTAAAGTATGATTCATTCTTGTATCATATTTTGTAAAAAGGAACTCTGATGTCAGTTTGAACGTTTCTCTTCCGAGTTGGCAACTGTTAAAAACACCTACAGCCACCATCACCTGGATTTTTTTCTGCAAATGTCTTTTATACGCATGCATCAAGGAGTTGGTGTGTATGAATTGTGATAAATAAAGTGCTAAACGAGCTATACTCTTCTTAGTGATTTCTGTAAACAAACAATGTGAATAGCAAGTGCAAAGAAGCTGAAACTCTCTATGTGAGGGCTGTAGGTAATGACACCACAGGCTGCTAGTCCTTTAGTCATCCTTTAGGTGTTATTTGTAAAGTTTCAGTCACTTGTCAAACTTTCTTGGGAGCAACTACAGATACAGGACCACTTGTGAAGAAGTGGCCCAGTATTCTGTAGTTTAGCCTTTTCCTGAGATAGAAGCCTGGAATATGGCAGTGTCGATATGTGAATTGCAGTAACATTATTTCAAGATTCAAGAGGCTTACGTTAACAGCTTGGATGTTGGCTGCTGTTTCATTATTATTGACTGATAAAGATCATGGTGAACTCACATGCCCTTTTCGTCTAGTGATTCAACTTATTTGACTATTGTATCTAAGTGACAGAAATGATTAAGCAATAAAAAAGACTTTTACTATCTAACAAACAACTGCTACTATTAGGAAGATATAGTATCATGTTCAAGTGCATAGCAGCTTCTTGTGAAGTGTCTAACAAGGCCCAATTTAACCTATTTTGCACAGAAATTTGTTTTATTGTCTTTTGAATTGTTTCAACAGCCACTGGTTTTAGAACAAAAGGTTAGTGCATTATTCACTGGATAGAGATTTTTCCCAATGGATAGCCATATTTGCCCCTAGTACAACCAAGGCTTGATCTCTGTTCTGACCAAAATGACTGGTACTCTATCTAAGAGTGAGCTTGTATTTGACTGCACTCTTTCATCTCGAAGCACAATTTAAAAAGTCTTGAAAGTGGTATAGCCTCTTACATGAAGGATCTTAAAGGTTTTTTTTGCATTCCATCTGGAGGGAATACTGGAGTTACCAATAAATCCCAGTCTTATTTTGCCTCAAATCTCATGGGAAAAGTGCCAAAAAGTCCTGTTCCAGAGAAGAACCCCCCTGGTTACCATCACAGCCATTGTTTGGAATTGAATCTCTTTGAGACCATGATCCTCGCATTTGTGCAAAGATTCCTGGGATTGCCACAGGGAAAACATTGCAAGTTGCTGGAAGGGAATATGTGGCTAAAAATTTGTCGATGTCCAAAAAACAATTTTGGAGAGAGATTGATGCTTTTTTGCTGCATTCCAAAATTGTGAAATAGCTGTTGCAATCTGATTTTCTTTGCTCCTAAGATTTCATTGGTAATTCTCATTACTGTCTGTCATACAATTCTTATGTAAGTTCAGAGATTGAAATTGAGATTGAAATTGGAAGGAGACATTTTGTTTCTGTCACTCATGGAGAGGGAAGAATTCCTGATCAGATAAACAGAATTAACCCTTTGACTCCCATGAGTGACCAAGATGGAATTTCTCCTTACTATATCTATACAATATCATGCAGACATGTGATGAGAATAAGGAAAAATATCAATTGATCTGATGCCAAATTCTCCAAAATAACATAAAGAGAATCATTTGGCAGACAGCAAATAGAATTACTAATGAGATCTTGGGAGTTAAAGGGTTAATAAACTAAATCAAATTTCAGTTCTCAAAAGTATAAAGATTGCAATATTTTTATTGTATTTATTATCATTATTAACAATTTTTTGGAGATAGTCATTGTCATGTTGGATGCAAAGAAAAGTTACAACCAGTTTGCTTCCTGAGTTTTCTGGTAATGTCTGTCTATTTGAATGCCACTCAGAGTTGCGTCATTATAATACATGCTATGTATGTATAGTTCACTTCAAACTCTGAAAGTCAGCATCAGTGGTGATCATCCAGTGATCACCATCTTGCATTCACTGCATCCTTGTTTATGAAAACTAATTCAATGACATCTCTTACAAATGCACAGTATTCTCTTGAATTAAGGACGAATCTTGTTCCTTTATCAAGATAATAAATAGTTTAAACATTACTCAATCCAAAGGTACTTGAGGTAAGGTTTACTGCTACATTTGTATGAAATTCTGCAAAAATAAAATAAGTTAACTTGACCTTTTATGTATTACCTGTAAAATGGTTGGTGGAAATTTGTTTCCAAGTACAACAAAAACTTGTCGTGTCCTAGTAGTTAAGTTTAACTTGCAAAGAAAATGTGGCGATGGTTTTGTAAAACTATACTTGTCTAGTACAAAAATTACTTTAATTAATAATTGATTGAAATCACAAAATATGTACTCTTGGATCTTCTTGAAAGGAGCAATATCAAAATATATCAAGCCCTCTTGAAGCCATTGAAACTTTTTTCCCTAAATATTTCAAGATGCACTAACTGTGACAGAGATTGTTTACGTTCACTGTCACTTCACTAATAGCATGGTTACCACTTATTTCAGCACATCACTCACTGTTCAGAATCTTAAGATCAAATAACAGTCTTCTTACTTCTTAGTCAATGCATTAAATGCATTAAAAAAAACTAATTAAGAGGCACACCAGTGCTCAAAATTAGATCTTATCATTCAGAATCTCAGGGTCTCTAGTATTCAAGAAAAACCTGATTTTCTTCACTTTTGACATGCTAACTTAAAAGATTAGGTTAACGTTATCAGAAGTCACATTGTTCCTGAATAACATGATGCTTAGTAGTACAGTAGAACCCAGCTAACTGAAATTCAGTTGACTCTAACCCCCATAACTCAAACAAGATCCAAATTCCCTTGGCCTCATTTTTCTACTAATTTACTATCAGCTAACTTGAAACCCTGCTCACTTGAAACATTTTTTTCTCTTGGGAGTTTGAATGAGCAGGGTTCAACAGCACTTTCTAGGCTTCAACAAATAAAATCACCCAGAATATGGGGAAGTTACACAATGAAAATTGTTGCACAACATGTCTCTTGTGCAAGGTGTTGATAACATTAACAGTGAATGAAAAACAGTTTTAAACTTTCAGTAACACTGCATGACAAGTTAAAAAATGTTCCCATTAATTAAACTTAGGAGGGCTCCATTATACAAGTTTGCACTGACATAAAAATTCTGCTAACAAAACTTGTTTAAGTTAATTATCCAGAGCAAATGGGTAAAAGCAAAATATAACCTTTTTGTCAGGCTTTCATAAAAATAAAAGACTATGCAAATAACAGTCTTCTTACTTCTTCGTCAATGAGTTAAATGCATAAAAAAAAAAATAATTGAGGGGCACACCAGTGCTCAAAATTAGATCTTATCATTTCTCAGAGTTTTATTTTTTCGAATGCATCAGGGCCCTAATCTCCAGCTGTGCTGTAGGCTGGATTAGTGTACATCATTTCTCCACCAGCATAGTTCACATCCTCCACATTATCAAATCCAAACCCTACAAAAAATTGAGAAATATTATTGGTTAGTTATGTTTTAACCCTTTAACTCCCAAGATCTTGATGATAATTCTCCCCTCTAGCTGCTACATATTTCACTGTAAATTAGTTACAAGAATTTGGTGATAGATCAAGATAACAACTTCTACCTGATAAGTTTGAGTATTCTTATCACCTGTTTGCTGGATAATGTGAAGATATTATAGAGAGAAGTTTCATGTTAATCACTTCTGAGAGTTAAGGGTTAACCTAATCATTATCATTTTAGCCATCATCAACAGATGTCAAAATCATTAGAAATCATTTTCATCAACTGTGACTGTCATCTCAATCAATATCATTAAGACTGCCTTCATCATCAATGCTCCTGATGAAGAAAGTAAAATAACAACAGAAAATACATACTAAAACAACTAGGTAGAGGTATAGTTGGTGCTCAGGCCTACTGGTCCACTCATCCCAAGCTTATCCCAGTTTCTGTAGTATAAGATGACCAGGAGTATTCTTACCCCCCCCTCCCCCCAACCCCTGGATGGGATGCTAGTTCATGGCAAGGTTCCCCCCCCCCCAAGTATTTCATCAGGCTTCCCTTACAATTTGCCAGTAACCCAAAAAAAAGTGGTAGTAGGACTGAGTGGAATCCAATTCGGTCTGTAATCATACAGTCAAGTGATAAACAAAATTGGACAACTACAAAGCGGGAATCTGATTTGTTAATCACAAGTATGACTACAGACAGAATTGGATGACACAAAGTCCTGTTACCAATTAATCAAAACTATAACAACATTTGAGAGAAAAAAATTGACATCAGTTATACATTTTCATAAAAAAAAAAAAAACACAATGAACTCTGCAAAATGCAAGACAACAGTGTGTGCACATAATGCGTTTTGTCCACTTACACAGGCATGACGTGTTAACTGTCTTTTTAACTGTCCAATTACAAGCATGACATGTACAATGTCCTATTAGTACCTTCCCCAACAACACAACACATTGACCCAACCAAGTCTTGAACCCTAACCTCTCAACCCAGAGTCTAGTGCACTGAACATTCAGCCACTGCATATCCAACAAGAACTACACCAACAACAAAAAATTGCTTCCAATATTTTTCAAGAAGTTTACCAATATGTTGTGACTTGATAGGCTGACTAGAACTAATGTTTTAGGCTCACATCCAACACAAATAAATCATGGGCAATCAAACGTGATTCAACTGTGTATCTCTCCAAGCTAACTTTATTACACTTAACATACTTTCAGCCTTAGGCTTCCCAGACTTTCTTTTCATGTAGAACCACATTGCTGCAGCTCCTGCCACGACACCCAAGACAGAGAATGCCACTGCAATACCAATATTTCTGTTCCTGGAAGCTAAGTATAGAGAAATGTTGAAAATCAAAATTACTTACCATTTTTCAAGCCATAACTAGTGTATAAGCAATTAGGAAGGAAGTACCCATGTTAGAGACTTCCACTCAACATAGTTGAGAAAGGTTAACTGACATATTTGAACATTTGAATGCAATCAGATGAACCACTTTTCATTGAAAAATTGTACAGCAGTGTGGCTTATTTGGGGATCTAAAATAATATTGTAACTGGAGGCATTTGCAACATTCAGACTCAAAAAGACCTCGCCCCATAATTAGGTGGTGAGTTATACATACTTATTGACCGAGTGGGAGGGCTAGACGGGAAAATATTTGGCTCAAGGTCATGATGCATGGTCTGAGTGCAGCAACCAACTAAAGTCAGTTAATAAGTATTTTATCATATGACCACATGTTGAAACTTTTGAGAACTTGGTTTCAACCTAGATAGTATGCAATAGACAAGCACTCACAGGACAACCACCAAAAAGATTCTACTGTAAGAAAATTTTGTTTGTTTTTTTTAAAGTCAGAACAACAAAAACACTCAATTCATTGAAAAACTAAACTTTTTACTCTTTTCTTTTTTTTTCCAAGACACTTTTGTGACAAGGGTGTGTGAGTGCTGAGGGCTGGAGAGCTTTTTCCTGACTGGCTCAAGTCATCCCATCCAGCCCTACACACCTCAGCTTTCGTAATGGTATTCTATGGGCTTGTCTATGTGGGGCCACACAGGTCATATGATAATACTAAATATGTCTCATTTTTCAGGTTCTCTGAAGGAGGCCACAGTTTAAATTCAGGGTCTGGTCAGTCAAAATTTCTACCAAGCTTCTAAAGCACATAAGTGATTGAGACAAAGTTTTATATATATAATAGACTTCAAAATGAAAAAACAATGTGAAAATACTGTGAGAATAGGATGACTTTTTCCATATGCTTTAACATTATTTTCACATGCCTCTTAAAATTATGAAATAAGGGTGGAAATGGTATTACAACTATTCAACATTTAAGCATAATGTGCACTTCAGTACAGGCAGATTTAGATCAAGTTTTCTCATCATAATGACGACAACCTTCACAATGCAATAATATTGATGTTGATTTCAATTAGTGGCAATAATATTGGCAAAATCTTATTCATTATCCCAAACCATCTATTTGCATTGGCTCACCTAACAGCCACTGAGTTAATTTTACATGTCTCACCTCTTTGCTTACTTAATCTTTCCTCTTCCCTTCTCTTTGCTTCAGCTGCTAATCTCTGTATTTCTTTCTCTGTGGTGTTTGTCCCACATTTGTCACCTTGCAGAAACAAAAAAACCACCAAAGGTAAAGAAAACAGGTTTAAAATTAAATTTTCTATGATAGTTTTAAATTTAGATATGATGGTGCAATAAGTTCAGTTATTATTAGTATCTCTTAGTAAATACCTTCCCCACAATTGGTCAGTTTAGCAGGCTGTATTTCACTACATATTTCACACGTATTCAAAAGTCTGTTTGAATTGAAAAATCCCCCTTCTATTTGAACCCAGAGATATAATTAATATCTTATCTTGTTTTCTTGGTTTGTACTGTACATCATGCAACCTTTGTCTTTTCTGCTTGGATTTGTGGTTTGCACACTTCATGCTTGGGCCGTAAATCCGAAATGGTAAAAACTCAGTTTGTAACTTACAGTACAGACCTCAAGCTCAGTTAGTAAGAGGTATTTAATGTAACTAAGAGAAATATTGAAATATGGCTGATGGAAGCTTCATGGTTCCCCTTACCTGAGCTGCCATTGTTCCAGACCCAAATTATTTCCTAGCTTTGAACATCCAATATGGCCAAAATGCTGTAACTACCAGCTCTATACATTCTTGAATTTTGGCTTTCCCTGGCACCCCAACCCCCAACAAATTTCCTCTCCCTTTTGCAAACCCCAGGGATTTTCCTTGAGTTAGTTGATATCAAAAATTTTCTGGAAATTTAGTCCTTCCACTCCCAAGAGTAATCAAACAACAATTTCTCCTTACAATAGCAACAAAAATAATATTTTTGGCATATATAAAGTGATGAGAAGAGAGGAAAATATCAAATAGGGAATACTGTTTGATTTTATAACAAATTCTCAGAGCTAAAATTCATAAAAAGTGTATAACAAACCGTGTGGTGAATTCATATTTGATCTTGGGAGTAAAAGGGTTGTCAGCACCTTACCCAATACTCAGTCCATTACACAAATAATGACCAAACAAACTCTACAGTAAATACCCTTTAGAACTGCTCTTAGGCTTAGACTCTAAAAATTGTGGCACTGAACAAAGAACTAATGAAGTGGCTCAGTGCCAGAAAATAATAGAATAATAAAATTACCTTCAAATCCCTCAAAACAGACACAAAGACTGGTCTGAGTTTCCTTGTTGCATTCACATAATCCCTGGTCACAACCACAGACATCGTCTTCACTATTAACTACAAAAAACATACTTTTTTTATCACAAACTTGAGATTACAGCATTGCAATCAAAACCATAAAGAACAAATTTTACTCAGTAACAAGTTCAACTATAACCAGCCATGTCTTTTGATTATTTTTGTTTGCTTCGTAGAGTATCTCTCCTGTCTTGTCATTGAGAACTTTGTCAAAACAAAGTGTAAAAGCTGAAATTGAATGACAAAGGGAGCAACAAAGGGGTCTTGAGAACAAATCCTCCTGCATCCACCTTTGCAATTCTTGCAAATGCTTGCATATTAAAAGATCTGATAATGATGGAGAAAGTAAACTTTGATGACTTTGTTTTGCAAATTGCATAATCAAAGGCAGGAGAATGAAACAAAAATTACTAAAAACAATTGACAACATGCACTTGATCTTACAAGCGTTACACCTCTGTTAGTTTTAATCATTTTTTGCCTTAATTCTACACTAGATATTCCTGTTATAGTGATGAGAGGAAAAGATTCTCAAAAAAGAAAAAAGAACTTAAGAAAATATATGACATTTTTAAAATACATGTTTCAGCAGTTCTTCTGTCATCTTCAGTTCTGACTTATACAAAGTACAAAGTTGAATTTAACGTGTATAACAAAATGCTCATTAGACAAAACAAAGAATAGAAATTAAAAAATGTATGCAATTACAAGGAAAGTTTTAAATTAACATGATGAAGTTGTAGATTAAGTGTGGGTTGCTCCCACTGAATGTGAATAGCTTCTTTGATCTTAAATTGGAAAGTTGTAGAAGTGTGATCTAAGATGCTAAAAAAAAAAGATAAAAAACAAAATGAAGCTTACACTGTGAGCAGTTCTTGCCACTCCATCCTGGACAACAATCACACACATAGTCATTCACTTTGTCAGTACACTTTCCTCCATGCTGACAAACTGAAGGTTTACAATCATCAGTATCTGAAATTAAATTAAAAAAAGAACATCAGACAATTCTGTCTGGAAGGATTGATTGAAAATAAAACTTTTAAATATACAAATTTACCTCTCATTACCAATCCTACATAATAAAAACATTCTGGACAAGAACTAAACTACACTTTCAAAATGTTCCATCATGCACACATGTTCTCAAACTTCCAATGATCAATGATGTCTATTAACCCTTTCCACCCCAAGATCAGTATCCATATTCTTCATTATCTCCTCAATACATTTCTTTTGACACTGACAAGGAGAATTTGTCTATCAATCAAAGCTTCTAAGTTGGTGATCATTTCCTTTAATTCTCATGCTCTGAATGAATGAACCAGCAGCATTACTGTGAGAGATTAGATGCTAGTTACTTTTAGGGTTAAATGGGTTTAAGACATGAATTCAAAACACAAGATCTGCTATCATTACTTGTCTTGAGATGTATTCAAATATTTATCTTCATATCGCCCTTTAAACCCTATGAATGACACTTAATATCTAATTTCTCCTTGCCGTTATGAGAATAGAGAAATGATCCCCAACATAAGAAGCTTTGATTGTTACATATATTCTCCTTATCATTACCAAAGGAAATTTATAGAGAGGAGTATGGAGGATATGGATACTGATGTTGTTGCCAAACAATGGATTCAACTGGTTATAATTTGTCAACAAGTATTGATTGGTTATGGATACTTTAATGGGAATAAAGTGCTGTATATGATAACTTATATTTGGTCTGAGGGGGAACATTCATTTTTTCTCCCTTAAGAGTCTCAAAAGCTCTTTTTAACAACATACCAACAATCTTCAACAACATCCTCGAAGTAAAAAAAAATTGTCAAAAAAAATTTGTCAAAAACTGAAGAAAGTCATCATGGGAAAGTATTGTGTTGTTTTCTGTGCAGTGTGGCTCTATATCAGGGGTATGATTTCTCTCATTTTCTTTCCCTCAATGCTCTTTTTGGAATAAATCTGGTGGAAAAATTTAACAGGCCTCTAATTGAAATGAAATAACTTACTAATTTCACAGGCCGAGCCTTCAAATCCCCTTGGACAATAACAAGCATAGCTTCCCAAATTGTTGATGCAATTATGTCCTGCTGGACAAGGAGAGTCTGCTGCCTCACACTCATTGATATCTGAACAAAAATCATTAAATTTCTCATGATTTATGTGTGGTCATGTACCTTTTCACTTAACCATAGTCATAACAGGTTAACTAAGTATTATCAACTGTGTTGATAATGCAAACTGACCACTGTAAAAAGTTTCAAAGCTGACATTTTGAGCATTAGCCCTTTGCTGTTCGCTCTGATGCTTCTAGAGTGCTCTTCATCATCCCAAGAGTTAAACATCTCAATGACCACACAGCTGACCCATGAGCAAAATAATTGTTTCATAGCATTTTTAACCCAGAAGTTGAAACAATGTCCCTTGAGAAATTCACTCTGCAGCTTCAAGACATCTATTTACATCATCTACATGCTTAATGGAAATAATTATGAAGCACATGCACGCAATTGAGTTTAATGGCACAAAATTACTAGCTCTGTTGAAATAGAAGGCATGAAGTGGACAGTAACAGTTCATTATGTATTGTGATCATCATGGTGAGGGTCTTAATCCCAAAAAAAGAAAAAACCAAACCTGGTGACTGTCTGTTATTGTAAAATAATCTCAGCAGAGGTCATCATCAAGGTCTAGTGAAAATCCTTTAAAATTAATTGAGCATACTTTGTGACAAATTGTTGTTCAATTTTGGCCTGATGAACATTATCAGCAGTAATGAAACTAAAATCAACTGACCTTGGCCCTGTTCACATCTGTCCCCATAAAAGCCCTTGATGCACTTACAGGTGAAAGATCGCACACCATCTACACATGTACCACCATGCATACTGCAAAACAGAAAATAGTCACTTGTGTTTGTTTGACTGTCTATTCTGGCAGGAAGTTCAGGAATCCCTAGACGGACACCCCATCCAGAAAAATTGGCAAGACCTCTGGTCCCTTTATATTAAATACACAAGGATATAAAGTTTTAACAGCTCTGTGACTTGATCATGAATGCAGAAACAACTTTAAGACAGAGACCACTAACTGGTAACACTATTTGGTAACTGTAACAAAATTCTCAAATGTGATTGGTTATCACCAGCCTGTTTTGAGCACCAATAAGACAGTGCAAGTGTTCTAATTGTAATTGGACAGTGTATGGATCATGCCCCTATAACTGGACAGTGTGCATCACATGTGTGCACTGTTGTCAACTGTGCATTTTGTCAATTTAACAGTTATTTTTTAACCAAAATGTATAACTAGTGACTAGTTTGTTTCTCAAATGTTTCCATGGTTTCATTGATTGGTAACAGGGCTTCATCTTATCCAATTCTGAATGTAATCATACTTGTAATTAACAAATTGGACTCTCCCTTTGCAGCCATCTGATTTTGTTAATCACTTGTATTAAACCAGACAGAATTGGGCTCCACTCATCCAAATGTTGCTACACTTTACTTACCATGAGTCTGGCTCACAATCATTGATTCCTAGATAAAGAAAGAAATTGGGTTGAATGACACTGACACAAAAATCAATGCAATCACTGCCTTTAGATTAAAGTGGGTGCAAGTCATATAACTAAAAAAATAATTATGTAGGACTGGGCTTTTGGGTCCACTGAACTGACTTTGCATTTTAGAACTCTTTGCTGAGAAAAGCTAGCCTTCATTCACAGATTTGTAAAAGAGGTTTAAAAGTTAGCAGTTCATACTTGTGCTACAGCGTTCCCCAGTGTAATCATCGTTACATTGACACTTAAAGCCACCTGGCAGGTCCAGACAAACAGAATTTTGAACACAAAGTTGAGATGAGTTTACACACTCATTGATATCTAATGGTGAAAAAAAAAAAACAGATCAAAATATTTCATCAACAAAAAGGTGAAGATATCACTAATAAGAGTTTAAAATACATCACATCTGCATGTTTTTCTACTCTCTAACAAATTTCCAATTGTAGACAGAAACAAATTAAACCATGAAAGTAAATTAAATTTTTGTTTCATCTTGTGATGCTCACCAATTTCACACCTATCTCCTTCAAAACCATCTTCACAGCTGCAGGTAAAATTATCTCCTACATCTGTACAGTTACCATTAAGACATGGACTGGGATCTTGACACCAAGATGAGTCTAAAACAGACAACACAAGATTACAAAAAAAAGCCATCTCCAGAAACAAAGAATGATATCCTAAAATTTAAGGGTGCACAGTACATTGACCTTTGGGTTTAACCTTATTGTTGAAAGTGCTAATTTAGCACAACCTATCTCATTTTCAGCACGTTGCTTTCTTTCAATTAAAGAATCATATTTGGGAAGTTTTTTTGTGTTGTTTCCCAAGGATAATGTTTGCAAAAATGTTTGTCTCACTGTCTTCACTGTTTAAGAAAAAAAAAATCTTGTAATTTCATTTGCATCTGGTTTTGGGGTAAAAGCGAGTTAGTTGCATTATGCACTTAGAAAATATATCAAAAGCCTCTTCTGTCATACTTAAGGAGGTTGTTTTGAATGTCTCACATGTATGATGACCTTGGTTTCCACTATTGGTTGGAGGGAATTTCTATCATTTATAATTTCATGGAGGTAAAGTCTGTACTCAAGTCAAGTGGCCCAGTCCAGCCAGATGAAGCTTGAAGCCACTAGAACTATCACTACTCAAGGTTATCCTCCAACAATTCATCAGGCTTCCCCCACAATTCATTGGTACCCACTCACACTTCTGGGAGGAGAGAGATGCACGGTGATAGTTAACCCTTTAAACCTTAACCTCAGTATCCATAGTCTCCATTCTCTTCGCTATACATTTCATTTAGTACTGACAAGGAGAATTTGTTTTGCAATCAAAGCTTCTTTAGTTGGAGATCATTTCCTTTATTCTCATGATCTTAATGAAAGATTCAGCTGCATTAGTGTAAGGAGAAATTAGAAAAGATTATGTGTTTTGCCCATAAACACAACACAACGACCTGCCCAGTTCTCAAACCCACACATCTTGACCCACAGTCCAGCACACTGACCACTGGGACACTATATGCATCTTCCACGTCAAAATTTTCATGAACTGTCTCATTTTCAACCCATTAGTTAACTGTGTTGTGTTGAAAGGTTGATTCAACTTAGATCCTTGAGGAACAACTGGACAATCTTAATTCAATACTTACTTGACTGGCAGTGAATTCCTTTCAGTCCAGGTGGGCAGATGCAATCATACCCATGAAGTCCGTCCACACAAGTGGAGCCATGCTTGCACGAATTATTTCTACAGTCATCAATATCTAACAAGGTAAAAATTGAAGTAACCCTTAATTTTTCAAAGTATCTATAGAAAAACCAACTAACATCTAGACAATTGACATTTGACACGTTAGTACCATTTTAGGCATCTCTGAGGGGTATTAAATTTTAACCCTTTAACTTCCAGATCAAATTTGTACTTCTCCTTACTATCAACCATACAATTTTTATGGTGTTAGTTCAGAGAATTTAGTATGGCATCAACTAATTATCCCCAAATTGATATTTTTCTTCATTCTCATAACTTATGTGGTTGATATTGTATTGATATTGTAAGGAGAAATTCTGTCTTGGTCACTAATGGGAGTTAGAGGGTTAAGGAAGAGGCTGATGGTAAAAAAAGGTAGATTTGCCATAAAATTCCTATAAAATTATCATCTTCACAAGGTGCAGCCAGAAGGCCTTTGAAGTGACAGTTAACCTCAGTTACCAGCCTTCAACCAAAATTCATGAATAGGAGGTAGCTAATATTCCCTCAAGAATATTTTAAAGCAAACAGTGCAACATGAAATACTGCCCAATGTAAAATGTTATTCCGTGTTACTCTTGTGAAGCAATGCAAGACACTACAAAGTCAACAAAGGGTTGTAAGACATGGAAAAATGTCCTCAAAATTTCTCTGTTACCTTCCAAGCATTGCTTCTTAGCCATCTGTTAATTTCTTGGACAATATATCAACTTTTGGTACATATAATTCTCTGATAGATGTATATCAGCTGCTAAAGACATAAATTTTTCAAATTAAAACAAAAGCAACATACTTTCTGTACAATTCACTCCAGCATAGCCTGCAGCACACCCACATACATAAGTTGCATTAAATTGCTCCACGCATTGCCCCCCATTCTGACATGGATTTGGGGCACACTCATTTATATCTACAAAATAAAAACAAATCAACAAAAAAAGAAATAAAATCAATAAGTTCAAATCAACAATTAATTTAGTACAGCTCTCTCTAAAGGAAGTGAAAGATGGGAATCATTACCGCTACATGGCCTAGATTTTTTAGTAAGCATGAATACACTGTTAACTGTGAGGTCTTGAAGACTGTAAATGCCAAGTTTCCCAGATTGTTGAATAGTCTCCCTCATATGATACATAAACGATAGCCTGGTCTCTTTTACAGTTTCACATATCCCTTTAACAGAAGTATATTTGGAAAATATTCTATAACAGAGGGAAAATCAAGTCACTGTAATGTTGATTACTAAAGAGAAAACAACTGGTTTTCTTTTCAACAATGGAAGTATTTTTGTGAAATTGTTCACTTTTCCATTATCAGTGTCCACCTGAATGATCTTCAGTTGAATTTGGATAGATGAGAAGGAAGATGTCAATTAAATTATTACTTTAAGGAGGAAGTTGGGGGCATGATTTCAAAATTTTCACAAGCTTGCATCTTTGATTGCTTAATTCAATGACAGTTTCATACCAACATCACACTTTTTTCCAGTCCAGCCCCTGTCACATTGACATGAATATGACGTGACGCCATCAACACATGTTCCATACTGTCCACAGTAACCAAACTCTGTCCATGATCCCTGACCCTCTTGGGAAAATATGTCATTTCTAGGATCACAGTAGTCAATGTCTAGAGAAAGATAAGAATTAGTAATTATATCAGTTTAACCTCCCACACAGAATCTGAAATGGGTGATTAGAGCACAGTCATGTACTTGGTTAAAGTCAGATTCATTCTACTTTTTTCCGTCCAAACCTTTTGCAATTTCTAAAATTTCTCTACACATAATTAACTTTGGAATAATAATATTATACTTCTATATAGAGATCCTATGATAATCCCACTTAATCATAATTGATAGATTCAGTGGACACAAGAAGGGAGACATCTAGCTTTCTGAAAATTCTACACTTTACACCAAGAACTCAAGATGTGCTCTGACACCTTTCAATCTGGCATTTAATAAATAACCACTGACCACTGCAAATTTCAAGTAAATAATAAAAGCAATGTCTGTATTTACCAATTTCACAGTGTGGCCCTGTGAAGATTTCATGACAGTTGCATTTGTAGCCACCATCACTTCTCAAAGTACAAGTGCCATTGTTACAGGGTCTCATCATACAAGGGTCAATTTCACAACTAGAACCATTGTACCCAGGGGGACAGAGACAGCGTCGATCAGCACGCTCATTGATACAGGTCCCACTATTGTTACAACCCCTCTCTGCACAGTAGTCTATTGGGGACTCACAATGACGACCTACAAGTGACAAATGATATTGCATGATAAGAACATTCTTGGAAATAATTCAAATGAGGCATCCAAATTATTGCTGAAAATATTTGAGATTTAATTGAGATACCTAACATCTCCTTTTATCTCGGCAGGCTTTTCTCAAAAAGACAAAAACACTTTGGATTCATCAACCTAAAACCATTGTCAAGTTCTGTCAAAACACATTCCTCCTAGTTAAACAATTTTCTTTTAACCATCAATGACAAATGGTAATAGTATAACTATGCTCCATCAACCCTGATTTTTTAATTTGTCTTTTTGCATGGCAGCACTGTCAATTAACTATCCACTTAGAAAAAAAGATTCCAAGATTCTATGTTGGTATGTATCTGTTCAGTAAAAGATTACAAATGACGTCAAAATAAGGTGAAAACAAAAAGTGGCACATGAGACACAGCCAAGTGAGTTTGTGATCGTCTCATCACCTTTGACTTCTTCGGCAATCTAGTACCAAAAAGATGCACAGCAACATGGAATCTACTGTTTTGATTCATATAACAAAGACACAGACACCTGTCACTCTTAGGGTTTAAAGAGTTAAATAAACTTGACTTCATGTCTACTCCATGGCATCTTCTCTTCTCACCTGTAAAGCCCAGACTACAGTTGCAGGTGTAATTTGCAATCTGATCCACACAGGTTGCATTATTCAGACAAACAGCTGATACACAATCATCAGTGTTGTTTTGGCAATAAACTCCCTCAAAGCCCTGGGCACACTTGCATGAGTACTGCGCTATTCCATCCTCGCATGTGGCCCCATTCACACACATATTACCTGGAAAAGGCACACCAAAATTGATAGAAAAGAAAATGTATTCCTAACCACATAAAAAAGCCTCTCAATGTGAAATCAATGGACTAGTCATATTAACAGTCAGATTATGAATATTTCTAATAATCTTCTAGAAATGTTAACACAGCAAACAAAAAAAAAGAAACAGCATTTTGGAACCTCAGTAACAAACCAGATTTTCAAGAAAGGGGCCCCTGATATTGACAATATTACAATCTGTGGTAAAATAACTGTAAGTTGTTAAATATTAATAATAAATACACTATTTTATAATTTATATTAATACTGGCTCTTATTGTGAGAATCTAAGCACTTTACAGCATGAAAAAAAAGAAAGAAAGAAACATTTTAAATAAAGATAAAGTGCTTGAAAACTCCGACTCGCAGGAGGCAGATCAATTGGCTATTTGCATAGTGCAGCCTAGGAGTTGAATTAAGGGCAACAGACCAGATTACAAGTCCAGCATGCTCAGCCACACCACCTCCTTTTAACCCTTTAACTCCAAAGATTGTTTTGTAAATTCTCCCCTCTGCCTGTGACATGTTTCTTTGTAAGTTAGTTACAAGAATTTGGTGTTTGATCAAGATTAAAACTGCTACCTGATAAGTTTAAGGTTTCTCATCACCTGTCTGCTGAATAAAGTATGAATGTTGTAGGGAGAAGTTACATGCTAATCACTTCTGTGAGTTAAAGGGTTTAAGAAAAGAAGGGAAAAGAACACCTACCCTGACAATCATCTATGTTGATCTTACAATGCCGTCCTGTATATCCTTCATGACAGTCACAGGTGAAGTTGTTGATGCCATCTTGACAGACTCCATGGTCACACAGCGATGGTGAAATGCAGTCATTGATGTTGGTTTCACAATCTTTGCCCATAAAACCAGCAGGACATGAGCACTGCAAGATTTGAAATGACAAACATTTTGTACTAAGCAAAGGAGTCATTTAGAACTATGAATCCACTCCAGACAGTATCCAAAACATTATCAAAAGAGTGTTTGCAAATGCAGACTACAAACAAGAAAATCATCTAACTAATCTGCCAATTAATTTGAAGCTTCAACATCCCCCCAGTTAAGCCGCAGGCATTTGACCATTGTCTGTGCCCAGGGGTGGGCAACTTGAACCCTGCCTAGGCAGCAAAGGGGGCACTTGAACTGGAACTGTCAAGTCCTTCCAGCATAAGACACATGTTTTGAAGGAGGAGTTTAAAAATGAAGAATCTACTCTAGTGAGCAAATGATTCCACATTGTAGAATGATGCTAACAAGCAAAAGACCCAACAGGAGCACCAAAAGCTAATACATGACTGGGCTAAATTCTATAACATTCCTTGATCACCCAAAAAATTGTTCAAAATTTGCTTCCAACTGATTGATGAAAGTCTCACAATGAAAACAATTGAAATGTTTCAGTAACATTTTAGTCACTGCAAAGATCACATTCATATTCACCATTTTTGATTTTGCTAATTAAGTCAACACTTCCAAGTCAATTCTTGTAGGAACTTTTGGAAAATGTTTAGAAAGTCAACAAGGTAATTTTTCTCTTGAATTAAACTCAAAATGAAACATCAGGGTAACATAAAACCATGCATCATTCCATCCATTTCACTTGCCACCTCAAAAAGGAACAAAACAGCTCTTACATTGTAGTCACGATGCAAATCAGTACAAGTTGCTCCATTTTGGCATGGCATAGTAGAACACTCATCTGTGGCATTACTACAGGTCCTTCCAAGGTATCCTTCTGAACAACTACAGCGGAAGTTATTTACCTCATCATGACAAGTTCCTTTCAAAGAAAAGATAATACCATAGATGAAAAGTCAAATACAAGATTAGCAAGATATTTCACCTCCAGAGAGTCTTGTTATTTTGCATACTTTGCATCTTTATGTTTAGGTGGCCGTTAGTCCGACATAAGTTGGGCCATGGGTCGCAAGCAGGTCATGGGTTACAGGTAAGAAGGGGGGGGGAGAAGGGAGATAGGCACTGGTCACAGGTCCTGGGTTGCAGTTGGGGGTTGTGGGTTTTGGATGATGGGTCACAGGTCATAACAAAACTATATTTTAATTCAAAGATGTAGAACAAATACCATAAGTGAGTAACATTAAAACCTATTTTGCGACACCATCAAAACGATGTGGGATGAGAGCACAGGTCATGGGTCACAAATGGAGGTTTACAAGTCTCAAGTCACTAGTAGGAGTTTAAGGTTGCAAGTCACAGATCAAGGGTCTCAGTGTCCAGTGGCACAGGAGCTGTAGTTAACAGTACAGACACGAATAGTTAAGAGCTCCCTTATGATATTTAGTTAAGAGCTCCCTTATGATATTTTTACTATACTAAAAGAGTGAAAGTAACAATTTGAAACCTTACTCTTTCAGCTTCTAGGACCACAGAATTATCACTGTCCATAAAATTTTCCTATCTTGGATCACAAGAGATCAGTTTTAACTCTTAGGATGTTTATACTTCTCAACTTCTTAATTCTCATAACCTGTCTCTTTGAAAATTTACTCATACTGTAAGGAGAAATTACTTATTGGTCAAATAAAAGGTAGTTCACCACACCCTACCTCCATTGCTACAGGCAGCGGGTGTACAGTCATCAATGTTTGTCTCACAATTGCTACCATTAAAACCTTGACGACAGACACATCTGTAAGCATTGATCTGATCAATGCAAGTTCCATTGTTTTGACATGGAGATCCTTGGCAGTCATCAATGTTATGTTCACAGTCGTCACCAGTATAACCAGGTGCACAGGAACACTCATAAGAATTAACCATATCCTTTGGCGAGAGAAATTGGTGATCAGAGTAATATAAATAAAGTACACTTCTTAAGATGGAGAGGATATGGAATGGAGAAATAAGGATTTAAAATTGATGTTGGAATTAAAATGAATTTCAGGAAAAAAAAATTATAGCAGTTTCACCTGTGCTTTTCAACAATAAGATACAATTCTACCAAATCATATGAAGTGATGTTCTGAGGATGTCCAATTTTTCCCAAAAACTCGGGTAATAAGGATTTGAAAATCACACTTATTTGACAATAGGGGAAAGCTCGTTACAAATTAGCTACTTTGATCCTTTGACCCCCTAATTTCTCCTTACAATATCACCCGTGGATCAAACATGAAGGTCATGAGAACAGAGGAAATGATCACTAACTAAAAAGGCTCTTGATTCTTAAACAAATTCTCCCTGTCAGCACCTCAGAAAACGTATAGAGAACAGTATGGAGATTTAGCATACTGATGTTGGGTATAAAGTGTTAACCTTACAGTGTCAAAATAAGAATTATTTCACAATACAATTGCGATGTATTAATTATTGTATCAGTAATAAATAATTAAAATTACTTTGCATGTAGCTCCATTTCTGCACTTGTCTTGCTTACATTCATCAATATCTGCAAAAAAAAAAGGCCAACCAGGAGTGTTTAACCCTTCAACTCCCAGATCAAATTTGTAACTCTCCTTACTGTCAACCATACAATTCTTATAATGCTAGTTCAGAGAATTTTGTATTGGATCAACTAATTATCCTCAAATTGATATTTTTTTTAATTCTCATCACTTATCTGGTTTATATTGTATTGATATTGAAAGGAGAAATTCTATCTTGGTCAATCATGAGAGTGAAAGGGTTAACTAACATAGTTACTGAAAACTATATTTGACAGCCTTTTCCATTGCATATAAGTTCACAATCACTTCCTTTTTCTATTATCAAGCAAATTTCATCTAGGATCAATATTTCTCAATCCAAAGAACCTCAGAGCTCTCTGAATCAAAATCAACCTTGTAACAATAAGCATTGCACATTTTCTGTTCACAACATTTATAAAATTTAACTTCAAGATCATATACAATCACACTGGTTACAAAAGATTTGTCTCAATATTTGTTGTCAGCTCATTTAATTTCTTTACCTGTCTCACAGTTGACACCTTGAAATCCAGGAGGACAGGAGCATGTGTAATATGTACGGAAGTTTTTACATGTTCCATTGTTTTCACATGGATGACTGGCACAAAGATCAATTTCTGAAAAAAAAAAAAAAAAACCATAGAGACAAAAAGAATCTTTTGGTCATGAACGTAAAAGGAAAATATAAAATCAAAGAAAGAAATACATTTTGCCTGTGATCAATTTTGGATGAACAAGTAAAAAATTGTCTGGAAATCAAATCTACCATACATTCTAAAAATTCAGATTCTTTGGTGCTACTGTTAAATCAGTTTAAATGTATGGTACTCAAGCACACACTTAATCAACAACCCTAGCGTCCTAAAGTTTCATGGAAAATGCATCCCTCAAAGGAGCTATGTATCAAGGTATGCCAACCATTTCAATCAACCTCCACCAAATGGGCGCACACTTCTGCAGACATCTCTGGAGTACTAATTTAGGGCTATTTTGTAACTTCTCACTTTGGTTTCCTAAGCTTGGTTGTATCAAGGTTAGTTGTCCCACAAAAAGCTATTATACTGAACACATTACAACCATTGTATGATCCTTGAAGACCAATGGAATCTCATGAAGGACCATGGCACAAGATGTGTTCAAGTCACAGGTGTCCCCAACCTGATAGCCTCATTGATTGGTTGACTGACTGGCTCATTGATCGTTTAATTTATGTTTCTTCCACCTTAACTTTAGTTGCAGTACTCACCAGTTTGGCACTGGTCACCAGTAAAGCCAGGTTGGCAATCACACCGGAACTTATCAGGGTCAGTGTTGATACAAGTACCACCATTTTTACATAAGCTTGTATCTCGGCAACGGTTAAGGTCTGACATGTAAAAAGACATGTAACTGTATCATGATGCACAATACAAAAGACACATGATTTTTGGGATAGGAGATATATTTTGATATCCTGAAATGTACAAAAGAAATGTCTTCAAAGCATAAACAGTTATAATAAAAATTTTAATTTTTCCATGGTTGTCAGCCATATTTTAAAATATCATATAAATTATAAAAACACACAAACACATCACAGAAGTCACAGGATCAGTTTATCATTGAGTTTCATGCAACTTACTAACTGTAAATCACGGGAAATTGGAAAGACAAGAAGTATTTATAGGATGTTTTTGTGCTTAAAGAAAAAGTCAAATGAGGCTCTTTCTAACTAAAATAATAAAAAGGCACATTTAGTCACACAAACTCTTCAAAAAAAAAATAAACCCAAGTTTCATCAATCATACCTTGTCCACAGTCAGGCCCTGTCCAATCTGGACTACAAACACAGTCATTCCCATTTACACAGAAGCCATTAGCTGTCAACCAATAAACAGTGAAGGTAAATTGAAGGGTCAGACACAACCCAGAAGCAAAGGAAACAACAGGGGGGTGGTTTCCCCTTCACACTTTTAAAAATGTGTAGTTTACATTATCTCACTGAATCCAAAACTTTCACAAAATATACAGTAACAGTACTATAATAGCTCTCCATCTTATTTCAACCAGTACCTTTTATAAAACATTGTAGGAGATAGTCATTGTTTAGATCTAGAGTTATAAGGGTCAAGAAGTTTTTGAACCCAAGAAGGCCATCACATTTATTTGGTGACAAAGATAATCAGCAATAATTAAAAACTGTTTCTTGAAAATCCACACACAAGTTAAGATGAAAAGTAATCCTTTTCTAAGCAGCCTAAATGCTCAAAACAAAGCTTGGTGCAGATAATGAACAATGCCACAAGATATGTGTAGGGCTTGTAATCCTTGAATATTAAAAAAGCAAGCAAGCACCCGACATGCACCCTGCATATCTTTAATTGCCATCATCATTTCCATTATCCCCATCATGGTGTCAAGAATTTAATATTAGTGATAAGAATGATCATAACAAAATGCTATGATGCGACTGCACAATAGGTGATAATGAATAATATGGCATATTGCTCAGGGAATAAAAACTGATCACTAGGTTCCATGTCACATCATTTTGCTGTGATTAATGCCATTATGTTGTATTCATTGACATTATCATGACATCCATCAGGGTCACAGTGTCAATAATAGTGTCAGACAAGTGAGGAATGCATCATTACATCATTAATACGCATTTTCATAAATGGCAGATTATGTTCCTTCACTAACCAGTACATCCTGGTTTCTTTACACATGTTGCACAACGAGCACCCTGCCAACCATCTTCACAGCTAAAATGGAGAGAAACAACAGTATAACCTTAGTACAGTAATATTACAATTTTTTGATATCATTCTATCTTCACTGACAATTCACTAACTCATTACAAATAGAACAGAAAAGAATTATACATGGTTAACTTTAAAAAAATCATACAAAAATGGTACAAAAAATATGCCAAGATACACTTTCTGTCCAAAGGTCTTATTGAGGTGTCCATCCTCCTTCAAAAATGCAACCATATTGGTTACCAAGACCTATTGTATAAAAACAATCTTGGCTCTTTTATCACAAAAAGGCTAGTTTGGTCATCTTTTTCGCCAAGCCAAATGTAGTCATACTGCTATAACTAAGAAAAACATTTGTTCTGTGCTACATTTCTTTTCATAGAAATCAGTTCTTTCAATTTTACCTTTTGCATGGGTTGTGAGAGTCTCTGACTTTTAATGCAACAGTTGAAATTCATTGCATAAATAATATTTCAAAAGAGGAGATACAAAATTAAAACATCACAGAAGATACAAATTCTGCCCTGAAGACACAGCTATGAAGGTGTGATGACTAAGGTCTCACTTAATTACTTACTTGCAAGTATTGGGTTTTGTACAAGAACCATGATTTGGGTCACACCCATGGGAACATATCGCTGAGGAGAAGATCAGAGAGTTAAAACTGATTCTAACTTGAATAAAAGTATCAAGCACCATTTACAGGAAAAAATAAACTTGGTCAAAAAGAAAAGGCTTCCAGTACTATATTCCTTGGGGGTGTTACTGGTGATATTTCAGGTTTCTCTTGGTTCTCAAAATTAGTAACCACATTTTGGCAAGTAGCTTTCATCCTTAATTAGTACAGAAACAACTCTTGCTTAAAGGATTTCAATGCTGAGCACACATGCTGAGCTGTTCTGCCCATGAAATCTTCTGTTTTGCTATGTTCTTGTTGATATCACCGTCTTGGTTTTCCTTAACCCTTTACACCTTAAGATCAGTATGCATATTCTCCATACTGTTCTCTATACATTTCCTAAGGTGCTGAGAAGGAGAATTTGTCTAACAATCAAGAGCTTCTCTTGTTAAGGATCATTTCCTTTATTCTTGCAACCTTACTGTGTGACTCAGGAGTGATATCGTATGGAGAAATTAGATGCCAGTCACTCTGACTTAGGGCTCCAAATGTTAAGTCCCTACTTACGTATCAGACAGTTACTTCCTCTCCAGCCTGATAAGCAGACCTTGTTACCAGTTTGGCCATCACACTTGTAGTGGCCGCTGCTATCATCCCGCCCAACACAATATGTATTACAGTCTGTTCCATAATAATTAGCATCACAGTAAATGCGGACCAAAATTCTTGTGCTTGACCTCTTGCCTGTCAGCTGATGATCAGAACATTACACAAATGAAGAAATCAAGAATTCATCACCAAACAAAAAACTGCTGATTTGCCACAAGCCTTCAATTTGAACAACACACCCCTGAAACGTCAGCACCATTGACAATTTTAAATAGGGAAATAATCAGAACTTGTCCCAAATCAGAAATGACTTCTTTGAAAAGAAAACCATTGCATATCAAATAGGTCTTTCAAGTCAGTACCCCCTAAAAAATACTGCAGGCAACTATCACTGCAGTTTAACTTTTTTCATTTCCAAAACTTCTATTTTTTTGTACTTGCTTCTTCAAGGATTCCTCTAGGCACTGAAGATAAGATAATTCTCTGGCTGCTGAGCAGAAATCCCTTTGCAGAAATTTACATGACCTGAGTTATCTTTTATCCATAAAGAGGGTAAGTTTCTAGGGAAACAGTAGTGCTGCACTGGTGGAAGGTATTACGAGATAATTTGATTTAATCAATTTAGTTAATAATGTGAAAAACGAAAACTATCCACTCTGATGAAAGGCTAAAACTCAAAACATTAGCTTTGAAACTTGATAGAGTGGTCACGTTATCAATTCAATTAATGAAACCAAACAAATTATTATTCAGACATGGATAATATTCTTCTGTTACCAGTACTTAACACTATTTTACTGCTTCTGCAAATTTCTTAACCCTTTCACTCTCGAGATGCGCATATCCAATTCTCTACACCATATAAAATACACTTTTTATAATTTCAGCTCTGAGAATGTGTTTTTTACCCTTTGCACCCTTACATAGGTATCAACATTCTCTATACTGTTCTCTATACATCTCCTACAGTGCTGACAAGGAGAATTTGTTCATCTATCAAGAGCTTCTCAGGTTGGTAATCAGGGGTGTGGCTTATCTACGGATGTGGCTTATACATGGACGTTTATGGTTTCACATGCATTGTAAGGAGAAATTCCTTTTTCAGTCACAGCTGAGAGTGAAAGAATTAATAGATCAAAATGGAAACATTTCTTCTTACCGTAATTGTTTTAGCTACAGAACTTTGTAAATCTTTCTGCGCTGGTGCAGTAGAAATGTCAGATTGAATAACATCAATAAGATCATCTGCAGATCCAATACCAAGAAAATTGCCAGAATCTGAGTCCCACACATCCAGAGCAATAGAAAATGCACCCTGAAGATATAAACATGCAAAGCAATCATTATTTTAAGAGTTCAAACTAACTGTAGTAAAACCACAGTTGAGTTGTCAGTTAGAGTTGCACTGTTGTGAAGCTTGGGTCAACCTTTGGCTCATTGGGGCACACTCTCCAAGAGAGGCACACGCAACTACTGTACAATCAACTGAATCTACTTTATTCCTTAAATCAATTTTCTTAGATACATAATGGTTGCTAACTAATTCTTGATTTATATTACAAAGGATAAATGGAGTTTCTGTTGGGATAAACAACTTCATCACGACATAACCACAATTCCACAGATACTGTTGAATACTCACACAAATCCTGCGGAACTAGGCGTTCCTGCGGAAAGCACGAATTATATCTGACATCCCATGCGACACGCAATAGAATGTTTTCACACTTACTTTAACAACAATGGATCACACAAAGATCACATTTCCAATTATAATTACATAATCAAATGTTATCTAAAATTGCTTGTCACATTTTGTCACACCTTGCTACATAACCAACTTAAAGTTAAAAATTCACTACCTTCCTCTCAACTTTCCAAAACATATTTTAATTAGCAATGAGTTACTTTTTACACTACATAAATGCAAGTCCTTTGTAGCCATTCTTAGGTTAGATGATGTCTACTTGAGTAATGACACTGACATTTATCATATGGTAATCATCATGATAAAGCCTTATTTAACTCATTTGCCTTGTGGAACTCCTTACTTACTTAACCGTGAAGCCAGTCTCTACCACGATAGAATCAATCACTTTTCAGATGTTTCATTTTTCAAAAAGTATCACCATCAGCTTACTTAAACTTGCCATAATGCGACACTTACTCTATATTTTTTGACGTTCACAGTTTGTGTTAGCAAGATTCCACAATAACTGCAATTCATAATAATCTCTGATGAAAAGAAAGCATACAAGCCTTACCGGCCATCTTTGATTGAAATGATATATCAAGGGGTTTGTAAGACCATTACCAACAGTGTCACCAAATCCAGGAAAAGAAAAACTGTCATCTCCCATGATGTAAGTCTCCCATCGAACCCACGGTGAGAGAGCAGTGAAGACTGTGTACGGATATTTGGTAACAGTCAGCTTAAAAAAGTTTTCACAATCATTTGGGCACGACCCGAAAAAACTGCAACAGTCACAGCAATCTCCATTGTAATCTTTTGAACGGGGATTATTGTAATCTAGCAACTGAATAGATAAAGTTCCCTTTGCACAAACATTCTGCAATAAAAATGAGACAAAACAACTGATTAGAACACACCCAAAACAACAAGCTGAAAAGTCTACCTTGGTACAAAGTGTGTTTAAAATTCATACTTGATTAAAAATCATCTATTAGTACTTTTTTCCATTTAATTATGGTGTGGTTCATGATTGTTACATAAATTCTCCTTGTCAGCACCTTAGAAAATAAATAGAGAACAGTATTGAGAATATCTATACTGATTTTAGGATGTAAAGGGTTAAGCTACAAAAAAAAAATCTTTGTCAAGGCAGTGGTAGAGTATACCATTAACAGTCAGAAGTCATAAACCTGATATACTGCACCTTTTACTTTTCTATGATTTTATCACACTGATCTTGAGATCAGTATCCACTAAATATACCTTACCCTAAAAAAAAGCCATCAATTATGGTACTTGAAAAAAGCCCATTGTAAACACATCAGAAAATTAACCTAAATTGATCGTCTGATAGATTGCTCTATGTCACATAATATTACATGATCTAACTTTCCTAGAACATACACAAACCACTTTGCAGTGGTGTGGTGGTGCGGTAAATAATTTATAAGTATTTCCGTTTCACTGATCTACATTAACCACAAACTAGTTTGAAATGAGGGAATAACATGCAATCAAAATAAATTATAAAAGATCACAATTTGTTGTTTTCACAACTAGTTCATATACTAGGTGATATACTGGTGGTTCCAATATTTAGATTTCTTTGATGCAGGAGAGTAATCCAACTTCTTGCAATTCAATTACAAAGACCATAATGGACTACGCTTGATTTAAAATGTTCTACTGCTGACTGATTATAAACATCACAAACGTTGACATCATAAAACTATTGTTTGCGTAGCAAACTTCTGAAATGGTTTACATGAGGAATAACATCAATAGTCCAAAGGAGACTTGCTGAGAAAAATCATTAGGATCAGTATCATCGTAAATATTACTCTTCTCGTCGCCTCCATAGGATTAGCTACCTTCAGCAGTCACATAACAGACTTAAAAGACTAAAGCACATTGGGTCAATTTAAGGTTGGCTGCTTCAGACTGTGAGCACTAAACATGGCATGCACATTTGTAACTGGACACTTTGTAATCGGAAACTGTCCTTAGACACAAGGTCCTATTGAAAAATAGTGCACACTGTGAACCTTAGAGAAACAGGAAATTTCTTACAACCATAAAAATAACAATTAACTTCCCTCACAGCCTTTTAGTTCTACATGGCATTTAAATGGTTTGGCTATGCAACCATTCAGATAAATATTTAACTTCCGATGAAAAAAAGTCACCTTTTCCACTTTTTATCTGCAATCTTTTGCCCCCCAAAAATAAAAAACAAATACGATATTCCAAACAAGTGCTTTATCCTTAGTATGAGGGGTTTGCGTCATACAAAAAAAAACGCATTTCCTTCGAGATGACCTTTAACTGCTCAGACGCGTGTATCAATCACAGCCCCGATCTTTTAATGACAAGTTGCTTTATTGTCCAAATCTTATATTACACTTTCGAGTGAAACAACGTCTTCTGTTTACTTTCACAATGTTGCAACTTTGACAGCACTTCGACTTACGTAAAAGTCACTTGAAAATGCGTATTCGAAGCAAACAATTTTATCGATCACATACTCACGTCGATTCAGAATTGACTACAAACAAAACATGTTAGTGGAAATTTGCTGACGCATCCGAAGAACAAATGCAATATAACAGATTTTAGGTACAAAATATCGAGAGTATTCGAGGTTATTACATTGTTTTATCTGTATCAAAGGTCATACAAATGCTTAATGACTATAAGGCTGCATTATTATTTGCGTAATTGAAAGAAAATTGTTTCGACATAACTTGCCTCTAACAACTAACAACGACAATAGTATACGCCTTCGAGGAAAAATTTTATGAGAATTATACAGGAAACGCAAATAAAACCGACGAAGATGAAATCGAGGAGCTATCGGCTGAGAATTTCGAGTGATGCAGGTTTTTAAGCCATATGAAACTAGCTCTCCAGCAAATTCCTTAACTCGAGGACCATTAATGCAAATTCAAGGACAGTTGATGAGAAAGAAGAGAGCTAATTTAGCAAAATCACTCTCACAAAAATGCAAACTTACCTCATAAAATCCAAGAAATACCGCCAAAACGACAGCCAAAGACGTCCAACAACAAAACCTCATTGGTAAGAAAGAATGCTTCACCAATCACCACTGAATGAATGAACTGCACCGTAACCTGCCTTTACACCCCACAAACTCCAAAAGCGCCGCAAGATACAAATCCGAATTTATGTTTGCGTAGCTTTCTACCACTTGTTTGGGATTATTTATCACCTGCAAAGATTTGTTAGATGTAGAGAACTTCTAGTACTTAAAGTAACGATCAAGTGCTACGCGGAAAGCTAGTCATTCAGGAGAAGAGTTGAACTATACCTCACTAATTTGAGCTTGTGTGTCACTGTTGATGCCGCTCAACCAATCATAGGGCAGAATTATGACAATAAAGGCTTTGTTGGCGGTTTGATAGCCAAGAAAAACCAAACATGGGGGAAAAAAATCTGACTAGGCTTTCATGACCATCCCGCACAACGTTTGGTAAACTGTCTTGATACAGCAAATAAGAAACTATTTTAAACGGGTTCGAGAAGGAAATAAAAACTATGAAGAAACTCACCGAAAAAGGACACAGCGTGAAGTCACTGTTATATAATGTTATGAAGGCTTAGTATATATTTGAAAAAAACAGCGATAGTCAGTAACTACGTCCTGGTGGTTTTTGATCAACACGTTCGGCTGGGGTTAAAGGTAATGAAATACGCTTCATTACACATATCTTTCAACTCTTACAGTGCATGCAAAATTTTTATCATGCAAAATCTGAATAAATGATTAACTAAACAATCAGAATTGGGATTAATACATTGCGTCTCCCTGAAACATTACCAAACGGGTTTAAATCCCTTTTTTAATTTACCTTATTTCAGTATCAAGTTTACTTAATTTTTCGTGACAACTGGACATTTTGAAACGATGACCGCCGTTGTCCTTCATCAACAGCATTCAAGGCCTCTCCATATGAAAAAAACTGTAAAAAACCAGCTCCTCGCTCATCTTCGTAGTGACACGGAATTTTCCTTGCGAACAGTTCTAAGCTGTACTCTCACCTCGCCGGCCAACAACATTCGTCTCTGTGAAAGATTAAAGGCTGACGTTTCGAGCGTTAGCCCTTCATCCTCGCTCTGACAAAGGGCTAACGCTCGAAACGTCAGCCTTTAAACTCTTTACCATGGCCAATTCACGCTATCAACTCAGTTGATAACACTAAATTACCCTGTTACACTCTCCCACCAACGCAGCACCACAGTTTCTTTAGAAACTTACCTCCTTAAATATTCTTCTCTCCCAGTTATCCTTTTCCCATTCTAGCAGTATGCAGGAAGTTTGTCTCAGGGACGTAGTTAGTGGCAGAGAGCATCCGAAGTACTAACACTGCCTGTGTTATGCACTGATTAACATTGTCATTCACTTCAATATCCTCCTAGTTTACCAGGCTCAAATGATGAAGCTACTAATAAGAAATAGCGTGCACGTCTATTGTAAAAAATGACAGACTTTTCTCACCTTTCAATCAAAGTTTAATCCTTTTTCGAACCTACTTAACATAGGTAGTTGCGAACTATAACTTCTACGAAACGGCAGACACTTTCTACCCCTTGTTTCCAAAATAATATTATTATTATATAACTGATATTGACCTCGTTTCCCTCCTAATAAAAACAGATGCAAACGAAACGTTTCCGTGCTGAGATTAAAACTGGGGTAAGGGTTTGTCGGCTGACAAACTGAGGAGAGGAACTTCAGTCTTACGTTTTCAAGAGGCTATCATACTTTCGTTCATCATACATAATTCCAGTAAGTTGGTAGTTTTGGCGTTTTTTTTTTTTTTTCAGGTGACTGTTTCATGGGCGGTGGGATTGAGGTAGGTATGAGAGCACACAACCTACTTGGCCACAGGTGAAATGTCTAACAGGATTAAATCAATTCTTAGGTTAACTTGTTTTGCCAAAACGTGCTCGATTTTTACCACGACGGTAAAAATAGCCTTTCGAAATAGACAGTTTCACTGATGAGGTCAACGATTTGCTTTTTTTCTTATTTTCCGGAAACAGAGTCAGGAGGAAATATCAAACGTGAGCGTGGTTATTTAGCAGCACGAGTCGTTTACTTAGAGCAAAGAACGATTTCCTCTCAGCTGTAAAAATTCAAAAAGAGATATCTCTTCCATGATATATCTCGTTTATCATTAGCCTGACTAAATTATTATCACCAACAATAAGTAACTAGAGCAAAAAGAATCTTTTTTTCGGTCTCCTTGTCATTTTCAGTCGCATATGATAGATAAGGGCATGTGCGAATGTTTAGGTAAGGGCCAATCTCTCTTTTCCTTTTATTTTTTTTTTATCTCTCAGACATAGCCGACATACAAATAGAAACCCTGATCAAATTCCTTTTAAAAACATAACCCGAGACTTTTGAACTATGGACTTTTCTTTTTAAACCGACTCGATCAGATTGTTTACCTAAATTATTTGGCTTTTTTCCATTGATAAACCTTGCCGATCACGAACGTTGCGGAGTTACTGTTGACAGAGTAAGCGAGAAAAGATGGCGGTTATGAAGCCTGATTTGTAAGTTTTTCTTCCTATGAAATGTAGCTTGACTAAAGTTTCTTTCTGAGTACCACCCATGGAGTTACGTGACACAATTTCTGACTCGAATAAGAAAGAGGGTATGAAGTTTCAATCGTATACACGTTTTGTAGTTTTGAAACATCATTTGAGCCCACAAAAGTCTTGCTTTGGATCAGTTTTTGATTTCAACGGCGGAAGCCAATTGAAATTTTGCGTATTTGGAGACTCAAATACGAAGGACTGCGTTTTGTAGAGATCAATGAGGCTTTATTCGAAATAGTCATTTAAGTTTAGAGTATTGTTAAGAGAGACGGGTTTCAAAAGACTAACAAGAGCTTCCCGCAGGCTCGTGATCAAAAACAAGGTTGCTTACGGAACAGACGTGAAAAGCCATCTTTTACAAAAATAGCGAAGGCAGAGAAGAAAGGATGATTGAGAGCAGACACTTCAAGTGGTTTTATTCAGTAAATATTTGTTTATATCCTTGGATTCCATTGCAGTTTTACAATGGTGTCTGATTTAGCTTCTATCAAAATCAAACGAGCCAGCATGTTTATCCACAAAGTAAGATCTGTTTAAAACAGCCTGAGACACCTTGCAACAGCAGGCACTTCTGGAAAGGATCCTGTATACTTTCGCCTAACCCTGTACCTCCTAAGATCCAATAAGTATTTCTACTTCCTAACTACCATACATCTCCTTGTATTTCAATAGAAGAATTCGGTGTTATGCAAGACAACACACTCAAGCAGATCAAGAAAACAGACACTCTGAGCTTGAAGCATGTTAACCTAATCGCATTTGGAAGTTACTTGTTGATAGTTGCACCCTCTAGGTGTGAAAACAGTTTTAAAGATTGGTTTCACTGTAATCTTTTCCGGTTTATAATCTATCACTGGTTTCACTGTAATCTATTCCCATATACATAAACGGTATGCCTAAACACTCTCGAGTCGAAAGCGTCACCGATTTTCTTTCAGGAGCGCAACTAGGTAGTCTTTCTTAACCTCTGGACTTTCCAGATAAGGATTTAAAGAGAGGTCGAAGTTCATTCGTTAATGAAAATATGATTTATATCATATTGCATTTACTTTTCTCTACGAGGACGAAGAACCCACTAAAATTTGTGTCACTTCTTACGCGAGGTTTAGTTGCTCAGTTTGTACTAGCGCCAAACTTGTATCTTGAAAACACGCCGGAGTTTGTATCCCGTTCAAGCCTCGGTATATTCAGACCTTTTTTTTATTCAATTGTTTATTTACAGCTCAACTCTTAATTTGTCTGCACTTGAACTTCATCTGCAAGTGAGCACATGACTTATTTCATTAAAACCACGATAAGACGGCGGAAATTAAACCGACGGAATTAGTAGTGAGATTAGCTGTAATAATGTGGACTTTGAGCATCAAGCTGCGTTTTGACGATATGAGGTTGTATGCTGAAGAGCAATATGAGTTTATTGCGTCGTTAGGACGGCAGATGTCGGAGGAACAATGAAAGATTCTAAAATTTTTGCCTAGAGAAGAGAGATTTCCACCTTCTGCGTCACTTTAGTTTACCGATAAGACGTTTTACATGGGATTATAGCTGATCGTGAGTGCAAAGAGATATCACGGCCATCTAGAACTTTCGTCCGTGCTCATAGGCTAGTCCCTCTTCTCAAAAGGCTTACGTCAATCAAATACTCGATTTCATTTTGATAAACGACCAAAATAATTTTTATCTTTTAGACATTTCCATTTAAAGTTAAGTATTAATCTTATAATGTTTCGAAGGTATAAAGTTCGCTCTCCTGGGTCTATGTTTAAAGAAGTTTATTAGATTAGGAAGATTTTATATCGGTCATAGCTGATAGAGATAATCTAACGCCAACAAAGTTACAGCGTTTGTGAATTGCATGCTCATGTAAAGGTTTTAGATTTAGTCTACGTGGGAACGATGAGACAGGAGATCGAAACAGTGCGCCAATACGTGAAGTTTGAAGTTACTCTTCTTCATACACAAATGTCAGAAATGTGTTCGCGATCAAACCTCAGTTATGGCGACTTTGAAAAAAACATAGGCATGCAATGCATGCAAGAGTTATTTTTTTGGGGGGTGGGTGGTTTAATTGAAACATTGTAAATGATGTCTACATTCTTATAAAAGGAAAGAAGAGTACTAACGCGGAAAAGAACGAAAATTTCGAATTAACCCACTGCAGACTGCAGAGTGGGTAAAAAATGCAGACTGAGAATCTTTAAATTTTTTTTCGTCTGGTATGTGATAACGTCATCTTTTAACTCACCGAGCGTCACGCAATCGCTTTTCCGCGATCAGCTTTCACGATTATTTGCACTATTTAGGAATATTCCTAGCCCATTTCTTGATGAAAATCGATCGTAATATAATTTCAAGCCTTCATATAGTCCTCTCACTTTGCACGCGAGTTGGTTGGTGTGATGTCTGTACAGATTTCACCAACATAATAGAAATAGATGAAAATGTTAATGTAAACGAGAATACCATAAGGTATATAACATGCGCAACATTTGAGAAACAATTGACAGCTTTCCACATGGTCCGTATTATCATCTTTTTAAGCGGTATGCGTTTATTTTGTTGACAAAATTTCGGACCGAGACCAAAATTGTTCCTTCGACTTGAGATATTTTCGTCGTCAGTAGATCACTAATCATTCATTCCAGATAACAAAATCATATAACCATGCCAACGATGGTATCTGAATTCGTCCTTAGCCAAACACAAACGAATCCACAAGATCACTTTCTCCATGCATCGAAAACATACAAAAAATCGTCCATAGTTAATTTCAATCAGACATTCATCTAGAGATAGCACCGAGCAATCCAATCCAGAAAGATATGGTCGGCACACTCAACAAATCATGAATCTTGTAAAGGCATTTATTTCTCCATTGTCGTCCTCTCGTGACAAATATATTGCGTATTTTGTTATCATCATCATTATTTAAGCAAAAATCAGGTCTTTCTTTGATAGAGTGCAGACAGATCTGACGTAGTTTGTGCCCGGGGAGAGAAAAGCCAAAAGAATTATATCGTACCTCAAGAGAAGTCAATTTCCGGCTGATAAGTTCATATATTCTCACAACCTGGTTACTGAATAATGTATCACTATTGCAACGAGAAGTTACATGTACATCACTTGAGAGATTTGAAAGTTTAATTGATATTGAGCTCTAACAACTGAAACCCTTTAACTCTCTTGCTGTGAAGAGGACGCAATAACAAGCAAGCCGCTGATGTGGTTTGAATTTTTAATTTTATTAAAGTAATTTTACATACTGAGCTAGGAATAAATGTTGATGAAATTCAAAAGAACTAATGACTTTTTAAAATGATTAAAAAATTTGGCAAGCTGTAAAGCTTGCAGAAGATAGAAATTTTTACACTCCACAACCCAGCAGTTAACAGTCTTTGACGCCCAGCTCACGGCAAATTTAAATCTAAATTTTTTCTTGTTCCGTTCATCAGGCAGTTAAAAAAGTGATGGCAAAGATATGTAAACACATGGAACAACCCACGAAAATGGCGAAAAACAGAGAATATATCATTAATCCTTTCACTCCCTGATCAAATATGTAATTCTCCTTACAGTCGATCATACAATTCTTATAATGTTAGTACAGAGAATTTAGTATTAGATCAACTACCCAAAATTGACATTTTTCTTTATTCTCATCACTTATCTGGTTGATATTGTATTGATATTGTAAGGAGAAATTCTGTCTTGGTCACTCAGGAGTTAAAGGGTCAAGGCTACCACGAGTCCTTTAATTTTACGCAATCTCACTATTCACTGGAAAACACTCGCAAAATATCTCAAGATAATGAAAATGGCGGGTGGGTGTCCGTTTCACTTTAAGTGCCTTTCAGATCAGATCAAATTCAGGACGAAACACATCTCTCAACAAAGTCAATGTATCTGCGCGTTTCTGCATTAATCCTTTACAACTGGCGGTTATCATTTTGACTCATCCACATTTTCAAGTTTCAGTTTCATCGATAAAGATTTCAATCCTATGGCCTGATTGTCAATTCTATTTTCTTGTTACCTTATAATTCTTGGAGAGCAAGTTCTATGAATCTGAATTTTTAACGAAACACTATCCTCTGGATGAAAATCGTGTTCTCTTTTTAAGTCCCTGTCTGTTTCTTTATAAATTGATGTTAAAAAGTGAAGGTAAAACTGAATCATTCCAGCAGAGCCTTAGATTAATCACAAATAATACGAAATAGTTAAAAAACTTAACTCTTTCTTTGGACTTAAGTCTACTCATAACCATGAATCAGGCCTGGTTCTTTAGCGTTTCGTACTGTTTTGCTTACCGTACGGAACCATGCAGAGTCTTGTGACCAAAACGCACGAGAGAAGTGTTCCTTCGGTGACGTCAGAGTTTACTAAGGACCAGGTTTGACCGTGCTGGCGAAGACACCTGGGGACTAGGGATGAGTCAATTCTGTACATTTTAAAATCTTTCTTCTAGCGAAAAACAATTCAACCTTTGGATCAGATACAAAGTACTTTACCTAACATTACACGGGTATTAAGGATTATCCACAGTAACAATACTTTAACAAATAAAAAGTTACGGTGGCAAACTAATTTATAGCAATGAAACTGGTTCGCGTGAAGATAGTATTTCTTTGAAATTATGCACAATAAATAACTCAAAATTGATTCGATGCATCAACAAGCAAAAATAAAAAAGTACAAGTCAATCCTCGTCGCCCAATTTAACAAGCCTGTTATTTTCTTCGAAGCGTTCGTCGCGTAAAACACTTTTAAAGATGATCTGTTTAAGTCCACAAGTCATTCACGAAAAAATAATCTTGTCAGCCGTTACTTTCGCAATGATTCTACTGATACAAAGAAATGTTTTACGTCTTTTAATGAGTTTCTGAGCTTCTTAACCAATCAAAATAACTGATAATTGTACGTCAAATTGGAAAGACTTCGCCGCTTTTTCAACGAAATGAAACGTGTGTTTTGATCGGACAAGAAACGAAAACCAAGTACAGCTACAGAAAACGTTGGCAGGCTTAGGAATACTTCGAGTTCAACTTTCTATTATCGACTTCCTAACGAAGATCGACTTGGACAAGCACAAGCGCTTTGACGTTACAGATTTGACCGTTCATTAATAACTGTAAAGAATGTTGCGATAAAAATCTACTTTACTTTGCACAAATTGACTGGATAATGCAAAGCTCGAATGAAAAATAAAATCCTACGTAAATCTAACCGTTACGTTACGCTATAACTTCGCAATCAAAAACAAAATCAAATGTTATTTACCATGATTGAAGTCTAACTTCAGCTTTTTACGTATAGAACAAATATGGAATTTTCTGTGTTGAATGATACATTACATGTGGTTCCCCTAACGCACGCCCGCCACGCCTAGAGTACTAAGAGGTGTTGCGTGACAAGAAAAAGCGCTGTAACTCGCTGAAACCACTTCGCAGTAAGTGGCTGCTACACAGCTACAGATCACGCAACTTTACCACTTCAGCGCGTACAGATCACGGCTATTTAAAATCTAAAAAATACACTTGTTGGATCACGTTCTTAAAAGATAAAATTTTTTTCATTTCGCGATAGAATTTCAAATTTTCTTCATTTCATGCTGTTTTTATCTATGTACAATGTAAAGTTATGCAGCTATTACACAAGTCTGTCGCTCACGAACAGTGGGTTGACGAACGAGAAGTCCTTAAATTCCTCCTGGTTTATGTTGGCGGTGACGTTCTTGTCAGTCGGAGTCAATTTTGGGTCTTCTCTTGTGAAATCCGTGTCGAAGTTCCGTACGTCTGTTCTCGAACGCTGCAAAGGGGAGAAAAAAAAACACGTTAAACTGGCTTCTGTCTTACGATTAGAAGTTTGACATAGCAGATGGAGTCTAAAACACGTGCTGTATAACAGCTAACATGCCAACAGACTCTAGCAAAAATTTGTCAAAAATTTCACAGTTTAGCTCGTTCCCAAGATTTAGGTTCGTTGCTAGGTAGCTTACAAGTAGGCCATCATTATGTGCGCTGCAGGATGCGCGTCCTCCCCCTGCGGGAAGATTTAAGAAGAGTCGGACAAAGGTTTGCCAGGATCTGCCTTGACCCTCGCACCCGGGCGGAATATCTAAACAAAAAAAAAACAAAACAAAACAAAACAAAAGAAGGAGGCACCTTCTTTCTTACTTCAGGCCTTCCTTTCGCACTAATTGCCTTTGGATTCAGTTCCGGGTGGGGATCAATTTGTCATTTACCATCCACAGGTCAAAGACAAAGTACATCACAAACTTTTTACAATCAGACGACTCGTGCTTGGCGCACACAGCAAAACAGCGTCGAAGCGCGTTAAAGAAGAGGTATGAAGAGGGAGTGAAGGGCTGGGTTTAGCTGGCTCTCGGAGACAAACATGCCGCTACAGGATTTTTGAACCTGCCCGACCCACAAAAACTGGGTCGAGTTCATGCTTGTTACTGAGCAGAAGGAAAAACTATCTTTTATTCTAAGGTTTGACTTATCTTTCCGAGGTAATCTTTCCAATGTTAAGTTCCTACGAAAGACGTTATTCTCCCTAGCTAAGCGATGACAAATTGAAAAGACAGCTGACTGAAAAAGAGAGATCGCCCGCTCCGCATTACTTTTATGGAATATTCGCTGGGAAGTCTCGCTAACTTACGTGCGCTGGACGTACTTTGTCCCAGTTCGCGTCCAAATGTACCTAGATTCCGCAGGGCTAGTCCCAGTACCTCCACTGAGACTTGTACCGTGTCACTTATCGATTAAGCCTTGACCTTCGCGCGTACGTAATAACCAATGAAAATGACTCAACCGGATATGAAACGAAAGCGAAACGATTGGTTTATGACGCAACAAACGCTCCAATTAACGTCCACAAAATACTCTTCAAATGTCTTGACGGAAGTTTCTAAGCTTAAGATGAGCGGCTAAATTTACACCGCTAAAAATTAAGAAGAAATTCAAAATGAAAAAAACAGCAACCAGGCGATTTAGCACTTTGGATGGAAATCCACCAAGCCAGCAAGATCCTGAAGGTATTCCATCGCACAGATGCTTGATTCTAAACCAAAGCTTCGAAGCGCTAAAATCGGCACGTTCCTCTACAGAAACCATGAGGGAATTTCAGAAAGAGATGGAGAAAGCGGTCCACGATGAGGGCGAGAAAAACGAGCAGTACAAAAAGTTTGCTTCGGAATACGCAGCCTTCTCCGAAGAGAACGACATCAGCGCTCACGGAATGAACTCGCTTATGAGTATCCCGAAAGGAAATGAGTATGAACAAAAAACTGAGCTTGGCCAAGAGAGTGGGCAAAGGGAAGATTACAAAGTTGCCGAAGACGAGACATGAAAAATCTGTCACTCCACTAATTTGTAAGTAGACCGGTTTGTCACAATGGCACTTTCTTCTTTCGAGTTCTAAAGGACTTTTTCATAGTGTGTGAGCGAATATGGACACACAGTTTCTTGCTCTACAGAGGACGATGCTTCAGTAAACCAGCCACAACATAGTAGCAAATAATCTTTTCTTTTCAAAGTTGAAAAAAAAAAAAAAAAAAAAAAACGTTTCCTGTACGGAACAAGTTCAAAGAATTCGCGCGCATGTCGATAACTCAGCCCGAGACAAAAGGGGGGAAAAAATGTCCAGCGCATGGCTTAAATAATGCATCTACATACTATAACTTTGCGTATTTTGTGGATTTGTGTGCATTTATCATAACTAGTCGAGGCGTAGGGAAACATCACTAACGGTCAATGAGTATTCCGAGTAAAAATACGCCAACTGCCTGGAGCGCGGGAAAACGAGAGTGGCCGAGTCGCAGTTGGTTAAGGTTTTGCCACTGATTGGTTAAGAAGGAAGCGCGAGTCTTCCGAACCAATCACAGAGCGAAGTAAAGAAGAACCCAAGTAAACCCGGAATACTCTCCACATTCAATAAAAAACTGCTCCATCAAGGAAATCTTGGTCATCTAGATAATACAAATTCGTCCCGAAAACTTTCACATTTGTGAGTTTCATTGTTTAAAAAACTTCCACTTTCAGCAGTTTTTTTGGACCTTATCCCCAAAACTACACCACAAAGGAAAAGTACGTAAATCATTGGACAATCGCCTCTTATACTTACTATATCCGGTTTAAATGGAGGTTCTATTTGCCTCGCTTCTAATCTGATCCAATCGACATCCCTAAAGAACGGATGATCAAGAATACTTTGCTCTCCACTCGCCGTGCAGCCAAGCCTTTTCAAACAATTTTTCGTCATAAACTGCAAAGAAACAAAGCAAAGTTAGACTTTGGGTCCTAGAATATCTCCTTAGCTTAGCGCTTCAGCTGTACCAGGCCAAGAAAGCATGCGTGAAACTGCGCGTGAACGTTTGAGCCAAAAAAGAGGTTGAGAAAAGGTACAAGTCTTCACCCTTTCACGCGTTGGTGGATGCTACTATTAATTATGTTTAATCGTTTATCGTCTTTTGTAGTATTACGGAAAGAACTGAAAAGATTGTATCTTTTGATCAACATAATTTCCTGATTTAAACGATAAAATGCTCTTTCTTCAAAGAAAAAAAATTCCTCTGAGTTTCACGAAGCGCCGATCACACTTATTAAGATATTTCTGCGGAGAAAACTTTTGTTTTTAATCGCGCGCAATCCTGAAATGATTGTGAAATGTTTATCGTCTTCTGCTGTCTTCTGTGGTGTCGCGGCAAAAAATGAAAACATAATGCGCTGGTGCCTATAAGCCAAAAATCACAAAAGGAGAGAACTCAACTGTGTATCGAGTGCGAATGTCGAACTACATGGACACTCCGAAACAAACAATAAGTCACACCGTGAAACATCGGGTCAGAATTAGGTCGAGATCGGAATTCTGTTGTTACGCTCCCTCACTCGCTCATCTCGACGACATTTGTGGCTTCGCCTCCGAGGAGAGGCAGTAGCCACAAAAATTGAAAATTTCACCAGCAATATAAAGGCTCGTTAACATTTTTGCCACCCAGAAAGTTGACCGTTCGTGATGGCGATTATTTCAAAGAGTTTGAAATACAAGAAGAGACAAATTTCACATGTTTCAAACAGTGAGACGCTCCTTCAATTCTCGAAATGATGTATCCCTTAACTCGACTACTGTCACCCGAAACTACGTATGCTAATGAAGAAAAATGTTAACGATCAGTGGCGAATCCAGAATCCATTTTGGTCGCTTGCCCTACCGGCTTCTCTTCCTTCTGCGATTCTCTCTTTTTTTACCCAAAATAAGGGGGGGGGGGGTGGCGTGCCCCTCTGGACCCTTCCCTAGATCCACCTCTCACAATGACGGCAGCAAAAATATATTGTCATACATGAGGTGCACATATTGCAGAATTCTTACCCCTTTCAGTATTGAGACAGCTTCTCTGGAGAGCCATACTGGGTAAAGCACATCATCGTTTAAAATGGACTCAAACAAGTCGTCTTCGTTGTCGGCCTCAAATGGTGGCTGAGAAACAAAGATAACACGTTGAAAACTAAGCAATTACTGCTTCTCTTCCCAAACCCATTACAAACTTCGGTTACAATATTGAAAGTACAAGTTGGTGTTTCCAGTCCAACAGTCTTCGCAAGCAGATGAGCAAATTAAAACTTGATGATAAAGGCTTAAGAGAAATCACTAACGTTGCGATTAGCCGTGACAGGCTACAACTCGCCTAACGTGACAATTGGGGCCAATTACGAGTTAAAGCGGTAAGAGTGACTAGCATCTAATTTCTTCTTAAAATATCACCCCTGAATCACACATTAAGGTCATGAGAATAAAGGAAATGATCAGCAGCTAAAGAAGTTGTTGATTGTTACACAAATTCTCCTTATTAGCATCTTAGAAAATGTAAGGAGAACAGCATGGAGAATAGCTTGACTGATATAAGGGTGTAAAGGGTGAAGCAAAACCTTTTACAATCCCAGTTTACTTCGACCTGCAGATGACCTGCTAATTAAAGTTGAGCGAAGAGGACGCTGTGCGAGACAAGAGGATCCCGAACAGATCTTAGTGATCGTTAAATCTGTCAAGTTCTACTTAAATCAACAAACAAACAAATAAACACTATATTCCCATCACAACTTATAATAGTCGAAATTTCTCGGGTTCTGATACTCAGAATTTCCAAAGTTTTCTTTTTTTTGTTTCCTAACTAAATTAAAAGTAAAACCTGTTTTCCCTAACCTGTCCTGCCATCATCTCGTACATAAGGACTCCTAGGGCCCACCAATCAACAGAGAATCCGTAGGGTTTTTCCTGAAGAATCTGAGACAAATAGGAATAGAAATTCACTGATGTGAACCAGCCAGGATTCCTACCACTAAATCATCCTTTATAGTGAAACAGTACATAACACAAGACCAATTTACGAAGTGAATCCGAAAAGCGAAGGACTGGAGATAATAAAAATACTTAATATCTAGCAGAAAGTGGTTACGAAAGGTTGCTGTTAATAAAAGCGGCTGACATTACAAGTCACATACGTCCCAACAACAGAAGGTCTATTCACTCTACTGTGCAAAAATAGCTAGAAATGGGGCGGATTTACTTGTTACGATAAGAAGGCGTTCACAATTGGGACTAAGAACGCAGGTTACGGAACACCCCAAAAGAATGATATTAATTTCCCGCCAAAACTTAACAAACAAAAAAAATCCATCCAGGGAATTTAAAGTTACTTGCTATGACGAGGGGATAGCGCTCGAAACGTCAGCTTAGAAACTCTTCACGGTGGCCAATTTACATTAGCAACTCAATCAAAGAACTAAATTATATAAGGTTAACAATAGTCGAGCGTGATAAAAAATTGCTGTAAGGAAAGGCTGTCAAGTTTGCGACCAGATGCCATAATCGACTGATAGGCGTCTTTAGGCTCAAAGTCTATCGAAGATTTTCGTAAAACGTACGTTTTTGTTTTTTATTGAGAAGAGATAGTACTTCTCATGGGTAAAATACACTTTTTATGGGGTAACGCGCGTCATTATAAAGCTAACTTCGGGAAAGTCCCCATCCCCGATAGCAACTTCTACAAAGAAGAACGACTCCAAAACAGTCTCACCTCTGGAGCAATGTAATCCGGCGTTCCGCAGAATGTGTTTGTAAATTCACCCGGCTTCATTCGTTCCTTACACATTCCAAAATCAGCCAACTTGATGTGACCATCTCTGTCTAGTAGTACGTTATCCAATTTTAAATCCCTGTTGGAAATAAATCCAGTTGTTAAGAGGTGGTTTAACTCTTTACACCCTAAGATCAGTATGCAAATTCTCCATACTGTTCGGCATACATTTCCTACGGTGCTGACAAGGAGAATTTGTCTAACAATCAAGAGCTTCTTCAGTTAGTGATCAGTTTCTTTATTCTCGTGACCTTCATATGTGATTCAGGGGTGATATGGTGACGAGAGATTAAATGAAGCAAATGAGTGTCTACCGATTCCTTAACGCAATACATATCCAAATTCTTGATTATGAAAGCACTCGTTTGGCAAAGCTGTCTTCGTAGAATCGCTTAGTGCTCGAAGGCTCTGATCTCAGACGCCTATGGTGCTCTATTCTTCAGAGCTTTCAAAGAGGGTTAAGCTGTACAAGTCGCCAAAGGACAACATTTAGTCGCCTTTTGCGCCTGGAATTGCTAAAGCACAGTATTCTAAAATTTCTTCTATAAGAGAAGAGAAGAAATGGCTAATCATAACAAATGAAATGTTACTTACCTATATATAACTCCATTCTTATGAAGGAACTGAAGCGCCAGTACAACCTCTGAAGCGTAAAATCTACATATGCAATAAAAATTCATTTAAGAATGTGCCTGTCAGAAAAATAAAAGACTTTAGACAGAAAATCATAGAATTAACCATGGCCGGCGGGTACCTAGATCTCTTCTCGTTGAATTTTCTAGCCTTTTGAATTTGGAACATCAAATCACCACCATTCACATACTCCATCACAAGAAACAACCGATCCTGAAACAGAAAAATAGAACCAAAATCAACGGAGCACTTAACTCCCACAATGCTTCTCTCCACCAAGGAGTAAAATAGGGAAGCCTAATGAAATGCTGAAGGGGAGGGGGGGTAACCTTGCAATGATCTTGCATCCCACCCAGGGAGGAGTAGCAACACTCCTAGTCGCGTCGTGCCATGGGGACCGAGATAAATTCCGGCTGGGTGAGTTAATTGGCTCGAATATATGCTTCACCCTTTTTTTTTTTTTTTTTTTTTTACCTATCAATTACCAGGTAAAAACTCTAAAGAGAGTTAGTCATTTAGTTATTTTTATCTTGCAACTCTTATCGAGTTTTCCATGGTATTCCAAGACTTACGACCCCTTTCCAGGATTTCCTCGAACGCTCAAAACCTTGGGCAACCCAGCCTGCACAGAGACTCGGTTGGTGTTGCAAAAACGAAAAAAATGTTATTTACCGCTGTTTGGAAACTGGAATGAAGGGCTGTGAGGTATGGGTGACCTGCAGATAGCGCTAAAACTCGTCTTTCAATCATTGTACATTCGACATCATCATCTTGCAGAACTGTTTCCTTCTTTAGGATCTTAATGGCATAAATTTCATCCGTGCTCTTTTTTTCAGCCAACAAAACCTGGGAGACAAGAAAAAAAGTACATATCCATATAATGAGAGATAGCAGTTAAATTCAATTCAAATATAAAGAGAATATTACATGGCCGCGCGGAGATATGAAATTTCTCTTCGGGTTGAAAAATAGTTCCACGAGTGAGCGAAGCTGTCAAAGACGCTGCATCGAAAGGGCGATTTTTATATCAAACCATAGCAACAGCGACCTTTTCATGTTTAAAGATAACACGTTATCTTCACATTTGAAGATATAATGTCTTCGCGCAAAATTTCACTTGAAAATTAAAAATACAAGATATTGTCTATTCTCCTGGAAAAAGAATCCAAAATTTACGAGAAATCGAACTTAATGAAATTTTCTTCAAAGAGTTAAAGTCTTATCGCTTTTTATGAGGTAATGCACTCTATAAAGAGTGCCATTAGCCGGTATGCCATTGATCAGTATCCCTCCCTCCCAAGATGCGACCTCGTAGTTCAGTTGGTGGTCGCACCCAACTATTATCTGGGAGGCCTAGGTTCGAATCCCGTCAAAGCCTTGAGTTTGTCAGGCGTCTTTTCTGGAATTGCTTAAATTGCAGATCACCTACGAGAATCTTAACCCTGATTTATGACGAACAAGAGGAGTTAGTCCTGACCTTGCCAAAGCTTCCCTTCCCAAGAACTTTAATAAAATTGAAGTCCGACAGGCCAATTTTCTTCTGTCGTCTCCTAGCTCCGGGGGAAGCTTCCAGGTCGTCAGGTTTTATAGAGAGCGAGCCAAAAGATCCAATGTCGCTGTCGTTCTCCTGAGCATCCATGAGTGCCATTTGTGATGAAGAGCGATCGTAAGGTATCATCTTGTCCGATCCATTATATTGGATTGATGGCTGTTGGGTAAAGGAGAAGAAATTTATTAATCACGCAAGAGAGCAGAAGAGTCTGTAGAGTAGCAGCTTTAGAGGTAAAGGGGACGTTGTGGGCAACCAGCCCCAAGCTAGAATATCGCCTGTGGCAAATCCGCGCAGGCCCACCATAAGTTGCCAATCCAGGCACTCATCAACAACGATTGGATCAGTGGAAGGTGGGGGAAGGCTTTGAAAAGCTTCTGCACTAATCTGATGAGGAGTTGCCGCCACCAAACTTTTAAGAACTCGCAGATGCCAGATGTAACAAAGTTGCAAAAAATTCTCCTTATGAGTTTGCCTTTGTGACGGTGACAGGTGATGTGAAGAGCGAAATAAGCTTGTTGTAGTTAAATTTCTCATTAGTCATTCAACTTGAAAAAAAAATCTTATTTGCAAACCTTTTTTACTCTCATTGATTCTGAGAGCTTGTTTACAGTGAGTCCTAAATCCCTCAAACAGCTTGCCATCTTCTTGGGATCCACTCCACAATTATTTGCAACGCGCATGTGACATCTCTTGTGAACATTTAGTTTACAAGCTGGGAAAGGAACGGATCACAACAAATGAGTTGCAAAAAATATGAAATCACGATTCTTTAAATGGCCGGATATGCTGGGAGATCTGAGATTAAGAGGAAAACTAAGGAACACACCGCCTGCATTTTTTAAAGACAATAAATTGACCAGCAGCACTCCATGCTGCAACCGCTTTGGACACCACAAGGAGTGATAACATACATTGACAAACAAATTGGCAGTGAAAGTTGCCAATTTGGTGCCCTGTTCTTGGTGGTCATGCTGTAACTTAGTTAGCCATTTGCGTAAAATTGTACATAAGATAACTAGATGCTTTACACACCTTCACACTGCATTCCTTGTCTCACAATACCATACAATAGAGAACCACAATGATCACAGAATGTCGGTTTTCTGTAATTGTGAACTTTAAACCTATGCGGGATATTAACGTTGAACCGACGAAAAATCGAACTTTGCCGCCCAAGTCCACTCTGGAAAAAAAAAACAAAACCATTATAATAATTGTAAACTAAAATTCCCCTCTATATTACATAATACTTCATTATCAACGGTCAGTAGTGAAGCAAAAGATCTTCTGCTGGGGCATTTTAAGGCGGTAGGGCGCGAAAAACACCTCATCAGTCTTGAAATTCTCTAGAAACTCTTCATCCCTTCAACTCCAATTCACCAATTTCTTATATTCTTTTAGCTGCTAGACATTTGCTAGTTCAACATTTAAGAGAATTTGGTGTTACATCAAGATAAAGCCTTTTGCTGACAAGTTTGTTTATTCTCGTCAGCTCTGTTGGATATTTTCAATTTTTATGGAGAATTTACTTGCAAATCACTTCTAAGTGTTGTGGGGCTGACTCCCATAAGTGATCAGTACACAGTTTCTCCCACAAATTCTGAAATACTGCCAACCAAACTAGTAATGATGATCACCTAAGGAACACAGTCTTCAAAATAATCACAATCTCCTAGGGGCAGCTAATAAAGAAATTTTACATTCTTGATGGCCAGTTCCTTTGCAAAGATCTATCCTGCAAATAAGTACTTGTTGCATCTTTCAGAAAAAAAACTGGACTACTTCTCATCTTTAAAAGTAAATTTCTATGTTCCATACTCCTCCTAGGTCTTGAAAATTAGTTTGCAAATTTCCATGCTTTTCCAATAATTAATCTAGCTTTCATCTAGGTAAAAGCTAATTGTAAGTATGTTTTTCTTTCATAACTTTCATTTTGTGACAAGTAAGTGCCATTAGCCAATATAAACTATTTTTTAATAACAAAAGATTAGACAAATGATTAAAACCAGCCGATGACCTTGGACTTACCGCACCTAATGAGCAATAAAAATGTCTAGCCAAAGTTTTTATGATATTTATCCGTCATGCTATTTTATATGATATTTGCCAGTGAAAAACGCACTGCATATGACAGTGGCAGAATACAATCCCAGACGACACAATACAATCAAAGTGTAGGTCATTTTCACAAATGGTGCATAATCTCCTGGATAAATGAATAGTTCTCTCGAAGTGTATGCCTGTGTCCTAACGTTTGGAAGAAAAGTTACATGCAACAAAAACACTATTACAAGTAATTTGTCTGATCACCAGTGTCTTCAATAAAGTTTTGCAAGAGGTAAAAATTGAGACAGATTCCAGAGCATTCCATCTCAAGGACTTAATAACCATTATGTATTGAGTTCTCTTACTTCTACAGTCTGAGACATCAAATTAATATGACTGTCTGGTGTTGCAAAGCACATCATTAACTGGCCTTCACCACAAAACTAGAAGCTACTTTAAAAGCTGCCCAATGTTTTTTGCTAAGTATTTCAAATAAAAAGAAATTAGAAAAACCATTTTCACCATAAGTAACAGGTTGGCCACATTCTCAGAGTTCATTCTCAGTACCAATATGCTGGATAATGTTTGGATATTAAAGGGAGAAGTTACATGTTAATCACCTCTGCGATTTAAAGGACAAGACACACAGTACAATGATAATGCCCACCCTGATTTGTTCATAAGAGAGTGAATTTCTGACGCTTGAGTGACATGGGAATGAATTAGTCAGAAATGAATATTTTCATGGCCTGTTGAAGAGGTTTGCATGTCATCATGGAAGTATCAGATTATTTAAGCATTTGGCAGGAAATTATCTCATTCTAGGTCGGTCAGTCTTATGTTTGACCACTTTCTTTTCTGTATTGGTTGTAATATTTGTATTCCAACTACCTGTAAAACATCATTACAACCACTGATTTTTCTTTGTGCTTAGTAATGCAACCAGGTTAGTTTACAGTTTCCTCAGGGTATTGTGCTGCTGCATTTGATGAGGAATACATTTCCACACATTTTTTGGCCACATCCAAAGAATGGTTTTTTAGTGGTTTTTAGAGGTTCTTCGCATCTGGCATAGCACAAGTTCTTTTTGGAGAACCCCTTGTTTCAGGGTGCACATCACAACACATATACTAAAAGACTAACTGACTCATCCTAAATAAACTTTTAACTCTAAATGTCTCATGTTCATTCACCTATCTTTAACACAAATAAACCAAAATTCAACAGTTTATAAAGACCCCCCCTCCCTCCCCCAAAGAGCATGTGAGAATTTCTACAATTAGTGTATATGTGTTACACAATTCAATACCTTGTCATCTTCTGGTAAAACTTCTGGGGACTCTTGCCTTTCTTTAGAGCATTGGGAGACCATATCTAAATGACATCTCTTGTGAACGACACATGTGCAAACTGTCAACAACAACAACAACAAAAATAAGACATACAAAATAAAAGCATCAAAATCATAACTTGACTGAATGAATAAATAGTAGTTCTTATTCATCCAGACAAGAGAATAAGTAAGTAAAAATAAACAAATAGGTGAATAAATGAATGAGTAAAATCAAAATCAATTAACCCTTTAACTCCCATGAGTGATCAAGACAGAATTTCTCCTTGCAATATCATACAATAACAAGCAGACAAGTGATGAGAATATAGAAAAATATCAGTTAGGGAATTATAAGTTGATCCAAAACCAAATTCTCCAAACTAACATCACAAAAACTGTATGGGAGAAGTAAAGAGAACTACCTATGAGATCTTGAGAGTTAAAGGATTAATTTTTTTGCAAAGCAGAAAAAGAACATGAAAATTCAACTTTATTTACAGATGGCCAGAACAGCAACTTGTACTTTTAAACAAGTGTTTGCAAGATGCTATTTCACAGTCAACAAAAAAAGTATTGCAAGCTTTCCCTAATCTACAGTATTAACAAAAGTTTTTTCATCTATCAAGTAATGATGAAAGTCTCACCTTGGCATTGATAGCCTTGCTTGTTAATGACGCCCCTAAAAGGTAAAACAATAGGGCAGATAGTCAGTAAACTCTTTAACTCAGAGTAACCATCGTGTAATTCTGTTTATCACCAAATTAATACTGCTGAATCATTCATTATGATCAATGGAAAAAGGAAATAATTTCCAAACTAGGAAGCTTTGATTGTTAAAAAAAGTCTCCTTGTCGGTCCAAAGAAAATGCTTAAAGAAGAGTATTGAGAATATGGATAATGATGTTGGGGTGCAAAGGGTTATAGATAAAAAAAAAATTGACTGATGTTACTAACCAGGCCACACCCTCGAAAAATCTGACTTGAGGGGAGAGGGAGGGAAGTGTCAAATTTTTCTCCTTTGGCAATGTAAAAAAACAGAGATAAACTTTGCAGCAATCTGAATACATTTGGTGCAAATGGGCAGTTTTGAATGGAAGGCAGGTAGTTTTGAAGACGTTTAGAGGTCTGGGCCATAAACTAGAAGTTTAGACTCTTGCATCTGCATTTTTCTGCATTTCATGGTCTACTCCAATTTATGTTGCCTTGCCTAGATGTCAAGCAATTTGAAGAGGATTAAATATATATATATCACTTCACTTAAATATAAATTTAAGTGAAGGCTACAATGAAGCAGATCTACCAGCAACCCTGTCTGTCATGGAAACCCCCCTAAAGTTATGGCCAGGAAGGAGGTTGATGATCTGTGACAACCTGATAGAACATGCTTAGAGAGTAGATTTCACCATTCATGTTTCAAAATCTTTAACTGTAGCTAATCACCAGTTACACCCGAGCATTGTGTCCTCTTTTAAACAACACAACTGTGTTGCATTCTATCAAAATTCCAACAAAAGGTTGTGCCACTCAACATTATTCTTGAATTATTTATCCATTAACATAATAATAACCAGGGAAAAAGCCTAAAAAGGCTACTATTTTCAAAACAGCTCTCTTAAGGTACACCTTGCTTAAATTCTAGACATTGTTCACAGTGAAAATTTTCATTATCATAATTCTCAACATTATCATTATCATCATTGTCATTATCCACCACTTTCAGTGACAGTGAGGTGAAAGTATGTAGCACACAGATACCCAAAAAAATAAGTTTAAACTATTTCTTTCAGTATAACAAAAAATAGTTGGAAATTAACATCAACCTGTGATTTTGTCTCTTCAGCTTCTCATAGGTGAATAGCACTTGCCATTCACCTCTGAACTAGCCAATCAGCATGTGCTAAAAGCACTATTCACTTGTGGGGTGTATACTAATACCAATTATTACCTTTGGAATAATTATTGTCATTTTTTTAATTAATTATTACTTATATCAATTATTACCATTATCACAAGTATTATATTCTCTTTATAATTATTATCTTCTTTATCATTGCAAATGTAGTATTGTTATTATTAACATTACTGTTACTACCATTCATACCACTGCTATCAATACCACTACTAGAATTATTTTAATTATTAATATTTTTTATTTCCATTTTGGTAGAATTGCTTAGTTTCATTTCAATCAAATTGCAAAAATGTTTAACTTTCTTTACATTGTAACCATTACTTGGGATGCAAGTGGCAGACCATGTTAAAAATTTGCATGAGCATCGTCAAAGTCAGATACAGAAATTAGCCACATGTTTGTGCTTCTCACTTAAGTCGAGCTCTATTGGCTGATGATACTATGTGGATGGGTGACTACACATGTCCTGTGCTGCTGACTTTTTTTTTGGCTTTATTTTTTCATTCCTGTTCTTTTGAGAGTTAACATTAGATTTATTATTTTCCATGTAAAACTGGAGTACCCATGGATAACAATCAATGCATCCCACATTGAGGCCTCCAGATGTCTGGCTCTAAATGAGCTTGGGATAAAAAAAAAGAGTGGCAACTTTGAACACTGGATTCTTGCAACCTTTGAACTTATCAAAGTAACAATCCTATGGTGGATTCATTACCTTCTAGAAGTAATTCACAAAAACAAAAATGGGCAATTTTCAAGCAACCACAAAAATCCAAAATGTGTTTTGGATTTTTAAGATTTTAAGATTTTTCAAAAAGCATTATCACATGAATCAGACATAACATGTTCCTGGTAAAATTAGGGGAAAAGTACCGAGTCTAGACTGAAGTGGAGTCCATACAATTAGTGAATGTTAAAATATTAAACATGGGAATAAAAAATCCAAAATGTGTATAATTAAGATTTTACAAAAAAGGTATTGCACAACAGACCTGGCATATTTAGCCCAATAGACATCTTGACATAAGAACCCCCTCTTATTTTAACCAAACTCTGACTCTCTCTTTTTCATTGAAGTTTCACATCAAAACCTTTTCTAAACCCAAACAGGCAACACTGAAATGCAAAACTGTTGGTATATTGATAACAAATTCACAATTTTACTGCCTGTTTCCAATGATTCAACAACAATTCTTTTGCTCAAGTTTTAGAGTGCCTCTTGTGAAAAAGCTTCTCTTTAATGCAATGATCCCATTCAAACCACTGGCCATTAGAAGATATTAAAAGGCTAAAAAAGCTTAACCACAGCTCCATAAATCATCAGGCTTTTAATTACCAAAACCACTGTGGTTTTAGCATAATATTTGGCTCATACGAACATATTTGAGCAGCTGTTGTCTGCTGATGATTTCAAACCCACAAACTGGGATAATGAAACAACTCGTGTTGGCATAAAGAAAGAGCATGTCTCAATCTGATTGAAGACATGGAATACATGTTTCTCGTACTTTTGAGGGTTCTACAAAAAACAACTAGTCCACCAGAATAGGAATTTTTCAATTAACCAAAAGTTAGTTGCACTGAAGCATTAGAGCTTTCTTCAGACTGCTTTTAACAACACAATACCACCCTATTTCAAAGCATGCTTGTTTTCAACATTCTAACTTTTAATCTCAAAACTGAACGGGTGAAAACACTTTTTGTAAGAACAGCAGAACTAAAAACATGAATTTTTGTGCCATACATAATGAAACAAAACAATTGTGAAATTACCTTCAGGATAAAAAGATTTTTAAGGAGCTGTTAGTATACTCTTTTCCAAGTGCAATTTGCATAATCTTGATGAAATATTTGAACTTAAAAGGCCTCTCCAGAAACAAGGAATAGTTTTAATGCTATACTACCTTCTGCAATAGCAGCTGGGTATAAAGAAGAATTTTACTGATAAGTATAGGATTACTCTACAAAATAAGCCTATTACACTTAATAATTCGGGCTTCATCAACTTTGAGTGGCCACTGTAAAGAGATTGTAAAGCTGACTATTCAAGTGTTTGCCCTTCATCAGAGAAAATTAAGGGATAACTGGCTGCGTGTGGTTTACCTAGAGAAAGAACTAGTTTTGCTATTGGTGGGAACATGGTAACATGCAAAACCAGAGAATAAATCAGTTGAATGAAAAGCATTTGATGATAACTTGAGGATTTTAAGATAAAATGTCTGAAATGCAAAGAACTTATTAAATATCAACATCCAAAGTACAACATATACAAGGTTTGATCACATGACAAGACAAAAAAATAAAGACAAGTGATGAAAATTTCATCAAAGCAATGGAGTGGATCAGTGGATTAACAAGATTTCAAAAACAAGAAAAAAATTTTCTTTTTTTTAAAATTTAGAGTGAGGACAAAAATAGTGGTTGCGATTAATCAGGAGATTAATTTAACTCCTCCAAAGCAATAAAAATTGTGAGATGTGGTTCATTGTCGAATGTCTTGTAAGCTTGACGCTATTTCCTAATAATCCAAACCCTGAAGAAAGACATATCCAAGTCAACTGGGAAACTCCTGATTTTCATGCCTCATGTTGATCAATTCTTGGAGTTTGTACCTTTTATTACAAAAGGTCACAAGTCTTGATCAGAGCTTGAATTGACAGCCTTGACAACCCCCTAAGTATAAGTGAAATTATTTACAAATGTCATTCCTGAGCAGCTTTTCATTGAAATCTAGAACTGTATCAATACGAACAAACACATTTAAGCTACACATCATTGAAGGTATACGATTGAAGATCTGGTTCTGCAGTTGCATATCAATAAACCACAGCTTTTCACAAAGTGTAGACTTAAAATTCTCCTCTTTCACAGTATACTTCCAAAGCTAATGATAACAAAAAAATTTTTTCTCTGTAAGCATCTATATTGCACTTTGAACAAGTCAGTCAGTCTCAGAGGTGAGCAATATATGTTTGTTAACTTCCTCCTTCTATTTCTTTCTCTAATACACCACATGTTAAGGTATTTCCATGTCAAGATCAAGATTCATCAAAAACAGCTTTCGAGATTACGATTTCATGGTCAAAGACTATGGGAAAAGAAATGTCTAATATGCAACCCCAAAGTCAAAGACTAAGGGAGAACAACATTTAATGTTCAACCCCCAAAAAAGCGTCCTTCCACAGTCATCATTCCACAAGGCCTATTCAGGTTTTAGTTCAAGTATATATCTATACTTCCCTGTAAGAATCAAAATAAAACTGAAAGGGAAGATACACAGATTCTGTGTTTCCTAAAACTACACTTACAGTATACTCACTTTTGCTATTGTTACAGTTGTAATTTGACACAGAGTAAAATATGATTCTGTAATCCTAAACGTAAACAACAAATTTTTAGCTCCTCCAGTTTATGCGTGGCAGGTAGTGGCCTTTTCGCGTTGGTTCTTTTGCAGTCATGTGATTTCTAGCTGGCAAGACTCTTCCGCTTTCGCTAAGCTATTATTTCATTTCATTTACATATGACAATAAGAAAAATAACAGAATTTTACTCAGTCATACCAGAGCAATTTTGCACTCATTTGATATTACCGATACTTCCTTTCCCCCAGAAGAGACAAGCCTGTAGAAATGCAGCAGAATGAACAGACATGTTTAAGGTAAACATGATCGAAGGTATACAATTGAAGGTCGGGTTCTTTAGTCGGGTTAAATCAAAAACAGTAATAGAAATCAGTCCTTTGAACTTAAGCGCAGATCGCGGCTTCTCTTTCCTTGATTGCACCCATGCAGTGAGAAGCTGTAAACATATACTTCTGTTTCAACTGTTACACTACATACAATGATTTCCACAAAGTAATAAATATATTTAGAACCTGACAACTTCTTCATTATCAAATACATTAACAAAAATATTTTGATGTTTGATCATAATTCACACAATTTTCATACTTTTGAGAGATTTTTCTGTAATTTTGGAATAAAATGAATTACGGGTAGCTTAGTTACCTTGTTGCTTACTGAATTTACCCTCGAATAGAAAAATATAATTCCAATTTTCCTCAAGAGATCTTTTTGACTTGGTATTATTTCAAACCAGCTGAAATTCTTTAACTTTCCTTCCATATCACTGATAGTAATGGTTTCACAAATTTGTTTATATTAATCAAATTCACAAGCAACCTTCACATCATCACAAAGTTCTGCAAAATTTGCTTTATCTCTATATCAAGGCAGAACTGAAAATTTCTCATGATGTAACAGTCTGAGGCATAAAAACCAAACAGTTTCTTAATTTCAACAAAAAGACAATAGTATTAAAAGTATACAACACAAAATTGCATTCACATTAATTACTGTACATCAATAGCGTGAAAAGATGCTTCAAAGAGAAAAATAACTTATTTCGCAAAATTGCTCTCGCAGTTGATCGTACTGAAACATAATCATTGTGTCAAAGCCGTTGTAAGGTGCTTAGTCGCACAGTAACTGTGGATATGCCTGGCAAAACAAATAATAGACATGTGGTTGCCGACTAGAGAAGATCGCAAACCACGCATTCAAAACAAAATTATGCATTTCATTTATCCTAAAAGTGTTTACAAGAGAAGTCACACGCAAGAAAATGAAACGGGAAGCTATCCACGGTTTTTAGACATAGATTAATTTTTAATAGGTTTAATCTTATTCCATTCAACTTATTGCCGCCTTTTCACTCTTTCTTTGTGACTTAAGGTACAGTGTCCTCTTGTTCAAAGCTTTTAAATTGGTCACGTCGGTGGGTTACTTAGATCGCGTGCAAAAGCTTTGCAAAAGGGTGATTTATTCTCTGCACGAATACAATGAAGTAGGACACTTCCAAGTTCAGAGCGTGTTTTTTTAAAGATTCATTGTACTGAAAGAGCGACTTCGTAAAATGTTTAATACCCTAGTAAAAGCTGTTATGATATTGCTTGGTAAACAAATACTTTCAAAGCTCAGAGAAGAAATGTCAAGCGTGCCTTCATTGTGAGTCACAAGAAGGTTGTCACTCAGGGTAACTCCAAAAGAAAGCGTTTATTGAGCAAAATTTCAAAAGAAGCCATTCTGCAAGTAAAAGCTATCATGAGGGCAACTGCTCTATCCGTTTAATGTCTAGGATCAAATTCAAATGCAAAAGGAAACTAATCGGTCAGACCAGCTGAAAAGGAAAATGTCATTGTTGCTTTTTGTTATGGTAGTAGACACGTTGGCTTTCAGTCACACAACCAAAGCGTAAATTATGGATCATTTTCATGCAAAATCATCCACAAAAGAACACAATACGAAAACTGAAACACTAAAATGTCCTTCTCACCAGATGAACTCCTTGCAGTGGCTACAAAAAGTCGGCTGTCTGAGGAAGGTTGCCATGAATTTGTGGCCGCTTATTTGATGCACCCTTCTACGTACAGCCCCTCTTCGGCCTTTGATGCCGCCTTCCCTTTCCTTGAACACTTTCCTCTCTCTGTCTGTTGACAATAACAACAAAACACGATTCCTATTTGACTGCACTTTGCCTGAAACATGAATTACTTAAATACACGGCTATTAGCGACCCTGAAACACCACTTTGTCGCTCTGTAACACACAGTCTGCATGACGAATAAGAAGTCGCTCTAAATCGAAGCAACATCTTGCGGCGATCGAAGCTCGCTCCGTGGCGTTTGAATTCCACACATAGACAGTGAAAACAAAACATTACCATGAAAGTTGTTTTTCAAATGAAAACAATTGCATAACGAAAAGGTATTCTGAGAAAAAAGTTTCATTCAGGAGACATCACAAACGGTTCGAAACTCGACATGAAAATTTACAACTTACCTTGCATGGCCGGTTTAAGTTCGATATAGAGATGAACTCTCCCTTCGGGCTCGAGTGGAATCTGGAGATGCATGATAAAATGGCATAAGAAATAGACAGCACTGTGACTAATTAAGTCCCTTTAGAGAAAGAGAAACTCAAACAAATCGTCCTAACCGTACCCAGATATCAGAGGTTCCTGATTTGATGATCTCTTCCAAAGGCACAGACGAATTCGCCAAAAACGGATCGGGCGGCATAATTGCGTTATGAAATACAGTAATTCCTAATGTCTCTCCATTTTCTATCTCACTTTCAAACTCCTCGTTCCAAATTGGCGTCGAAGTTTTCGGTTTTGAAGACGTCTGCGCTATATGAACATCATCCACATGAACGGATACGTACGGATCGATAGATTTGACTCTTCTCTGAGCCAACATCGCCGGTTTTAAGTCTATTGCCTCCAGCACCGTGAGTTTGACGGAACCCGTAAACACCATGTTGCTGCCAAAAAGCTCCCTTCGTCAAAGAATGATACAGAAATACTTCTAAAATCTACGGGAAGTTCGGCATTCCCCACTTTGTTCGCGACGCCGAAACAACTAATATTCCACTCAGCTCCAGTAAATGATAACAATATTCTAATGAAATCACAGCGGAAGAGGACAAGAATTTCCCGTCATTCACAGTCCTCTCGTGAAGTTTCGGAAAATTACGAGAACGTTCGGGGAATCATCTCGACTATTTTCGGCATATTACGACCTTCTTCGGCAAGGGTGCGGCAATTTGAGATTCCGTTGTGAAGGAAAGTGTTTAAGAAATAAAACACAAAAGCGATGAAATGTTTAAAATTGATCTATTTGTTTATCATAATATTTATCTGAGTAAACAAGGTGTGAAGCTCTGAAAAACCCTAAAAGTATTCCAAATATTTTCCTTTCAGCAGAAAATTGGATTAAAAGGGATTCTAGGCAAATATTATTTATCACTTGAAAGAGATTGTTGTCAGAATTCCATTCCATTTAATAGAAGCAATCGTAAAATACATAAAGAGAGAGACGTTGAATCCGGCAATTACGCCAGCACAAAAAAATGCTTAAAGCACAACATGATTTTACTTTATCGGCAGATAAAAAAACTAAGAGGACTGTTTCAGTACTAACTCTGTAACAGATGAAGATAGTTCCTTATAAAGCGTTACTAAGATTTGTAAAACGCGACAAATTTGGAAATGCAAAAGTAGCAACGGTCAAGAGAATATGTTCATATTTTATTGAAAAAATTGTTCTGCCTTTAAAAGGGAAAAAAAATTTTTTCAACTGTTTATGCACCAACTGAGAATTAGCGTGGGATGTCCGTAAATGAAAAAAATCCATTGCCGCCCCTGCAGGATACAGGGCGGAGAGCAGCGACCGAAAAAGACAAAAGCGGAAATGGTTGCATTCACTTCTTCTCTGCTTATTTACTGAGTCTAAAATGCCATTATATTCTGGTTAATCTTGAAATTTTTACATCGATAAGACAGAGGCAGAAATCAATCTCAACAAGGTTTTGAAAATACGTTAAAACAAACAAAGACATCAGAAGATAGGAGTCTCCAGCCGGGGTTACTCCCATATTTTCTCTGAAGTGTGTACACCGCCCCACATGGTTTGATTTTCGAGGCCTTGAGGCTTGAAAAGGATCAGTAATTTTACTCAACCATACTTTTTCGATCAAACGTCCGAGTTAGACTAAAATACAGCCTCGTCAAAACGCCGGAGCGTGGTGAAGGGTAATGCTGATTTTAAAATTAACGTCTGAGTGTTTAATCGAGGTTGTGATGTCTATTTGCGGTGGAGCTGACAAACAACCAAATTGTGAAAGATCCCGAGGGAGGATTGGGGGGTCCGAATCCACTCTCTGCAATCAGACCAGTGGGTACTTTTACTGAAGTCGAACCTTTATGAACGGCACCGAAATCAGTGCGAGTTGTATTTTTAGGTGAGCTTTTGTACATGAGTGATTAATTATGGCATAATATGGCAGTTTTTTTTGGTTATTTTTATAACATGCCTATTCTGTGGGTCCTATATTTAGCGGTCAACCTGCAATAAGTGGTCACCGCGCCATTCCCCGGGGGTGATCGCTTAACACAGGTTCCACTGTACTTTCAAGGGAAATTATTTCAACGAAAGGATCGAACGTCGCCACTCAACTTGATGTCTTTAAAATTTACTTATTTTAAAATATTTTATAGATTATTCAGGCTCTGATGTGAAAAGAAAATTTCGTGTTCCCTGAATCAAATTTTGGTCCCCTCCCCCTCCCCCTACTCCCCACGCTTACTAAAATTCCCAGATCAGCCCCTGCTACTCTTCACTGAATTTATGAGAATGCTTCGACATAATTTTGCTTTAATTTGGAAAATGTATACATGAAAAACGTAGATAAAGGAAACGAATGATCCCTACGGAAGATCCATAGAGAGTTTGTGAGGTTAGTCGAAGGGAAAATCGTACCGTCTCGACCAACCTCAGTTAGTCACGGGGACGGATAAGAAAATCAAATTGAAAAAAAATGACAAAGAGATTCACTCCGTTAATAAACATAAAGCCCTGCATCACGATTCAAGTCAGCCTCAACTAAACGCCGGGTTTCTCAGGGCCAGATGAATAGGGTGTGAACAGAGCGGCCGGTTATACAAGTATGGTAATAGCAATCATGTTTTTAATCTTATTTTAAAGCTTCTTGTACAGCATACAAGACGAGGCGTCAAGTGAAGTTTATATGCCACGATTAAGACGATCAGAAGCTTTTAGCAGGGCAGCTATATGAACGAAAATGAGGGCGGGACACGCCCAAACACACTTCCCTAAAGTTCCTTCAAAGATTTTTCAAATTACATTAATATTCTTTTAATATTTATCGGTAAAATGAGAGATCAAACTAATCAACACAAAGTGCTGAACATCAACGACAACAAAACAGACCAAACAACCCAATCAAATCACTTCCTTATGTTCCCAAGTTCTACAAACTCCTTGCTTTTGCGGTAAATTTATCACGCTAGGTGTGGCACAATGAAGCGTCACCGAAGAAAAAAAAAGCACTTTAAATGGAGAGACATTAGAGCAGTTATCCAGCGAAGTAAAACAAAAAAATAAATCAATGCAATCTAGAAGTGCAAAAAACTGGCAGGCTGAAATTAACCGGAAAAAAAATCAGAATAGAGTGAAAGTATTAACAACTTATTTTTCACCTCAGGGGCACTCTGAAATTACATAGACCGATAAGGAAAAAACCAGAAAGATGCATTCAAGGTGCAAATATATATATTTATTTTTTCGTTCTATATATTAAATTTCTTTTCAAACGACTTCCTCTGGCCTCCATTGAGGATTTCTAGAAAACTGTCTGGCGAATTATATAAAAATTTACAAAAATATATATATATCTATAAGGCCTACCCCGCCATAATGAAAAAGCTACGTTGTCCGTGAAATGTGATTCTTCTGCAGTGTGACTAATTATCATCAGAGTGAGAGATTTTAAGAGGAGACTTTTTACAGTAACCCTCCGAGAGGCCAAGAGCCACAAATGTTTTTGATGCAAAACATTACAATAAGTACTAAGTTCATTAAACCGGGGTCTTATAAAGAAAATGGCCACTACATGTCAAAGGTTGGTTGCATCTTCAAAACGCAGCAGTACATTCGATGGAGCGAGCTATTTCCGGGTGGAATGGGTTCTAAATTTCAGTCTCCAAAGAACGTTTAGGATGTCAACACCTATTTGAGGGATGGAAGGGTAGGGAGGGAGGAGACAAGTGGTACTCGTTCCATCGAATGTGTCAAAAAGCCGAAGACTCCTTCGGCAAGATTTTATTATTTTAAGGCAAGCTTAAGATCATTTAAATAAGGAAGCCCCCAAAACTTTATACAAGCTATTGACAAAAAACCCGCCAGATTAATAAAAACGACTGTAAGGAGTTACAGAGCCAAGGAAAAGAAGCCAGGCTAGTATCGTATGTAGCTTGTTACACGCCCGCAATCAGTGGAGGCGAATTAAAGAGCCGGCAAACTACAAACAGCGGTCGTTGTTGACAGGGAATCGGCTGGATTTTTTGTTTCCAGACCTCCGCCGTTTTTTGCGCACCTTCGTTTTCGCTCGTTTCCACTGACCAAGAGCCTGACACAGCCTATATCGTATCAGAAAAATTTATATTCGCTAGATCTCTAAAGATTCTTTGCCACAACAGTTCAATAGCAAAGGAACGAACCGAGACTTTCCAAATACAATCGGATAAAACACCCAACACGTGGCAACCTCGGGAAAATCACGTGAGAAGCACAAATGGCACGTGATATGCTAAGCAGGCACGTCCTTTGCTCCTGATGACCCCAACAAGAAGAACAAACCTTATAATAACCAACACCATGCGAAATAAGAGATAAAGCAGAGAGTTTTGAATTTGGCCATAGGCCCTTACTCCAACTCCTAACGAAGTTATGACATAACGTTGATAATTCTCACAAATTTGGCTATATATTATTTCCCTAAGTCTTTCGTAACCTGTGGTTTATAAATAACAGCCTTATTTATCTCTCCATATTGTCAGAAAATTTACACATTGGATTGGACCCTTGGCATAAAAGTCCTATTGAAACGTCAATTGAATGACGCAAGTTAAACTTCAGAGGCATGTGGCCGCGAGCTCAATCATCAGGCTGAAAGTGAATCACAAATGCACAACGAGGTTGTAAAAATGTCACTTATTTTATGCACTAGAGAATATCGCAAAGCGATTAGCATTTTTCTGAAATCACCATTCGCTGAAAGAAGTTAATTACAAACCTGAGATGATTGTAAAATTTTAAGTAAATTCTGGCAAGTTATCAATGTTTAATATTGAGACTAACTTAAGCGGTAAATGGTTCTTCTTTTGCAAAAAGTCTTATTGACTTAACTGAAGGCTTATTTCATTTGTTTAGGTAGCTCTTTGTCGTGATCACCAGGGCTCTCATAAGGCTAGCTATAGAGGCTGTCTGGTTAGTTCTATGATTAGTTTTATGGATAGGAAAAAATAGCCCCTCAGATAGGGCCCTTAAGCGCAGCACAAGAAACGCTTCTCGTGTTGCTATACTAAAATACCTCTTCATTACTAATTTTTTTTTCCTGTATTGGATCAAGTTTACTCGACATCGAGAGAAGTTGGTAGGCCGCTTTCACATCTCCAGGATACTGAAGTCTTTTTATATGTAACAACTCGTCAACTTATTCTTCGTAGTTCTTCTCATCTCATTTGCAGACTTTTTTTTTTCCTTCAAACCAGATGAATTCAAGAAGATCATTCAAGTCATCACGTGACCCGATGGCCGCTGTCCACGTGAGTGTTCTTCTGGAGGCTGACGTCACGTGATTTGAGCATGTCATGCTCTGTTGGCCCACTGAGCCTAAAATTTGTCATAATATGATAATTTAATGTAGATCTGAAACAATTGGGGGGCTTTCAAAGCAAAATTTACCATCACTTTTTTCGATTTAGGTACAGGCGATTATTCCAAATTTCCAATTTTTTCCCGCTGACCACCTGAGGTTTCACTTGCGAGTTTTTGGATGACGGCCTATGGGGACATAGATTTCAACTACGAAAATGTACAGGCGCGTGAACCATTAGCACAAGGAGATTAAATCCGCCTCCTAAAGCGGTCATGCGATTTCCTGTTTACAGCAAAGATACCAATTAAAGACTCAATTACAGACATAAATTTAAAAAGACATCAATTGAATTCAACCGATGTGTTGTGTTTAGTCAACTTCCGACACAGAGAGATCAAAGCCGCTCCTTTTTCAAGTTATTTTGATATTCAACTATGAAAAAAAAAATTGAATTTACTTTCACTGATGCAAGAAAAGAAAAAACCCTTTACTTAAAAGCATAATCGCTTCGTTGATACACCGGGTTACCATGCTGAGAGTGATATTCTAAAATGTAAAGAAAATGGTAGGTCTTTACGCGCTGCTATCAGATCATGAGTTCAAATATTTTCATGTGACCCCGGAAGTTGTGTTTACTCTCTCGTGCAATCTTAGGAGATTATGTTAGTGTAATACTAGGATGGGGTTATTACGTATTTTATCTTCTTGAGACTTGCAAATAAGGATTAGTAGAACGAGTCTTAAGCATGCAGCAAGCGGTAGTTATCATGTAACATAAAGAATTATTTACCTGTTAAGTTAAATAATTTAAATTAGATTTCCAACTCCACTTCCTGCCAATATCCTTGATCAAAGCAACGATTAGGCAGATATAGTTCATCCAGAGTAGGACGTTCTCTCGTTGAAGATTGCGCCGTTGTTGTCGTTGTTGTTATATCTGATAATTCCAACGACCCCCTGAAAGAAATGGTCACAGCAAGCTTTATCAATGACCTCGTCTTGCTGAATTCGCATGAGCTGCGAGCAGAACGTGAATTGAAGAGTGGCATTTGTTGATGAGTTGTTACTTTAGTGTCTCGACAGTGTAAGACCAAGTCCATGCCTGAACAACGCGCGTCATCTAAAAAATTTGTCGCAAATTTTTCAAGTACTTCACTTCATCCGTTTTAATCTTCTTCACCTTAAGCCATTCTATTTCCTTCCTTCCTTTGCATTTTTTAGCAAAGAAGTTTAATACGGCACAAAAAACGACTCAAAGATGTAGCTCTTCAGTTCTTCGGTGGCCTCACAAGGCCTGGCAGAGCAGAAAGTTTTAGCCTTGTCATGCAGTCTTTTCCTCTCTCGTGATCTTCACCTTTCATAGACCTACAAATCCTACATCTTAAATTCTTTTCTCCTTTCTTGGAAAAGAAAATTGGCCGCCAATCAGAGCTACAACTTTGTTTTCAGGATCGTATCCACCTCTGGTTTGCAAGCTCCGTATTGCAATCGCGAATACTCGAGAGAAAAATTAATCCACGCGCGCGTAGACTTGCGTCGCGAATGATGAGATGTTCCTTTCTAATCAGTCTAACACTTTCGCAAGGTGCTATTAATTATCAGCTTAGCTTTAGAGGCCTGCCTCTATTGCTTCTATAAAAACCGTTACCACCACGATTAGCCAAAATAGATGAGGGAAAATTAGTAGATCTATATGTTATTAGTAAACATGAATGGATTATTGACGCTTCCAGAGCACGAACGAGATTGTGGTGTTCGAACAATAGAAAACTGGCACAAAACGACGATGAGTAATCACGGTTGAATCATGGTCACATGAAGGTTAAACAAGTAACCACTAAGATAAAAGGTAATCTGATGTCTGTGTTTTTTATTTTTCTTTCTTCTAACATAGAAGTTGTTCAAAAAGTCGTCAAAAACTCTCACCTGGCAATTTCTTTAGATTTTGTTCCTTCTGGAAGCTTTTCCTCCGCAGTAATGTCTTGCGTTTTATTTGTATTCTTTTCGTTCCGTTTCGAGGCGACAAAGTTTCTAATTATTTCAGGGTTGCCCGATTTCGTGCCCGTACGATGTTTAGGATCAGGGTCCTCTATGTCTATATGTTTTGGATTAGCATGTGAATGCACTCCTTCTACTTGTCCGGTGGCGTTCTGCGACGCACGCCTGCGCTTTCTCCAGAATCTCCAGGCGACGCAACCGACGAATAAAGCGAGGAACACAAGCACAGAGGCAACAATCACAATTATCATGGTAGTCCGGTCTATGACACCTGAAGAGGAAAGTTAAGAGAGAAAATTTACCACAGTTTTAAGCTTCTGTAGAAAATACTGAAACATGCCCCTTTCGTCTGTAAATACCCTCAATTTCAAGATAAGGCCTAAGGCAAAACCTTGGATATTGAAGGATATTCATTGCATGAAAATAGGATATAATTTTCAAATTAAAAAATTGCACTTGATCTCGTTTGAAATTGAGGCTTTGCATTTTTGACATTGGAAAATAGATCACACAACGAAAATCGAAAAGAAAATATAAAGTATCATTAATGATTAAATGCCACCTCACCTTTTCCGGACTCGGAATTAAAGGGTTCCCCTGCAAAAACGAACACATTTTTTTTAATCTGTTGCCAAAATATAGAAAACGAACCAACTAATGCGATCCACCATAGCGAACCAATAAAAACCCATAGAAAAAACACGTGACCGAAGTCAAATTGCGGTTTGTAAGACCGCGTCAATAGCTTACCCATCATTCCGTTTCCTTGTGGTTCTGTCGTCGTCCCATTAAGGGATGTGTTTGTTGTACTTTCCCGAGTAGTCGCTGTGGCAGATTCTGGTGTAGTTTCTTGTGCAGTTTGAAAAGTAGTTTCCCCAGTGTTTTTTGGAGTAGTTTTAACCTTTGTCTTGGGGTTTGTACTTGTTGTAGGCGCCGGAGTCGTTGTTATGGCCTGTTCGCACGCGCTTCCGGTAAATCCGGACGAACAAACGCACGAATAGCCTCGGATACCATTAACGCACGTGCCACCATTTTTGCACGCGCCTGGCACACAGTCTGGGTAGCACTGCTTCCCGCTGTATCCGTCTGGGCACGAACAATTGAAGTCTCCGATAAGATCCTAAAGAACGAAATGAAAATTGGCACATGATATAAGTAAAAGTTCCATTCTCTTGCAAACAAAAAGTTATAATCTGCTTTAAGTAATGGTTGGCTCTAAAATTAAGCGCACATGGTGGGAATAGTTCGTTCGTTTCTGTCACGAGCGTAGGACCGGGAAGAATTCTGAATCCTCGACCTTCAGATTTGAGCTTTAACGCTTGACAAGGGGGCAACAGAGAACCCGAATTGTGAGCTCGACCATAAAAAGCTCCTTAAGTACCAAGCGTCCTGCATACTGCTTGGATCAGCAATATGGCACATGAAGCGTTCGCTTACCGTGCAAGTTCCTCCATTGTAGCATGGATTGCTTGAACATTCATTTATTTCTACAAATCAAGAGACAATATCAGCATTAAATAATACTCAGGAGATACATCATAGATGATGAAATCATGGCTTAACTCTATGATCCATAAGAGTGAATGACATTTAATTTCTCCCTCTGAATCACACGTTAAGATCAGGAAAATAAAGGAAATCATCACTTGTTGAAAAAATTCTCCTTATCAGCACCTTAGGAAATGTATAGAGAACAGTATGGAGAATATGCATACTGATCTTAGGATGGAAAGGGTTAAGAGAGTTATCACTCAATCGAATCGGGAGTTTATTCCTTAAAGTATTACTTTTGCCAAATGTCGCTAGAAAGAACTTACTATCTAAAAACTACAGTCCCTAAGAAACTTAAGATTTAAGTCAGAAACTTAAAGAATGAAACACTAATGACATTGAACTAAAATTTCTTGGTAGTCCTTTTGAGTTCCACGCAAGAAGTATCATTATGCCCGTTCATAGCTGTTTAGATCTATTGAACTCACCTGTCTCACAGTTTCTCCCAGTGTAACCCTTCCGGCAAGTACAGCGGTAAAGGCTTGGCCCACTATTTGAACATGTTCCCCCGTTCTTGCAAGGTTGCTCACGCGCACATAATTCTAAATCTGAATGAAAGGAAGTTACAATAAAGTGGTTTGAAACAAGATCGAAAACGGAAAAATGATAAAGAAGTTAAACCATATTCTCACTGTAGCAAACGCTCTTGACTTCACAGAGTGAAGGGGAAAAAGGCCGGAGAAAATGAAGCGGGCGTCAGAAGGGGAAAATATAGACAATAAAGCGCGGAAAACTACTTGCAACAGGAGACGTGGGAAAATGAGAAAACAGGTGCCTACGTGTAGAAAAATCAGGAAATGAAGAGCACCATGCAACGCCTAAAATTACATACAACGGTTGGTAATCGCGAGAAAACACGTGGCCTATAGTAAACAAAGGGAACTGGTAAGGCAACCTTGAACGTATGGTTGCCATTCATTCGATAACTAAGCTGTGATTGATTGGAGCCGTGTTGTATGATCACCGCTGATATTCTTAACAAACAGACACCAAGATGTACGACACAAAATTGACTAAGTAGACGCGACAGTTGATCGACAAAGAAAACAAAAACCAACCTACCAAGATCACAGGACTTTCCGCCCCAGCCTTTAATACAATTACATTCCCAAGGCTTATTACAGGTGCCGTGGAGGCATCCCGGGTACCTTTCACATTCTGTACAATTTTGTCCAAGCCAGCCGGACTGACAACTTAACAGAAACGAATAAAGTTAGAACACAAACGTTGACTATCAAATGGGAAAGTGACTCGATAAACTTCAAATGTGAGTTCCTGAGTGGAATCATAAACACGAAAGGAGAGTTATGCTCTAAGAAAGACCCCTTCCCTTTTTTTGTTTTCGCCTTCTCTGTATTTTAACTCTTTAACCCTTAAAGTGATAGATATCTAATTTCTCCCAGTGGTATTTTCCCCCGATTCAAACATTAAGGTCACAAGAATGAATGGATGATCGCTTGCTCAAGAGGCTCCTGATTGTTCACCAAATTCGTCTTGTAACTGCCATAAGCCGTCCTTTTTTTTTTTCTCTTTCAACCTTTTGACCTTAAGAGTGACTACATCTAATTTCTCCTAACAATTTCACGACTAAATCAAACATTGAGGTCAAGAGAAATAAGGAAATGATCACCAACTAACGAAGCTCTTGATTGTTAGACAAATTCTCCCTGAAAAAATCTGAAAGGTAGTGTTTAAACAAAAACTAAAGAAATTGGTCGGCAGTGGAGATGACTAAAACCGATTGGGAATGACAAACGAAGAATATTTATTTGAATTTTTTTTTTGTTGTTATGAAGATACAGAGCCTAGACACCGATTCGCCGATTTCTAGTGCACCTTTACAAAAGCTAAGTTTAATGGAAGTGAAATCTCACCTGCAAAGGTTAGGTCGTGAACATGTAGCGTGAGTGAGGTTGCATCCTGGACAAACAGCTGAGAAGCAAACCACAGCGAAATTCTTATTAGAATGAGGTAAAATGAATGTTACTAGGAAGTCCTTTAGGCAAATCTTGAAATGTCTCGACAGCGTTAGATCTGAAGGAGAAGCTGTAAGGACGTATTTGGAAATTGTTTGGGGTAAAAAGCAATATATTACGGAAAATTTGAGGTGTAGTTTCTGCAAACTAAATATGGTTTAAGACAGAGATACAAAGCAACTGTATGGGAAAAACGATTATTAGTCGGTTTTAAGTCATAGATTCGGGTTTCACTCCCGGACTTTCGTTCGTTCGTATTCAAGGTCGGGATGGACCGACCATTTCCGACGACGAACACGACTACGATAGCCTGAGGTGAACCTAATACAAAACCACGAGCTACCTAACACTTGTTGTCGATATCCTCGCGTGTAAGTCGCGGTTCGCTCTTGTCACGCGCTCCCGGTTCCAACGAGGAAAAAGAAAAGAGGGAAAAGGAAAGACCCCTGGTGCTGAACGCTAAACAAATTTAAGTTGTTCAAAAGGCTTTGTTCAAGGATAATGCTTCACATAGGAAGCTCTGTCCTGACAGATAACGGCTAACGGCTGGAGCGCCCCCTTACAGGGCCCAGCGTGACATGTCGTGAGCACGCACTAAAAGTAATGATTCGTCAATAAACAAAAAGATTGTCGTGCTCTCTTCATCACAAAGTGATCATCAAAGATGACCTTAAACAATACAAAGTCGGCACAAATCCACAAATATTGTTTATTTTACGGTCTGTTGCGAACAAATGTTTGGGTTGTTCGCGAGTTTACACTCCGCTGAACACCGTGAGAGCGCATATTAATAAGGGTTCTCAGGAGATTGGACACGTCTGGCAAAAAAAGGAAAAAAATTCCCACAGTTTGAAACTGCAAAACAATTGTCGAAACTTGAAAAAAAATTTCCACGCAGTTTTTGAAGGTGACTCACTTGCCTGGAAATTTCTACGTTAGAAATACATCATGTCTGAATTGCTGCTATCACATTGAGTTAAGCCCTTTATTGTTCGTCTACAATCCACGTTTAAGAATGAAAGAAACTCGTGTATAGAGGTGCAACCATAAACAAACGATATGTTATCGGATTTACAGAACGAAAGCGAGCCAACGACTGCACGACATGAGAATTTCATTGTACACCTTGGACTGGGATGCTGTTACTTTTCTTTTTTATGTTCTATTAGCCATTAAGTAAACCGTGTGTCATAGTAACTAGTCGAAACATGCAGAGCTTTTAACAGCTTCGGGCATAACTTTCTGGACACTTCAAACTGTAGAGTCATTGAAAAAACTGCGCATGACCTCTCCAAAGCCGAATAGAAGAAGTAAGAGATTGGAGACCACTGGATGACAATATTCCATAATGTTAAGCGGAAATTTTCAGTCGAAGGGCCATATATGACAATTAACTTCTATTTCATTTGTTTCTTTAGCAAGGTGCCAATCTTCTTTAAACTAATCAAAAAAGGAAAGAAAAATCGACTTTCCGGATTAAGTCCTAATATGTGAGCATTGAACTAAAAGCCATTGTGCAATCAGTGTTTTGTCCTGAGGTGCCATTTGCTTCAAGTAGTTTCTAAGAAGGAATTTCGATCTTATGTTAATCGAAGGTTCGCCTCATAACATGATAGCAGCCCTCCGTTTTACGATGGTATACTGTCATTCAGAAGAAAACAAAAGCAATATCTTCTGTAGAACTTGACAACACAAGGTACCAATAAATCTTGCGTGCAAGATAAATAAATTCCACAGCTATTAGAGAGAGCCTAAGGGAAATTAGCTCTGGAAAGATAAGCTCCCATTAAGAACAGTTTTAACAAAATCGTAATACAAACATCGCCATCTGTTGGACCTCCTTGGTTTTGTTAAGGTCCTTAGTAACTGAATCTTCCTGAGATTCCAAACGACATAATAACCTGCATATTTTTACTTTTTGCGAAAAGCAAATTCTTTGTTTAGACTAACTAACTGAGAAGATCGAATCTAAATTAACGACGAAAAACTACCGTGCATTATCATCTGCCTATCTCATTCTGCGTGGGTTTCCTCTCGATAGAGATAACGTCTCAGCATAAACTACGACGTTTCTTTATAGAAAATTTTTGCGACAAAAAAAGGTCACTTCCTTAGCACGCTATTCCCTATCAACTCAAATTGGATTTGAATTGAAAACAGAAAGTGAAACCAGACAACTAAAGCGGTCAAAGAAAACAAAACAAAAAAAGCCAAGGCAAGATAGCAGAAGCAGCAGCATTTACCTGTATAACAGTAACTTCCAGACCATCCTGGGTTACAAACTTTACTTCCATCGCTGTCGCACGAGTAGTGGCCGAGATGATCATCGCGCGGAATACAGAGTGTTGTGCAGGAGTCACCGTAATAGTTCTGCTGGCATTTCACGCGGTACGAGAAAGTTATGTTTGCCACCACTCCCACGTGGCTCCTGTTGTGCCACTGTGAGCCAGGTAGCAGGGATTGCCTGGTGACCACACCTTGCTCGATTAAAATTGACGAGTTTGGACCTGAAGGAGAAGAGTGACTCAATGGTTTACATCAGGCACAAAAGTGTAACTTCACAGCTAATCAGGTGATACTGTGATTACTTCAGGGAAAACCGGTTAGCATCGTTGCATTAAAAACTAACAATTAAGACATCGAGGCGAATTAACGCGCATATTGCAACCAACGATTGAAAAGCGCGGGGAATTTCCTTGCGCATGACAAGGTGAAATAGTTGATTCTGGTTTGAAACCGGTTTGGTTAACTTGAGAAAAAAAAGTCAAGACATTGAAAAGGAAAAGCTCTTTAATAAAGAAATGGTTCGCTTCGAGGAAACTAAGAAACCAACATCGTGAGTGACAGCAACATGTACACGAAATATGGAGAGCTTAATTCAATTATACCATAGGACGGACGTAAGATGAAAAGGGTGCCACCACGTTGATGAAAAGACGGATGAAGATAATGAGAAAACAAGATTTGGATCACCTAACGTTTTGTGTTTTCAATTAGGAGAGGAAATTCTTGACTGTAGTATTACGTAACCCTTTTGTTTTGACATATTTCTTGAGGAAAAGCAATCGCCGGCGGGGCCACAGGCACCAGACCGAATTGAACATCAAGGGGCAGTCTACAGACGGGAAGTCGGAAAGATCATTTGTACTTGTCAAGCATGTTCTTTGGGGTTTAAGTCAACCCTGACAGAGTACAAATGGCTATTTCGCAGCAATTTTCAAACCGTGAGAGAGCCTCTGGTCTAAATCCACTGGTGTAAATCCACTGATCTCGTTTTCGGTCCATTAACCCTTTAATTCCAAAGATCTGATTAGTAATTCTCCTTACTATCTGCCATACAGTTCTTGTGATGTTAGTTTGCAGAATTTGGTATTGGATCAACTTATAATCCCCTAACTGATATTTTTCTTTATTCTCATCACTTGTCTGCTTGATATTGTATTGATATTGTAAGGAGAAATTCTGTCTTGGTCACTCATGGAAGTTAAAAGGTTAATGTCGTTTACTATAAGTGAAAGACCACCGATTGAAAACTAACGATATCCAGATGAGGATCAAGGAAAGGTACCGTCTGCCCTCCATCGAATTAGCTAAATCAGATTCAATCTAAAGCATATTATCGCATTTGCAATGAGTAATTATAGCGACGAAGCAAGCGTGCAGGCAGAATACGGAACCCAAACATTCTAGAATCAAAGAGAAACCTCATAGTTGCTCTGACAATTTGCAAAGGAATGGGTGCGATGTTGATCCATCTTGCAGCTGAATAAACAAAATGATGCCAAGATCCCTGGGCCCCGACAGATGCTGCTGAACACGAACAGCTGGGAACAGTGTGCGTCTTTTTTTTTTACGAAGAGAAACATCAGGGTTCGCGGAAATCAAAATTGTTAGAATTTTCTTCATGACTGTGTTTCATGATATAAAAAAAATAATTGCGTCTATTTGCACTTCCCTTCTTTAGAAACATCTGTACAATGTAAATACCTTCAACGTCATCGACAGTTGGGAAAACTCTAAATGTCAAACTATTCGACAAAGGCAATTTTCTAACATTCGTGAAACCTATCCAAGGAAGGAAATCGTTACAAAGCATAAACTTCGAGCATCACAACAAGGACTGATTTCGTGAGGTCACGAGAATTTGAGTCCTCGCGGCGCCAAAGAAGGAGAGAAATTTAGCGACTCGGAATTGACTAAATCCTGTACAAGGCAATAATACCATGAGCATAAGCGCCATTTGAGGCTATTAAATTTAACTTAATTGTCTCGTTTTGTAAAAAGAAAAACAAAATTAGAGCTGAGTTCTTGCCAGTCACAAAGAAAGCTTCCATTCCTTAAATTTGTCTCTTCTCCAGTCTCAGACTGGAGAGATCGTTACTTTCGCAACATCGAAACGCACTGAGGAAATAACAAGACAATAAAAGCTGAAAAGCTTAAAAGTGAAGTTAAGATTCCTTTAAAAGCAAAAATGACCGCGGTGATTAGATAAAGGTTCCTAATTAGGTTTGCTGAAAAAAGGATGCAGTTTCTTTCGTGGAAATTTAATAAAGTAAAATGAACCAAAATAGGATTTTCAAATGTGTGGGCGGAACATTATGCACAAACAGATAAAACAGATTTTCATTGTACAATGGAAGTATCATCACACGAAGAATGAATGTTACTCTATTTTTTAAACTTCAGTCAACGCGTTAACGGAGAAAAGGAGACGAAAAAAATGATGAATAGACTCTTTTGAGTTTTGTCCAAAGTAAAGCCTAATATTTGGTTGCAAGATAAGATAACCGAGGTAATAATGAAGATTAATCTTATCGATGCAGTGTTACCGTTAGTCACTTCACACCTCAAAACAACAGCACTTTAAAGCGATGATGTTTAGTTAGTAGCAACGGAAGGTTAACTATGGTTCCTTGTCTAAACCAAGGTTCTCTTTTTTTATTCAGGATCACTTGGTTTTTATCACGACCTGACATTATGTGATCATATGAGTTTACAGAGTTAAGACGCCTTTGATACAAAGCAGATAATCGTGAGAGAGTCAAGTAAGCTCATTACAGCTTAGGACAGATGATATCGAGGAATGTTTTTCACGTCAGGACAAGGGGCGTTTTGAGAGAAGGCCATTAAGTAAGGATCAAGAACAATCTTGGGGGTAAAATTTCGCGTGTTTTGCGTGCGAGCAAAGTCAACACGGGCTAAATTAGAAAAACAAATAATCGCTGTGGGGATTTCCTAAATGTAAATGTTATTTCATCCTAAAGACACATGATGTCAAGCACATCTTCACCAGAGTCAGCTTGGCCGAGAAGAGATTCTTTGCAAAAGGGAAGCCATTTTATCGTACCAATTTGCAATTCGGAGAGTAGCTTGTGAACACTTTTTTTAGGTACTAATTCTAAGACCCACATTTTAATGTATTTATCTCTACATCTTCTACAATGAATTGCATTCCAGCAATGAACAAGGCACACTTATTTGACGCGCGGAATGACTGTGTAGGAGAAGTTAGCACTCCAAAATGATCACGCTGGTCATAAAATCTGGATCCTAGAGATAACCTCTCGCGTGCCGCAATGACCCTTTATTGTGGGACGCAAATATATTTTAATCCTTGTCATCATCAAAACGCCGTTTTCATACAGGTTATCGCACACTCCATCAGCTCTACAAGAAGCGCTCATCATGAGTCGCACCGGGCGACTTGCGTGCATACCATAACTACTTAATACTGAAATTCGAAAATTCAGCGAAGGCGTCGACAAGCGCGCTAAACCTCGCGGGATGACCATCGAGATAGAAGAGACAAAGGTAGTATCCTTACCTTGACGGTGCCTTGCTTCCACGAGTAAAGAAAATGACCCCTGTTGACGGAAAAAGTAAAACTGATGAGTTTTACATTCAAAAAAGGTGTCTGATGAATTCCTAACCATACTGCGCGCGTGGACTTTAGGAAAAAAAGACATCAAGCGCGTGACGTGCACGCGTGACATCCCGCAGGGATTGATAGCAGTTAAGACGATCAAATCCTGTCGTTTTTGATAACAAGCTTTAAAAGTCGGTTGTGTAAGAAGCTTTTAAAGGCTTAAAAGTAGAGTTATGGCACGTGCCCGCGCAATTAGCAATGAAACAACTGCCATCACAATGCTGCTGGCAGCTTAAAGTATCATCACACAAGTTTCAGTTACTACTGAAGATTACTTATGATAGCACAGGCAGCCGAAAGGCAGTTCTATTTAAGAACATTGTGAACATCCACACTCTACAGGCAATATTATGTGATCTGATAGTCATTTTTCAAAGCCTTATAAGATTTTTCTCCAAATAAAAAACTATCTATCCAAATCAGACCACGAAAAAACTCAACATTTACCTATATCGGAAAAATAAAAATAGCCCTAATCATATTGGTATGAGCGACGGCTTCACACGAGCCGTTGCGTAGTAACAAACTTTACGTTATTTTTCTCCCGAAAGATATAGCTCGTGCGAAAAAGCAGATGACAGTACATCAAGGATATCGTTGCAGTAGAACCTGATCCTATTTTTTGCAACCAAGTTCGACCTATTGATACTTGAAGCGCCATGCAACAAGTTCATTCGCATCTTATTTATTGTCCATATCAGTTCCGTTTCCTTGTCTATAAAACAAGTTTGGCATCCTTCCGTCTTTTTTGGCAAATCGGAATTGTAAATTATTGTTAAGAACTGTAATCTAATTTGTTTCACAGTAACGGAGAGAAGCCAAATCAGACACTACCGGTGGTCCTTCCTAGACGCTGGTCGCAATCAGTGTTTTTCATCGCCTCTTCTCGTTCATTGTCGCAGTCCCGGCTCTATTGTGATAATAACCCTTATACAGCGCTACAATAACACGCACACAACTCGGTTTGTGAGTGCGCAAGATTTTCACTTTTTCACTTTCTAGCCTTAACAATCAAAGAGACGCATTGAATCGCTCATAGAACAAAAGAAAAAACAATTCACCTGAGGCTAGTTTAATATTGTTTAAAATAGCGTGAGCCTCTGAAACTGAAATTTCCCACACTTCAGATCGAAACCCTTCAATTGTTTTGTTTTTTTTTTTAAGCGGAAATTGGACTAAATATATTGTGTTGCACTAAATGGTGGGAACGGGCAAAGGACAAAAAGCTCGCTGCTTTGACTCTGCTGATAAACATCTCATTAACTCGATGCTGTAATCTCGATCCGGATGGGTGTTGGAAAGTAAAACAGTATGAAGAAATGATATTTTTACCCGAACATCATTAAAACGCGTGTTAAGTGATATGTACTTACAGGCCATGACTGCAGTGTATTAGGCCAAGGTATCTGCAACAGACTGTTCGACGGGATTACGAAGGAGCCACTTCCCAAAACATCCGAAGTTTCCTGCCCAAACGGACAAGAGGACCCTGTGTGAGTTAGGGGCCGTAGACACACTCTAAAGAAGGTGCTGCATGGAGAAGAACAGCTCCCTCCCGTCTCTACACCGCTACAACAGGTCTTCTGCCCGTTTCTGTTTCCGGGATTTGTGTAGTCCAAGAAACGGACTTCGAACATTCCCGTGGCCCGAGTCTGTAGAAATATGAAGCTGTGTGTAAGAATATGTGAGGAATAAAGCTTGCAGGCGCACCAGCCACTGTCCTATTTTTCCTGACTTAACTAGTGCGGGTACGCAAACATTTTCGCCAGATGAGACCTTCCAGAAGATATGATCGAGGTCAAGTACGGCTAAGTCATTAAGCCAACATGAAAGACACTAAAAATTTACAGTAAAAATGTGTGGATTTCTTTTGGGTTTCCTTGTCGTATCATTTGTACCGTTAATTTGAATTGCAAATCATAATCTGTTGAAAAAAAATAACATTATCGTTCAGAATTTTTACGATCGTAAATCGGATCTAAAAGCGCCTGGCGGCGCATAAGGTTTCGATCTGTTAGTGATTCATCGCCAAGTCAAGATGGCAATTAAACAAACGTTTCGGGCTAGTTTCATCATGCAAAGAAATTTACCGTCTTCTTGCTTCGTTGGAAATAAGTGTTGATTGAAATATGCGAGCCACCTTATTACAGAACAAAAACATCCAAAAAAGAAAACAAAAACAGAAAGCTTTTACACTAAAAGGAATTTTTCCAAACCTCAAAAGTAAGTCAATAATGAGAGGTGAGCTTGTCATATTAAACGTGTGCATTGACAACGCGCAGAACACTTTTTGGGATCACTTTCGATCCTGCGTATAATTTCTGATGAAACCAAATTTATTTTCGCGATTCTCTTTATTTGTTCGTCTGTCTGGGTGACGTCAGGTTTTATTTCAATAAATTCTTAACCTCGAAAAACAGGAAATTCCAAATTCAAACGACATATCCGCCAAATGGAAGCACTGCGTGTACGCCACGCGCGCTCGACCGCCGACAGTGCGTGATCCGGTATTTCAGTGTACTATTGAAGAGAAGTCACTGCGTGAAGTTTATTACGAGTATCTCAAGGGTTGCTTTACATTCAATTCGTGGCAGAACGCAAAGGACATTTTACTCTGTGTTTTTCCAGCTTGAGACAGATAAAAATCTTGCTTGAGATAAAAGATTCGAAAAATGACTGAATTGCTTAATAAGCGAGAATGATAACACGTAGATCTATTGGTTTTCTAATGGCTCATCTATTTATTCAAACAATCCGAGATTGACCGCGAAATAGTGAAAATCGTCATTAAAAATTATTTCTCTATCCCAACAAAACCGCTATTATTGTGAACTCGAACAGAACGAGAGCAATAATTAAACCAAATACTTAGCGACGTCTTGGGCGCTTGAGAGCGCTCACAATATATTTTCAGTGTACTTACTTTAGGCAGTACGCTAGCCAACAGTAAAATCACAAGAACTCCGAGGTTTGGGCGCTGAATTCCTTTCACAAATGCGGCCAGTGAATGCCGAGTGAAGTCTCTCATATGCATGAGTTTCGTGCCCAACTCATTAAAGTGTAATCAGGACAGAGTGTGCTAAAACCCACTCGAACGGTTGGTGTGATCCTCCTGCTGCGGTTTTCTCACGGCTCAGCCTGAAAGAACATGGAGATAAAATTAATCGCGATTAATTTCTTGTTACGTAAATATGAGTTTCCCTAACAGGACAATTGTCAATTGTTATCATTTATGTACTAAAACGAAAGGAAATCCTTTACATGATCGCAAATTCCATCCAATCGAGCTTGGAACGCTCGTTGCGGGCCGGTCGACGAGCTAGGTAGGTAACGCAACCGTACTTTCACGGTTGCCTGATTCCAAAGGTATACAAAGTGTTGTCAGAAACAATCCCTGGGGCTTAGCGTATTGACTTCCAAAGTGGTAACTAATTCTTCTGGGACTTCCTTCAAGGTGCTTTCAATGCACTCAGACGTAGTTTGTAACTCAAGACAAAGGTTTCATTAAATAAATCAAAAGCTGATGATTATTACGTAGAAATTCAACCCGTGGCTTCACAGATGGTCCGCGCGAACTCTGTTATGATCACAAGTCAGACATGTAGGGGCTTGTCGAGGCAGCAAAGCATGCCACGCAAAAACAGAAACTATATCGTAACTAAAACCAATTTTCGACTCGGTGAAAACGAAATCCATTGAAATCTGACCATGGTAGTCGACATCTCGCTGTTATGTGTTGTTAAAACTTTCGATTATCGCACCAACCCGGTAATACTATCGCTGATTTTTCGTTATTTCTTAACTTAACCTGCACAGGAAACACGCTGACAATGGCTTGTGACAAAAGCTTCTTTCTTAACAGAGTCCACTCGGAAATACGTAACCTTTGAATGCCAAAAAGCGATCGAATTAAATCAACTGTCGTTTCTAAAGGACACTGTTTCTTCCTAGACGAACGTGCAAATGTGAACCGATAATTTTGTGTATCGGTATTCAATGTAACGTAAAATTTCTAAGAGCGCAAGATCCTCTTTAACTACTCACCGAATACCACAGTGGATAAAATAGCACAGTTCGTGCACAGTTAGAAACAAATTCACAGAGCCAAAACAGAATGAAGAGACGAAGTCCATGTGTCGTTCATTGAACTAAGTGCTTCAGTCATTGATTTGAGATAAGATGATCCCCGGGACAACTCTAACCTGTGATGCAACCGTATGATAATGGACTGATCTATTCGTCGCAATGATAGAATAATATATGGGTGGGGGAGTCCCCGTGAACAATGAAATACTGATCATCAATTTCTAGACACTACTGCTGTGCGAATATTTTGCTGATGAGGCAACTGATGCGCGAAGAAGGAATTTTTTTTTTCTCACACACCCGATTTGTTTACGTCGTTTTGATAACAACTGGCAAGAGATACTAGTAGATTCCGCTTTAGCTACTTAGCAGTCAAGGTGGCTTTTACAGTGGATAATCCGGTTTTTTAGTATCGTTTTGTAAAAAGAGTTTTTTCGCTTAATGACAGGATTACAGATGTCATGTGAAATTCATCCGAAGTTTAAGCTGACTGACCTCTCACTGCAAGCTGACTTTCGCGCACAAGTAAACTCGTGGATTTAATGCTGAAAAAATGTCGGCGGTTTGTGCGTCAGCATTTCTCGAGCCGTAATATATATCGAAATCGACCAGAGGCTGTTCAGAGTTCTAAGCTAATCTTTTGATCGCCAAATCTGCGACCACAATTTAAAATAAAGGATTTCAAAAACGGCGCCGATTCGATAGAGTTGGGCTTCTACCAACCTTATATGCTTACGTCTGCCTGTGCGAACGAAGACGGGGCGAAACGCAATGAAGCGAAGCTATGCATATGTCAGCGAATAACTTTTCAATTATCTATATAGCTATTCTGGGAACATTGTGACACATCGACAAGCCTGTGACCCTAAGTGGTATTCTGCATCAGCTCTTTTTCCCATGCCTTCATTCAAGCGGATCGCATGCTTTTTCGTATTTTCCGTCATGATGTAACTGAAACTAGTTCTGCCACAAACATTGATCGAGGGTTTAGCGTTTTCTCGACGCAGTTGCGACCACCCGCACATCACCAACGTGAGAAAAATTTCTAAAGAAACGCTTGTGCACTTGCTGAAAATTTGCCGATTAACAGCAAGCTACGCACATAAGCAGTGTATTTAAAATCGCTGGTAAACCGAGATAAGCAGCTTCAATCGATTGGCTGTTTTGTTATGAGAACAATACAAACAACCATGACCTTGCGACTCGGGTTTTCCCGTACTCCTCATAGTTTCCGGCTCTTTAAAGAAGACCGCAAAACGAGCCTCTAACTCGCACAGATGAGACTCCAAAACAAATATTTTTGCAATCCAAATAATCCAGTGGTAAGCAAGCAATTAGGGATACTGAGTAATTAAAACAAACACAGCATCAAAGTAGTGAGATTCCGGCCGCGTCGAGTTTTCATTTGTCAGAGATTCCAGAGGCGAACGATTTTAAAAAAAGACCATGTCGCTTCAGACCACCCAGTGATGTTACACGCGCCTATAAATTGGCGTTTGTGACAAGCCCGGGGTGTTAAGAGATACACCCTACGCATACCGATTTCCCGGAGGGGGAAACAGTATGTTATCTGAGCAGCAAGCTTCTTGCATGCCTTTGGTCGAAAAGAAAAGCTGCGGTAAGTTGGGCCTGTTAGGCCAATCTTTGCTACTCGAACTGAATGAAAAGCTAATAAAAATGGCATACTTTACCTTGGAAAGCAAACAATGCCAAAATAGATCAAATTTCAATCCCAACATTCTAAATTTTCAATGGATATTTTTGGAATAAATTATGTTCTGGCGTTGAGGTTTGTCAAAACGATAATCACCAAATAATCGATGGATGAATTTAAGCTCTTTTGTTTATTTGTTTTTGACGAAAAAAAATTAATTTGACATGGATATGTTTCTTTCGTTTGTTTTCGTTCGCGAATGCTTAAGTCACACGGCGATTTGACAAAAATCTGCCCCCAAAAAAGGATACAGTGAACACGCAATGCCCATTTAAAAAACTTTTGCTAACATTCCAAGGTTAAATTATACGACAAAAAAGTACTTACGTCAATGAAAAAACTGTCCTTACATCTCGGAAGGAAATGAAATCGATGTTCAGTGAAGACTTTGACCACGATTCAAAGTCGACGATATGTCAATGAAATCCAATTAACCCACCCCCCTTGAAACTACATGATCAAAACGGACTATCCCCCGCGGAATTGCGTGTCAGAAATACCTGCAAGTGTTTATAAAACAGTTGACCGAGCTTTGTAATGAAAGGTCTATCAATGCAATAATCTTAAGTATACTCAGATTTTTACCAAAAGGGCGTAATTAGAATGGCGCGCGCTTTCCAAGAGTAAAGTGTATTTACCAACGGAGATAAGGTATTTTGATAGCCCCTGTAGGAATCTAGCTGTTGACGCCCCTTAAATGCCTCATAAATCTGCTTGAGTCGGTGGAGCCCCTTTTTACTGGATAATCTAAATGGACTTTGTCAAGGTCAGAGCAAAATATAAGTGCCGCATAATTTGCTAACTGCTTTAACTTTTTTCAAGTGAAATGAACAGTTTTACAAGGCGATGATATCATCACGTACCTTAAAAGAAGTGTCTGCCCAGTAACGCATATCACTCGCGTGCAAGAACTCGCTTGTCCGCCAATTACCAACCGTACATCAAATTAGCTCGCTTTCAACTCACTTAGACCGGAAAAAAGCTCAATACGGCAAAGCGTTAGAACAATCAAACGTAAATTTGATTGTCAAAATGTTTGGCTCTTGTCCACACCACGTGCTAACTCTCTAAGAATGAACGACCGTACACACTCCTTGCAGAGGTAGTATACTCTTGGTTCACAGTGCAAATTGGGTAAACACTGACGGAAACTTCTAGAAAAACCAACTCGCCCCAGATCGCGCACAACTTGTTTCACATAATCTATGACATTAGATTTCCTTTCGCGTCCAGTTATGGCTTTCTATTACAGAGATTAGCTTGAGGTTCTGATCGTTATCTCAACCAGTTATCAGCGTAAAAAATTCTTGGCTTGAATTAATGGTCATTAATTTTGACAAAAGGCAGACTTTCCGGTTCTTACGCGCCAGTCTACAATTTATCTGCTATATTCCTGAGACACACTGTTAACAAAGCTAACACGGTGGTCTGCTTTTACAGACGAAAAATGAAGCAAAGTAGAATAAGGAATTACTTTTAGGGTAATGACTTACTTTAAACATCTGTTAGGCCATCAATCAGCAGTTTTTTTTCGAGAAGGGCGAGACGAGATTGGACACTGATTCACCACCAAGATGTTGTATGATAAAAGAGTGCCGAGGTTTTTGTTCTTTAGTAATCTCACGTGAGAAGCTCACACCCTTGAAACGTGAGGTGAGATGTGATCGAGTTTTAGAGAGGGCGTCAAGGAGCGAGAAAGTTGCCACTAAATGATACTTCAAACTACATGAAATGTTTTCAAAATGAACAATACAGGAAGCGTATCTTTATACAAGAATTGCTGCCAATTTGGAGCTTGTTTTCATTTTAGCTATGCCGACTGCGGAAACATCCCTTTCCTCTGAAGGAGTTCCAGCTAGCACTGTGGTTTTCACGCCTAACCACTGCTATTTAACGGCGAGCCTACGTTTATTAGCAGCACACGGGTAGTCTTGTTTACCATAAACAAAAATGCGAACTTTTCAATCATTCTGACAAGAAAAGAAAGACAACTCCATGAAAACCCGAAATTCTCCCGATGAGGATAAAATGAAACTGATGTTAGGTGAAGTGAATTCGCGACATCGTTCATGGGTTCGGCTATCAAGCAGATGTTTTCGATTTTCCCAGTTTGTTCTGCATCTTGTCAAGTTGATAATGCTAATGAGCAAATTACCAAAGTCCTCGTTTGACGATAGCAACATGTTTTCATTTGTGGATACTATTATGGCTGCGATCGAATCCGATACGAAGACAAAACAATTGTCGAGAACTTTCATGGGACATATGCCTGCCTTATTTGAGTTCATTACTTTCAAAAATGGACAGCTTTTGACGATGTTAATTAACTTTTTCATATGGATGACCTGAGAGTTCATCAGTGTATCTCATTAGATCTTGATCAATGCTAAGGAAATTTTTCATACGGTTACAGTAGACCACATGCTCGGCTAAAAAAAAACAAAATAAAAAACAAAATATGGAGTCATTTGTAGACCTCGTGGTCAGCTGAACACCTCGTGACTTGATAACGTTTCTGGTATAATCAACAAAAAATATTTATATCATGTTAACTTTGAACTGAATCTCGACAGTCTCAGGTGGTGTAAAATTATTTCAACTTTGATGTTTACAAACTAACCGCGAGTCTTAAACGTTCTGTTGTGAAAACAAAGAATAATAACATTTGTGTTCAGCGACAACAGAAAGGCGTTGTTTTCTGTAAGGAAACCACTGACGTTTCTCCACTGAATAAGTGTACGATGAAGGCTAGTAAGATGTACAATTCACGTTGGTCTAAATGCCACTGAACACTGAATGATGGAGAGAGAAGATCTATCGAAAATTTGCTATGATTTTCATCTCGACACGCTCTCGAGCAAGGCGCAGATAGCTACAACTAATTGGTCTGTTATCAATTAATGAAATCACGGTTACTCACTGATTTCGCAGTCCTCAATACCCCTTCTCTAAGTTTCCATCAAAACTTCGTCATTGCACAGCAATAATACAAACGTTGAAATATTGAAACCAACTCCTAGATCACGCTTGTCGTCCGCTGACTAGAAAAGTGTCTGCGTCTCTCACCAACTCCCGCCACACACTGTGCAGCAGTGGTGAGGCCGCGTCGAACTTTCCCGCCATGTATTCAACGCGACCGCACATGTACACCACGAACACCTTTGCCTTAGTGTTTTCAGTAGTCTTTGTCAATCTCTCTCGCGTAGTTTTGCGCTCATTTTCACACAGCTTAATGAAAGCCAAGGAATGACTAAACTCGTTGGCTGTCTGTTTGTG